GGGCGGGCGGGGGGGGGGGGGGGCGGAGTCAGCACTCACGTTCGATGGGGCCCGAATCGCGTTGGTATCCCGTTCGATGCCGGCGTCGTCGTCCAGATGGTTCCTTCGGTCCGCGCCTCTGGGTAGAATAATGGTAATATCTCCCGTTCGAGCTCGGAGCGCGTGACGGGGGCGGCGCACCACGCCGCGCGAAGATAGGAAGCGCATAGCGCACGGGCGGTCGGATAAGGAGGTAGATGAGAGCGGATAGTTTCGTGTAAGGTGTCGATGGACGTCGGGGGCGAGTGGGAGGGGGCGCTGAAGAAGGGGACGGAAAGGTGGAGGATGGAATGGGGGAGTGCGGGGAGAGGGTTAGCCAGTAGTTTGCTGGGTTTCGGTGGTGGGGAGGACTAGACGCGTGTCGGTTTACACGAGGATTATCTTTTCGGAATCAAGAACACGTACGAGTAGGGCCTGTGCATGGGGAGAAGCAGGAGACCGTTCATTAGCGATAGGTGGGTAGAGAGAGGAAGGGCGCTTGCATACATCCGAGCCGGCCGAACGACCATAGATGGACTTAGTGTCGTACATTCCGTAGGCCTGCGCCGCGATGGTCCCGTAGGCGCCCCCAGTGTTTTCTTCGGTCTTCATTGCTCCTGCACCTTTACTGTCCTGGGGTGCGCCACCGTCCCCGGAATGAGGCCTCGAATACGGTGATAGGGATTGGCCTTGAAGGTGTTGAAAATGCGGGTGGTACATATGCTGGGAGTCGGCCGAACCGGGGATGGTGCCAGACGAAGCGGAGTGGAGGTCAATGGTGGATTTTACTTTGAGGAGATCTTCGGTGAGGAGAGGGTGCGGTTCCCGCGGAGGTGGCACGCTTGAGGACGAGGCGACGGAGTACGAGGTGGCATGCGAGAGGGAGAGCGCGTCTTCGAGCTGACGGATGCGTTCTGACATTTCGGAGATTTTGCGGTGAAGGCGGTCCGTGTCGGCTGTAGTGCGATGTTATGCATATCGGACAAACACAAGACATACGACGCATATACGGATGCGTAGACGCAGAACGGGTTTTGCGGTAGGTCAGTTGGGTGTGAATCGACCAATGCCGATCTGCACGGACCTAAGACGAATCTAGATGTATAATTGCATGTTAGCCCGTGAGATCGGACGCCGTCTAGCGACCTGTCTTTGTTAGGACGTACCGCGTTCCGTGGCCTGTGACGAGGCTGCCGTTCGGACATATGGACTCGCATCCTCGTCGCTTGCAATTCGAACATGGGATGGCTGCTCGGACGTGTTCCGTATCAATGATCGTGGCGCGGATCCGAGATCGACCGCGCTGCTCACCTTTATCGCACTTGAGCTTCAACCTGGACGTCCCTCAGCAATCTACAGCGAGATTTTATGGACGGCGTCGTGGCGACTCACCGCCGGCACTCTGCGCACGAGAGCGCGCCCCGAGCCCGCTTCCGCTCGGTTTCCTCCGCCCTTGCGCTCTGCTCGCGCTCGCGCACAACGCCCGGCTTTCCGCTCCCGTTGTTCGCGCCGGTGTTGGGCATCGCCAAGGTGTTTGCAGGATCGCAACGTCGGCGCGTTCTGCTGTGGTTGCACTCTTCTGCGTCGAGGGTCGGGGGGTGGCGGGAAATCCGGGGGCGGAAGGAGACCGATACTCCGATTTTAAAGGACCGGGCGCAGCGCTCCGGTTCGATCGGACAAATGTGTTGTGCGTGTCCAGCCGAGTGCCGATGAGCAGCCGTGGGAATACCAGCCCGCCTCGGCGCGTATCGGTCGCCGTCCAGTTAGCGCCCTGAGGCTGGGTCCTTTGGCGAAGGGCGTAAACCAGAGAGGCGGCTCAAGTCCTCGACGGTCGGAGCGCGTGGTGGACGTGCAGTCGATGCGTCCAAACGCACTTGATATGTAGTATATGAGCCTCTCGGAGGAGTTAAGACAGGGCACCGACTCACGGCGAGCGCGGGCCCGGCGGCACGGAGCGCTTGGTTTATTCCTGACCGGCATCAGTTTCCAACACTGATACGCAATCCGAACCGGCACCAGACCCATTGCAACGCACGCCGAGTGTATCGTCCGCCACAGCTTTCGAGTTCCTTGGCCCCGAGCCATCAACCCACGTCAGAGCTCCATTTACCCCAGAACCCATCACGACGCCAGCGGCTGCTCTCGAGGGCATAGCTTACACGCCATGGCCGATGCACCGCCGGGCCCGCAGACGGACGTGTCGCGCCCGTCTGCGCTGCCGACAGCGCGCCTGATAGGACAGCGCGCGCGCGAGAACCAGGCGCTGGTCGACCAGTCGTCGGACGAATACCTCAACGCCATCGAGGAGGACTGGAACAAGAAGATCGACGCCGACGTTGAGGCGCTCGTGGACGGTATGACGGATCTCGTGGGCCTCGCATCGGTACGTTGGTCTGTTTCAGGCCGCGTTTCGTGCTATGTTCTGCGTGCTGGAGAGCTGAGAGGGGCAACGGATGGCAGATCGGGACCAAGGATAAATTTCGCATCGCTCAGGAATCTTTCCAAGCCCAATGCCGTGCAGAGTCTATGGTGCGCACCTATCGTCTCAGATGACTCGCGAACGTCTCCTCTCATGCTGTTTCTGTCCTCCACAGGTTCGCGCGGCCAACTCGCTCCTCTCTACGGTCCACTCCATGAAGCTCCTCCTTCTCATCTCCGACGAAGCCCAGATCGCGAACAAGCGCGACGCCGAGCTCAGATCGGTCCGCGCCGAGTCGGACGCCGCGCGGAAGGAGGCCGCCCAGCTCCTGGACGAGCTGCTCAAGGGAACGACGCCTTCTTCGGCCAACGACGAGCCCGAGACCACTCCCGATACCCCCGCCGTCACCCACGACGAGCACGGGATAGACACGCAGAAGGACGACACGGGCACTAAAGATTCGTTCCAATCTCGAGCCTGATCTCTGCGTTAACGCCCCACCACCTCGCCTTCGCCTTCGCCTTCTCCACGACCCATCGCCAGCACCGACCCTCGCAAACGCTCTAAACATACGCGCTCAAATCTCCGGGCTATCGGAAGGGAGGAACCCGTGACGCGATCATGACCTATCAAACCCGACCTGCACGGCCACGCGCTCAACTGGGGCGCAGGACGCCGGCCCACCTCCCTATCTCCTCGAAATCTGCCGCATCTGAGATAGCCATCATCCAGGGCATCATCAGAACAAACACGCGCGTCGTGCCCGTGGGGATCGCACGCAGTCATAATAGCACGTCCATCCGCCGAGTTGCAGGGTTGTATCCCAGCACCCAATGCGGGCCCGCTGTATCAGGGCATTCAGCTGCGCGTGGCCATGTATAACACAGGGGTAGAGCCTAGCCCCTCGTCCTACGCATCATCAGGCTTCCGTACTCGGAGCACAAGTCAAGAGACGCAAAAAGAAACGACATACCATTCGCGGATTGCTCTAGGCTTGAGCTTATGCTTATCTGTGCACACGGGCGGACCGCGGCCGTCGGCGCCTGAGGATCACTTCGAGATCCCGTTCGCGACCAATATATTATCATACACCGCTTGCGTGTCGGCGAACTCGTTTTCATACCTCGCAGCAAAATAAAAATAAAAATCGCGCACTGCACACCGCGCCTTCGCAAGCGCTGGAAGCCGTCGACGATCCCCAGCATCGGACCCCACCTCGCCTCCTCCTGCCGGCGTGGACCATATAGTTTTTTGGCATCGGCGTAGACGCAGAACGATGCTGGGAGTTGTGCAGATCCCCTCGGTGATCCGCGCACACGACCTGGGCGCTTGCTATAGCGATTCCTGTCATCTCCGCCGCCCGCCATCATGTTCCTGCGAGTCTGTGATCTCGTTGTGGACAAGAGGGTACCTCTCTTGGGCGCAAACAAAAGAAAGTCGTTCGATGTACAGGAACGAGACTGTTTTTTGCAGATCGGGACTGGAGTCTGGAGAGCGCACGAGGCTTGCGGTCCTCGGGATTACGTTGGGCTGCAGTAAGTATGGCGTGGCCAGGGTCCTCTCCTCGGTGCTCAGAGGATATGTCCGTGATGAGCGTCAGTCGAACGATACGTACGTTCCGGCTGATCCGTGGCAAAGGGTGTTCGACTCGAATCGAGCGTGATGACGATGAGTCGTTCTGTAGCAACGATGAGTGTTACTGCCGACTCCCCGAGTCTGCACGACGGCCGCACGGCTTTTTTTGGCACGAGCTCGAGGACGCGTGACAAACTTCAATAATTCACCACCGACTCGGGTCGGGACCGAAGGTGTAATACGGCTTTCGAAGGGACGTCGTGCTTTTTTTCTCGATGACGGGTATAGACGAAGGGGGTGAGTGCGGGACATAAGGGGAGAAGATGTGAGTGAGCACGAGTATGCCAAGATACCGAGTGGTGTCCCTTAATTGTACTCATACATGTTTTCCTTGGTACTCGTTCAAAGAGGCCTTATGCGAACGAGGCCCTGGGCGATTTACTTCCGCCACTTCCGATCATGGCATCGGTCGTTCGTGTCTTCGTGACGTCATGTAGCTGGATGCACCACTGCGCGCGCTGTGCTGGTTCTCCCTTCCTTAGCAAAGCCTCCCATCTGAGGAGATGCCGCACGCCTCCACAGTACCACTAGCATTGCACAGTCCATAGCAGTCGATCATGTCGCTGGATCCGCGTTAGAGGTGTGCAGGTCTTTCGTCAGGCGTGATGTTTACGATGATCATGGCATATTCGAGACCTTGTTCCGCCCAGTACTCAACTCCTTCGCAGCGTGTTTGTTCACCCAGACCCACCACATCACGTCATAGACGATTCATGCTGGACTGCACGGTATATAACAGCTTTTACCCCCCCCCCCCTTCGACGTGCAACATACGAACAATCACAACATCTGCCATATTATGCCTCTCGACACTACGAACCCAGCAACTCTCATGAGCGGTCGCTTCCGCAGAGATCAAATCCCGCCTCTGAAGGGCCGCACTGCCGTCGTGACAGGCGGCAGCGCGGGCATCGGCTACTACGCCGCGCTCAACCTTGCGCGGGCGGGCGCCAAGGTGCACATCTTGTCCTCCACGCCCGAGCACGGCATGAAGGCCGAGCACGAGATGAACGAGGAGGCGAAGATGGCCGGCGGATCCGTCACGTTCCACCAGGTTGACTTCGGGGACCTGAGGCAGGTCGATCAGGTCGCGAAAGAGCTTGCGAAGGAGGACCGGCTGGATATCCTGATCAACAACGCCGGAGTGGGCCAAGGGCCGCACGGGTTCACGAAGGACGGGCTGGAGTCGCATTTCCAGGTGAGTGAAGAAAAACGCTGAGGCGTATGCGGTTGCGTTGGAAAGGACGGTTGCGCTCACGTTGGATTCAGGTCAACAACCTCGCGCACTGGCTTCTGACCGTGCGTCTGCTGCCGCTGATGCAGAAGACGGTGTCGATCGCGCCCCCGGCGTCCGTGCGCATCTGTGATCAATCCTCGGAGCTGCATCGCGCCGCCCCGCCGGATACGCAGTTCGCGAGCAAGGAGGAGATCCAGGAGAAGCGCGACCCCAACCGGCTGTAGGCTGATCCCTTTCGCTCGCGCGGTACCGACGTTGGTCCCTAACCGTCTTCTGCAGGTACGGCCGGTCGAAGCTTGGCATGATCCTCCTCGGACGTCAAATCATCAAACGATACCCCGCCGTGCGAGACAACATCCTCGTTACGGCGGTCCACCCTGGCACGGTCGACACCGACCTCCAGGAAGGGTGGGCGGAGACGTACGGCGTCGCGGGCAAGATCGCGGACGTCGTGATGCGGAAGGTGGGCAAGTCCGCGGAGGAGGGCGCCGAGGCATGTCTGTGGGCGGCGACCAGCACCGACATCACGCCAGAAAACTTTAAGGAGTTCCAGGTGAGGATCTCGGCGTGACGTTGCGCTGATGAAGATGGAAAGGCTGACCTTGTCTGTCTGTTGGGTAGGGCAACTATTATTCGGAGCCCTATGGAAAGCCCGGGACGGAGACGGACCAGGCGAAGGACGAAGCGTTGGGCGACAGGTTCTGGGCACTTTGTCAGTTGACGGCGGCGGAGATCCTAGGCGAGCACGTTGCTTGAGTTTATCGGGATGATTCTGGGGCATATGTGATCTGGTGCAGAGAATGTAGAAGAATAATGTATTTTTATGACATTGTGCCGCGCAATCGAGGGGTCGTTCAAGGTTTAGTAGAACATAATCGACACTCAAAGTCGCCTTGAGCGTTCGCACTGTATCAGCGACATACATAAAATGGAATAACCTTCGATTAAGTTTCGCATAACACGAAGGCAAGCAGGGCGCTTTGTTGCATTACATAGATATAGTCAGAATCTTAGGTCGTGACGCTTGCTAGTCTAACGCAGGTCCTTTCGCTATGCATACACATACATCAGTGTATGAAGAGACAGGTGGTCATGTGGAACACACCTAATGGAGCTGTCACGTCTTCTTCGTTTACAGCTCGTATAGAGTCAATCCCGAGCTCGTATGATCCATCGATGCCACTATGTCCTCCAAGCAGGGAAATTCCGACAGACTTGATCTTCCATTTGTTCATGTCCATCTCGCGGGCTTCTTGCAGAACGCCACCTTGAGTGAGAAGGAAGTTATCGAAGGGTATCTGTGCGGACATTCAACATTCAGGGGTCAATTTAGCAGGGATGTCTAGGGACGCGCGCACGAAAACATCCTCCCATCCGCCGTCTGTCCGCGAGAAGTATAGTCTGTGCTGCCAGAGATCGGTCGCGAACCAGTCGTCGGTCTGAATGTTGACGAAGTACGAGTTCCGCAAGCGCGGTGTGCCGGCGGCGCGGACGCGGAGGGCAAGGTATCGATGTGCGTGAACGTCGTCCAGTATATCACCAAAGAGCGTCGGTCTGTGCTAAGCCGATCATATTGCCTCAATCTCAGAACGAGGGACAGTGAGCGCAAAGCGTACGTTATTCCTGAACCCAACGTATCCGCTCCGCATCTTGCCTTCCATACCTTCTGGAACTTTCGTCGACAACACACCCCAGAACTTGGCGGACCACCTCCCCCCGTTCTCTTCCGCGCGTTGTGGGTCCTTGTCGAGGTCGAAGTTGACGGTCGAGCTGCCGCCGATGTCCTTGTCGGACATGATATAGTAGTCACCGATATCTTCGGGCGTGTTCATGGTAAACAGCGTTTTGGGGGCACGAGAGGGAGGCTCTACGCCGGACATGCGTGCCACTACCGAAACGTGAAATCATGTTAGTCTTGAGGTTGCAGATGGCGGAGGTAAAGGAGGGTGTATGCACACTTCCGAAGGCTTGCTCGCGCGCGTATTTCATCGAGCGGTTTACAAAGAGCGACCATGATTTCGATGCCATGGTTAATTGCGGTCCTTCCTGAGCGTGGCCAGGTAGAGGGCGAGTTGGGCGTTGACGGTCTAAACTCGACGGAATACTGGGGGTGCCTTGGAGGACCCCTTGGTGGCTGTGCCAATTAAGTGACCCCTGGGAAACCTGAGGGGCGCAATAAGCGACGCGCTGACGCGTTCGTGCTTCTGCTCGTTGTGGCTGAGAGCACTGGAGATCGTTTCCGCTAACACTCACCTCCACCTCCTTCCTCCATTACCTCCCCAACGTGTTTTGAATTATGGTGCGCTATACTTGATATGCCTCTCAAATTTGTACGGTTACTGAGACGATCATGTCTATAGGGCCAGACACCCTCCTCCGGCGGCGGGCAGAACCCGCAAGGTAACAAGAAACCCGGCGACAACAAGGACCAGAAGAAGAAATGGGAGCCGCCGCTTCCCACTCGCGTCGGGAAGAAGAAGAAGCGCGGGCCCGCCGCGGCGTCCAAGCTACCGCCTGTGTACCCCGTCACGCGCTGCCGACTCAAGCTGCTCAAGCAGGAGCGCATCAAGGACTACCTCCTAATGGAGGAGGAGTTTATCGTGAACCAGGAGCGGCTGAAGCCCGCAGACGCTACGAGGGAGGAGAAGAACGAGGAGGACCGGACGAAGGTGGACGACCTGCGGGGAAGTCCGATGGCGGTGGGCACGCTTGAGGAAATCATCGACGACGACCATGCGATCATATCGACCGCGAGCGGGCCAGAGTTCTATGTGTCGATCATGTCGTTTGTGGACAAGGACCTACTAGAGCCCGGCTGTCAGGTTCTGTTGCATCACAAAAGCCAAAGCATCATCGGCGTGCTGCAGGATGACGCGGACCCGATGGTGAACGTAATGAAGTTGGACAAGGCCCCGGTGGAGAGCTACGCGGACATTGGAGGATTGGAGCAGCAAATACAGGAGATCAAGGTGACGCCTCATCTCTCCTCTATTGGCCACCTCTGATCTCTTCGCCTTTCTGTAGGAATCCGTGGAGCTGCCATTGACTCATCCAGAGCTGTACGAAGAGATGGGCATCAAGCCGCCGAAGGGTGTCATCCTCTACGGCGTACCGGGAACGGGCAAGACGCTGCTTGCCAAAGCCGTCGCGAACCAGACGTCCGCAACCTTCCTGCGCATCGTCGGCAGCGAACTGATCCAGAAATACCTTGGAGACGGTCCGAAACTCGTGCGCGAGCTGTTCAGGGTCGCGGAGGAGCATGCGCCTAGCATTGTGTTTATTGACGAAATCGATGCTATCGGTACGAAGCGGTCAGTGGCATTGTTGCTTCTTGTTTGCGTCATATTTGTCGCGTGCTCATTGAATTGTTTGCAAAGGTATGATTCTACGTCAGGAGGAGAGCGTGAAATCCAACGGACAATGTTGGAACTCCTTAACCAACTCGACGGTTTCGACACCCGGGGGGACGTCAAGGTCATCATGGCTACGAACAAGATCGAGTCGCTGGACCCCGCCCTCATCCGGCCAGGGCGTATAGACCGTAAGATCGAGTTCCCGCTGCCAGACGTGAAGACGAAGAGGCATATATTCAAGTTCGTTTACTCCTTTGTAACTTACCACGAGGCACGCTGACGAGCTTGTCGTTGCTCCAGGTTGCACACTTCACGCATGTCACTCTCGGAAGACGTTGATCTTGAGGAATTCATCATGGCCAAGGATGATCTCTCCGGCGCGGACATCAAGGCCGTCTGTACGGAGGCTGGTCTGCTCGCACTTCGGGAACGACGGATGAGGGTCAACAAGCAAGATTTCACGACGGCAAGGGAGAGGGTATGTGCTGTTCTTGCTTACTGCCGAGGCTCGGCTGATGCTTGGGCTTGCAGGTGTTGTATCAGAAGAAGGAGAGCGTACCGGAAGGCTTGTACCTATAGTTCCTACTGTAATATCTCTCGCTGTTCTCTCCTGCGTATCGATCTTAACGTTCCCGCTCTTCGTGTGTTCGTGGCCTATGTGGCCGGGGCGCTCAAATGACGCCTGAGGCTCGCTCATCCAGAATACAGACCTTTTGTGCACTATGATCGAGACGATGGCCCTTCGGAGCTAGTTTATATGTAAGCACCACGACGCAGTAATCTAATCCGTAGACCCGTGACTGAACAGAGATTGTGGACTCCAGTGCACTCTGACCATATGTATGCGACACTGGTTGATCAATCATCACTCCACCAACATTACGTTTTGGTCTGTTCGGATCCGCATCGAACCAATGAAATCGCTTGACTGGCGGTACTGCCAGCGCCCATATGGCTCAGGATCTCGTCACAACGCTCAAAAAGGCTTGGACCGCAGTACAACTCTGTAAAAATAGGATCGCAGCGCGATGTCGTCTTTCCTGCGTTACCGTACACGGAACTCAAATTGCCATTCGATCCCTGGATCAAGTGTGGCTTGCTTATCTATGCTGCGACTATATAACCCTTTCTCTTGCTTCAGCTCCCGCTAAAGCCCCCGGAGCCCACCATGGCATCCGTGCTAGTACCATCAAACACTGGCACTGCGCTGGGAGGTCTGGAAGGAACGCCTAGAGGCACTCAAACACACATCGGGCCTTTTGATACCTATGTTGCCCAGCCGCCCGTTCAGAAGGGGCCCGCTCCAGCAGTTGTCGTCTTTTACGATCAGTTCGGCTTTAAGGTGTTTATTCCACTAACTGCAAAGTGCTTGAGCTGACTCCGCCCTTATGTAGATCCCAAACGCAAGGCTCATATCTGACATGCTCGCCGAGAAGACTGGCTTGACCGTCTACTGCCCTGATATATTCGCCGGCGATGGCGTGTCTCCCGATGGTCACAGTGTCGTCGCTGTCGATTCGGAGAGCCACCATAGTCTCATCGAAAAGCTTTCTGGTTCGTGAGCGTTTTTCCACGACTGCGATGGCCATCATTGTCTGAGTGCGAGCACAGAGGGCTTCCACCATCACCCCAAGGCACACGCCAGCCTGATAACCGACTTTTTGACCGTGTTAAAGCATGAACATGGCCGACTGGCTGCGATCGGGTACGTATTATTCTACCCTGCGATTGTCCCCAGGATATGCTGATGACAGGATGATGCAGGTATGGCTGTGGTGGAAAGCATGCCGTGCACTTTATCAGCAGCGGAGTGGCTCAGCTCAAGGCTTCCGTCGTATGCCACCCCTCTCACGTCTCCTTCGATGATATCTCTCAGATCGAAGAACCTGTCTCATTCGTTTGTGCCGAGCACGATCATGCATTCGACAAGGCTACACGGTCCGTGCATTCACCTCGAACAGAGGTTTCAGCTGACTCGATGCCCGTGCACTATGGTTTAGAGAGAATGCAGAACAATTCCTCGTCGTCGATCAGCACAAGGATCATCCGGGCGGCTTCAGTCCTGGGGTCACATCTGCATCCCCCCAAGATGGGCGCCCAGCGGTAAGGCTCAGCAAGGACTTCGAGGCGCAGTTTGTGGTGTACCCTGGCACTGTGCACGGCTTCGCGATCCGGCCGGACCTAAGCAATCCCGAGACGCGCAAAGCATTCGAAGGCGCATTAGATCAGAGCGTTGCATTCCTGAAGAAGCATCTTCAGGTCTGATTGGGTCAGGGGAACTTCCTGTTTTCACGGGTTTTGAATGAATTGTAATGCCCATATGTTTCCGTTCAATCAGATCGGGTTTTGAGAGTACAGCAAATCGTTTTTGCGCTTGCGTAAGGGCTACTAGAACGATATCATGGCTGCAACGAGTCATCCGACGAACAGCGCGAGTAGCTTTAGCCAGATGGCCATATCACTGTAGCGTCAATCTACAGTCCAATTGGACCCCGAACTACGCGCTAGATAACGGAGTCTCGGCCGATGTGTCGGATAGTGTATCGGTTAAGTCAATGCTACAGCTACACGTCTTGCGCACAGAATACCCTTTTTCGAAATGCCAACTCAGAAAGCTCAGTGTCCATGCGGCCTGATCCGCTTATCGTTGACCCGATACTTTCGTGAAGGTCGTAGAACAATCGCGATGTCTGAGATAGCAGCCATGTCAATCTGCAACGCATGATCGTGGTGGCGGCGACATACGGCAACCGGGTACACGGTCGTCGCCACGCTTGTGATGGGTTAGATGAAGCAGCGTTCAGACTATTTTGCAATAACTCACAAGAGCATGCCATCTGGCAACACGCGACCTAGAACGTATCGTTGTGAACTCTAAGCTTTGCGCGCAACGCCCAACTTACCAGGCATTGCCAAGTAGACCGCGAGATTTACCGTTTGTCCAGCTAGTGCCCATGAATCGCGTGTGTATCGATTTGATGGAAGCGACTTACCTAAGATAGCAAAGTAGTATAGGCATCCGTCTCGAAACACGACGAACACTGTGGGCATGAACTGCCTCATGTTCCAAAAGTCGCCAAGTCGCAATGGTCCTTCGTGGATACTGCTGTTTGTCTGGACGAACTTGCAACAAGTAAGCAAGAAGTATAGAGTTGAGACAGTCACGTCAACGGCCCTGCACAGCGACGCATTAGTCGAGAGCTCGTCATTATACAACCATGACGAGCCATGACGTACGCTGCCGCGATTGACATGCGATTGAATGAGCTACCGGGGATGGGGGAGGAGGCAAGGCAGCCGCCCAATGGAAGCTCCATGCCCGAAGATGGTTCAACCGCATAGGTGCGTATGGCTAGAACAGACCACGCCAGGACCACCTATGCGGTTACGAATGAGGATGTATCAATAAGAAAAGAGCGCGGCGCCTACCAGCACGGAACCTAACAGAAGAGCTCATAAGCACCGTCAGCGATTCTACCGAGAAAGAACATACATATATAGAATATTGTTGTGATGACTATTACTATATCGTGTCATTCCGACTCTCAGCGTGCGGCTACAGTGTGTTGCGGTAGATTACTGACCTTTCCAGATGCCTTTGTATATGGCATTGACCCGCATTAATAACAAAGTCGATCCAAGCAAGGCGGACGGGGAAAATCCGCCCCTGCATTGTTCTTGTGAGTCTTGAACGTGAAAGAGCCAGTTCCTGCCCTGCTCACACTAGCTGAAGGACACGGAAATGCGCACAGCTAAGGTACCATGAGCGCTAGATACTCATGCGATAGAAGTTGCCCCGCACAACTGTTGTAAGATGGCGATCCATATTAGTACCCAATATTCCTAGAATACTGAATCAACCTAACATGTAGTGGTAGATGAGTCCCCGTTCCGTCTATCGAAGTTTTTCATCCGTCTTGACTTGATTACCACAGTCATAGAAAGCACGTACAGATTACCATCAAACTATTGATGTGAGTGCTGAACAGGCTTTCTAATATCCAAAGACACTCACCTGAGCACAAGCAAAATATAATATCTTAAGATCAGGAACAGGACCTTCGTCTTGTTCCATTTCATTCTGTGTACGACGTTCACGGAGAGTCACTCCAATAAGATATATACCATACGTGCGCACCAACGTCACCTATTGTCGAATTGTTTCGTGAGTTCGACAAGTGCGAGAGCAATCTATTACCTCAGAGGAGATCGTAAGGATCATATCGTAAACCAGCCAAGTCAAGCATGCCACTTGGTCATCTCCGATCAGTATTGAAAGAAACGCACGAGAAGATAATCTGCACACCTGTCACATAACTGACGATTTGTATATCTTGTGCGATGGTGCTGGGTTCAAAGAGGTCTCCACTTAACTGAGAGGCCATGCGAGTGACTGAGGGTAAGAACATATGTCGACTCCATGCTTAAGTATACCATGAAGGCTGTGACACCGTGTAGCTCCAAGAGATGTAGTGATAGTGCCAAGTATATCGCTGCAACGCATGGGTGGACCCTCGAGTTCTGTGTGGCAGTAGTGATGCATGGCTGTAGACGTGTGACTTTCGTACCGTCAGCAGCGAGCAGAACATCCCCCAAGTGGGGTCGGGTAGGGAGGAACCCAAGGAGAAGGGTTTGCATGAGACATTACTACTGGAAATAATCAAGTTGCTGTCCTTTCGCCGTGCCGATCCATTGGCAGTAAAGACGGTTTTGGCTCAGAGCGCTAGTCATGTGTCTTCAATTGATAGAAGTTGTGTGTCATTTCAATAGCTTTTGCCATAAGTACTTGGTCAAATTTGTGCCGCATAGAACGAAGGCGCAGGGTAGCACCAGAGCTCGTGGTGTCTGGACTCAAGCTTAGAAGAAGCCATACGTGAACGCACTCGAGTTCTTCCAGCTGGGAGCCAAGCATGACATCATGTTTGCACCTCTCCTCCACTCACTTCAGCGGACGCCAGCATGCCTCAAATAGTGCTTGTGTCGCTATTGCCTGCGCCCACGTTTTCACCAATCTCAAGATTTCCTTGAGACCCGTCTTCGAACAAACCGTCGACAAAGATCTCGCATAGCATCATCCTCTTCTCGTTTGTCAAGGCCCACAAGACATGCCGGTCGACCCCAACGCTCACCCGGACTCGCACATGGAGGAGGGGGAGGCGTCCACTATTCCCCACCCGCCTGAGGAGGACCATCCTGATCAGAAACGCGGGAAGAGCTCCTTTCCTTACACAGGATGGGACGGACCTATTCCAAGCCAGGCGGGCGGAGACAGGGTATGCATCTAAACAGTGTCACCCTCATTTACATACTTTTTCAACATGCATGTGTAGGAACCGGACTGGATGAACAAGCCCCCGTACAAGTGGGACAGCAAAGAGTTTGTACCCAAATTTCGGAGTGAATGCTGGTGCGGCGATGGTTCGCGCCGCTTCCCCTCTCTATCAAAACTTTCTTCTCATCGTGTTTCTATCGCTTATATAGTTGCTTTCGAGATCAACGGCGACCCTCTTGACGCTAAACACTGTCACTGTCGCCAGTGCCAGCGCCTGCACGGCGCGCCCTTCCAATGGGCCGTTATCTTCCCGAAAACGTCTGTCCGGCTCGTCAAGAACGACCACAACGCACTCCACTGTTTCTCCACCGAAAAGTGCGCCTTTTGTTTACGTTTATCGATATTGGAACTCTGAACTAAAGGGTCTGGATCGTCAAGGCGTACCGGCGAGCACTACGTCCCTTGCAAAGTATCATGCGATAATTGCCGCTCTCCCTTGTTCGACGAAGGGCGCAATACCGTGTTGGTGTACCCGTCATCCATCCAGTTTGAGGACAACAAAGTACCCAAGAACTTCATGCCTACCGCGCATATATTCTACAGCCAACGGTGAGTCGAAGCTCAGCCGCATGGGCGCCCCGAGGCTGATTTGCGTGGCTTCAGAGTGATGGAAATACCGGATGGCATCCCCAAGTGGACGGGGCACAAAGGCCAGTCAGAGCTCATGGAGGAGATGACTACCGAGGAGAATAAGCTACCGAAATACAAAGGGCACCGGAAGGAGGGCGAACAACACAACGACTAGAGGCACGATCTCCGGGGTCCAGCAACAGTAATTTCACATTTTGTGCCCTATGAACAGTAGAAGTGGAAGGACAAAGAAAGGATACAAAGGGCAGGGAGTAACACAAGAGAGACATGAGAAGCAGTGGTGTAGGATTAGCGCAATGTATTGTACCAGAGATGCTACAGATTATATTCGTCGTCGTCCTCGCCCTCCGCGTCTAACTCGCCCTCCGCGTCCAGCTCACCGTCCGCGTCCAATTCGCCCTCCGCATCTAGTTCGCCCTCGGCGTCCGCATCGGGATCGTCCTCAGGCTGTGCGATGCCGTTGGCTTGGGTAGGAACGTTGTTAATTTCGGTTGGATCCTGTGCTGGCGCGGGAATGGGATCTTCCTGCATCTGCGGCTGATCGTCGGTAGCTGTAGCTTTCACACCAATGCCACCGAGGTCCTCGGCGACGACCGTCGCATCGCTCGGTACGCTCTGTCGCCCCGCTAGGTCGTTTGGAGTCGGCAGGTCCTCGTACTTCATCTCCGACTCCGCACCCGCAGCTTGCGCATCGTCCTGGGGCGCCGCCTCCTGCGCCTGCGGACTGTTCCGCTTCGTCCCGTTCGGCTGCTGCTGTTGCCTCCCCTTTCGCGGCTCGGGGCGCTCATCGATCGACGACGCCAACGCGGCGCTCTCTTCCATGTCCTTCTTCCTCGACCGTCTCAGCGCCCGGGCCGCCGCGGGCGTCATGGGCGTCGCAGGCGAGATAGGCGGACTCATCGACTCCACGTCCGCGTGGTCGCCCCTCTCCACCTCGGGCGACGACTCGACGCGCCGCCGCTTCCTCAGCGACCGCAGCTCCACGATCGGCGGCTCGCGCTTCTTCCGCGGCGCGGGCGTCAGGGTGTTCGAGCGCGTGCGCAGTCGCCGGCCGTGGCCCTCTTCGAGGGCGAGGCTCGCCGCCAGCGCAAAGTCGCCGCTCGTGTCCGCGGCGGACGTCGTCTGCGGCGAAAGGGTGGACGCCGACGCTTGACGGCTCACGCGGCGGGCGCGGGGCTGCGGAGTGTGCGAGGCGCTGGGAATGATGACCACGTCTTTGTCGTCCGCAAAGAGGTCGGGCGGCGGCGACGAGCGCGACGCAGGGTCGCTGTCGGCGGCCTGCTCCTTCTCCTGCGATTCCCTTCCCGAGTCCGGGTCCGCCATGTGCACGTCGACGTCCACGGGCGCGGTGCCGCCCGTCACCGTGCTGCCTTCGCCCGCGGGGGTCACCGGATCCTGCGCAGTCGGCAGTCCGTCCGCGCCGTCGCTCTTCTTCGTCCTCGCGACCAGGAACGGGCTCCAGTTGAGCTTGTCCGGCTTGAGCGTATGGTAGCCCTTGTCGTGCCACCTGCGGAGGTACCCATCGACCTGCTCCTGGTCCCAATGGATCTGGTACCGCGCAGGCGCAACGAACGGGCCGTCGGCCTTCTCGGGCGCGCTGCTGTCCGTCTTGACACTGTCCGTCGTCTGCGTGCGCTGCAGCGCGCGGCGGGCGACGCCCGACTTGCGGCCCTGGTTCTTCTTGATTGACTGGCCAGGTACGGGCTTGAGCGCCGGCTGTGCGGCGTCCTCGATCGTGATCATGCCGAGTTGTTTCAGCGTCGTGCAAACGTCTTCGATGGTCATGGACGTGAACGAGCTGATGTCTGTTTCAGATTGGAAAGCGTGAGCGATGCCATTGACTGGATGAGAGAGGGTCCAGAGCGCACCTTCCAAGCGAGGATGTTCCGGTCGCGTGTGAAAGAATCGCATGATGGCGAGAGTCCAGTAGTTCCGGTAACCCAGCGCGCCCAAGCCGGAAAGAGGCTTCTCTGGCGAACCCGTCCGCTGCTCGTTTTTGGACAGCAGGTAACCTAGAAATTGATATCATTTATCAGCCTCGGCGGAGGAAGGCCCGCAACCGACGCACTGAAGTCGATCAGGAGGTTGCCCCAGCCCTTCCGTTGCCGGACCGGCAGGGTCATGATACAGCTCACGTTGTAGTCCTTCGGGCTACGCTTCTCCTTGCTGAAGTACCCGACGAAGCGCGCACCGACATCGTCCGTTTCCGTCATTACGTAGAACAGGAACGGTTCCACATCGTAGAACAGCGACTTGTGATCCAGGAACATCTTCGACAGCAGACATAGATTCTGGCAATATATCTGAAGGAACAAGCGTCGTATGAGGTTTCATTTCCGCGGTGCGATAACCAGGCACTCGCCTTGTTCCTCCGCCCGTCAATCTCGAACACGGATATAGCACCATCTCGATATATCTCGTCTCCGGGAGGATGCCGTGCTTTGCACTTCGTCTGGAAAACGCACGCAATCAGCGATATTGCAAACGCGTGCGCAAGCGGAGGGTGGCTTCACCTTATGTCTCAACGCCACGAATCCGCTCTTCATGTACTTCAAGCAGAACTCGCACAACCACAACCTCCCGTCGGGAAGGTTGTTGTACTCCTCCGGGAACGGCGCGTCGTACCAGGTCTCGACGTCGTACTCGCCGAACCGGATGCGTCGAATGCGCAGCCCGGCTGTGGGGTCGTGTTCGAACGCGGATTTGCTGCGCCCCGGGCCAGGTGTTGAAGGCGCAGGAGAGGGTGAGGTGACCGAGGTATTGAGGCTGAGGTTCAGATTTCGATGGGAGGTGGCGGAGCGGAGGCGAATGAAAGACGGGCCGTCGAGCGGCGAATCTGGGGGATTAGGAGGAGGAGGACGGGAGATTTTAGCCTAGAATGCGGACGACTCAGGGATATATGCGCGATAATAGCAGCCAGCCAGACCCACCTCGGCGCGGACACGGCTCCGTTCGAAGCGCTGTTTGTCGGGGTTGGTGATGGAGGTCTTGCTCGTGTCGCGATCTTGTTCGGAGAGGACGTCGTCGAAGAGGCCCTTGGGCGGCCCCTCGTCGCTCTCCTCCTTCGCCCGCGAGCGCGTGGTAAGCTTCAGGCGGACCTTCCTCGGTCCGAGCGGAGGTGCCGGGGAGGTCGGACTAGGCGCCCTGTGGTGTGACCGCTTTGGCGGAGCGCGAGGAGTTGTCGTCTGGACATCGTCCTGTAACGTGTCCTCGCCGCCCATTCCGGCCCGGCTCTTTCTCGCTCGTTTCGGCCGCTCGCGCATCTTCGCGGGCGATACGGCGTCGTCGATGGCAGGCTCGCCACCGACGTCCGATTCCTCGGACGCGCCGGCGATGGACTTGGTTTTTCGCGACTTCGATCTGTAGGTTTTAGGCAAGGCAGGTGGTGGTGCTGGTGGCGGGGGAAGGGGGAGGGAATGGGACGTGGAGGCGACGGAGGATGCGCGACCGTATACGCTATTGTCGAAGAGCACGGCGGAGCTCAGTTCGGGGTTGTACATCTCGACATCAGGCGCGACGGCAGGGGGATCGGCTGAGTTGAGGAGCACGGACGGCGCACATATCGGGCAGTACCATGTCCCTTCTGGAGCTTCTTCGAAAGGCGGGTCCAGGCAGTCCATGTGCCATCCTGCGATGGAAGCTGAGTTATGACGCTGCTTAGCTCGAAGTTTAATGGACAGTACGGACCTCGATCACAGTGGTCACACAGAAGGATACGAGACTGCGAATAAATGAGATTGAAGAAGTGCATTGGGAAGGATCGCAGAAAAACGCACGTCGTCCCCCTTATTGTGGCATATCTCACATACAGCGCAGTCCTGGCAGCACCACGGGTATGAAAACAGTTGCTCTGCGATGTGGCCGAGTTGCAGACAGGTTGGATGTGCTGCGCAAGTGTCAGCGGAGCGATTGGAGCCAGTATATGCGCCTCCTACCGCTACGGCCACAGTCGTCGCAAGAAACCATCCTCTCTGGGTCACCATTCTTGTTCTTGTTGTCATCGCCTTCGCAATATCCGCACTCGGGTTCGCGACGTGGTTTTCGCTTCTTCTTGGGCTTTGGGGCAGGCGTCACTGGTTGAGGGATGAAGTAGGGGTTCGGGGACGGTGGTCGTGCAAACGGGTCGCCTTGGGGGCCTTCCGAGTACTGCCTCGCCGCAGAGGACACTTCGGATAGCAGCTCGAGGGGGTTGGTGACCTAGCAGACCATAGGAACGTCGTTTAGTCGCCTATAGAGCCACCAGAGGATAACCGAAGCGAGACGCGACGCGACGCGTGCAATCACCGGGGGAAACGCCATGTCGATCGTGTACGAACGCACCTTCGACTCCGGCAGAGCCTGAAGAATCGCGCTGTTGACCAACGCGGGATCGATAGCGGGTGCGGCGAGGGCAGGGTCGATGGGGATCGCGGTGGGCTCGCCGCCGTTGGCGAAGGGCACCACCGCGTGGTCGAACGTGGTTTCCCGGCCGTACGGGGCGTCTACGGGAAACGTAATGCCGGGCATATCGAAGAGCTGGCGACGACGGGCGACGAGGGCCGTGGCCGTCGAGGAGAACGCGGACGGGCAAGTCGCCTTCGTCGTCGCGGACGTCGAGTAGGGGTTTCGGGGTCCCCGACTGCGGGTGGGGTCCTGGAGAGCGGCACCGCTCGCGAAGCTGAGCGCTGACTGGCGCCAATTGGAGCTGGAGTCGACCTGGTCCTCCATTTCCAAGCGATTCTAGCCCGGAACGTGCGCATGCAGGGCGATATCGCGTGATGCAAGCAGTAAGACAACCGCCAGGCCGTTGTGAACGGGGGCGGTAAGCTGAGCTGAGGATGCAGGCAACAGCCAACTGTCTTACGGTGCTTTGCTTTGACGAGTGCCATCATCATACGCGCCTAGAAAAGTCGATTCGGCGCATGCGCGCCGGGATACCAAGCACAGGGAACCGGTTTTACTTCCGATGGCACAATCATCACACACGCAGGGGGGTCGCTCATTATTCGACGGCATCACCGCGTTTCGGCAACCTAGCCTCGAGGGCTAAACGCCACCGTCAGGGTCTGCCCAGGTAGATAGAACGGTCTGCGAATTTCAGCTGGTGAAACGCGACCGTCACGGGTCCCCAAGCCCTTGGTCATCCACAGCCGACGTATTAGCCACCATTTGACGCGTGCCCGCTCCCATATACTCGGGGAAAACGGGCGACGGTCGTAGGATACTACGAATGATCAATTGCAGCTTGATGGCTACGATCGCATGGGCATTTCACCCAAAAGGCCCAGCCGTGCGCCCCACAGGCGGAGTTGGTGGAGAATACAGTGACAGGGCTAAGTTAGCGGCCCGCAGGGATCAAGAACGGGTGGAAAGTTTGAGCCGGCCGCGGGACGGAGGCTGAGGAGAGCCTGCGATTCCAGGGTGTTCTCACGGGCGCCAACCAAGGGGGGGGGGGGTGGTCATCCCGTCGGGTCGTTCGCAGCGCCCTCCTCCTCACTCGTCGCCCATCTGCTGCTCCCCAACAGCCCACCCAACCACTCCTAGCGTCGCCCACCACGTCGTACACAACAGTCCAGACGATGCACACGGCCGTCCAGCCGTTGCCGGCCCAGATGCTGCCCCAGTACCCTCGCCCGCCGCTGCACGTCAACGCCGGCAGGAATCCGCCGCCGGCGGTGCTGACGCCAGCGCAGGGCAACACCGTCAGGAAGCGCAAGCGTCCGACGCACTACAGCGTCAGCTACAGCGAGGTCAAGGAGGTCGACAACGAGGGCAAGCTCCGGGACGTCATTGTTATCGAGGACACGCCGCCCCCGCCGACCGCATCCCCCGCCACCACCCGGGCCAGTCTCAAGTTCTCGACGTCGTACCAGCCCACGCAGCTCTCTGGACCCATACGCACTCGGGCACGCGCCGCTGCGGAGGCTCAGGCACTTTCAGCGAGCACATCGACAAGTACCGTCATCGCACCGCCCGCGAAGAAGCGCAAGCGCGACTACCCGACGCCCTCCAGCGCCAGCAAGGCTGGTCCCAGTAGTCAACAACATGCCGTATCCACCACGAAGTCGTGGGCCAGCGGCAGTGGACAAACCGTCGATGATGTGAGTCGGTCCATCCCATTGTTCTCGTCGCACACTGAGATTCTTGCTACTCAGCCATCAAAGACGGAGGTACCTTGCGACGATAAGGAAGGTCACTACATCATCGTCCCCGACGATATGATATACCGGAGGTGTAAGTATCAACATGGCGACTTGCGACCACCGACCCTGATCCCATCGATATGCAGATCGTACCGTTCGCCTCCTTGGTCAGGGCACGTTCGGGAAAGTCGTCGAAGCCGTTGACACGCACACAAACAAGCGGGTGGCTATCAAGATTATTCGGGCCATCCAGAAGTACCGGGATGCCAGCAAAATAGAAGTTCGGGTACTCACCAAACTCAAAGAGCGCGATCCGCTGAATCGACAGTACGTGTGCTACATTTGCTGTTCGACCACATGCTGACGCGGCTTGACCAGCAAATGCATTCATCTCCTCCAGTGGTTCGACCATAGAAACCACATATGTCTCGTTTCGGAGCTATACGGAATGTGCATATACGACTTCTTGAAGGAGAACGACTTCGCTCCGTTTCCTCGTCAACATATCCAGTCGTTCGCCCGCCAACTCTTGGGAAGTGTCGCATGTAAGCCGGCTTTTCTTCGGTATATGCGCCGACCCTGACGCGTCACGCAGTCCTTCATGAGCTCAAGCTCATTCACACCGACCTCAAACCCGAGAATATCCTTCTCGTGTACAATGATTACAAGACCGTCCAGGTGCCGGTAGCCGGGAAGGTGCGCAGTGATGGGCTTACGTGTAGCGGCTTCCTTACTTACTAACCGAAATAGCGTAACCAACCGCCACGGACGAAGCGCATATTGGAGTCGACGGACATCCGCCTCATAGACTTCGGCTCGGCAACGTTCGACAATGAATATCACTCAACCGTCGTGTCGACACGGCATTACCGGGCCCCCGAAATCATTCTCGGTAAGTCACGACGCTCGACTCGATGTGTCACATCGCTGATGAAATATCTGTTAGGTCTTGGCTGGACATTCCCCTGCGACGCCTTCTCCCTCGGATGCATCTTGGTCGAATTCTACACCGGTGTCGCACTCTACCAGACGCACGACAACCTTGAGCACCTCGCCATGATGGAGATGGTGATGGGCAAGATGCCCGAGCGATACGCCCGCGCCGGTGCGCGTTCCAAGCCAGAGTTTTTCAAGGAAGGTGGCAAGCTCGCGTGGCCTCCTGCGAAGGCGTCGCGGCAGAGTAAGCGCGAGGTTCGCGCGTGCAAGCCCCTGCAAGAGATCATCCCGCCGACGGACGTCATCAACCGCCACTTCTTAGATCTCGTCCGCAAGCTGCTGGCGTTCGACCCTGCCCAGCGGATCACCGTTCGGGACGCCCTTAACCACCCCTACTTTTCGTTGACCATCCCCAACGAACTATAACAAACCCAGTGAACGGCGGACCTGGTCCGCCGCCAAAGTATATCGATAATGAACGAACGATTTTCGCGCGGCCTACACCACTTACTCGTCCGTTGATCCGGATCATCGCACCTTCCCTCCCCTTCAACGCCTCTTGCACATTGTACCGCTCGCAACTCAACGGATGTCTCGTTCGACGGCTGTCTCCATATATATCCCCGGGGCCTTCCAATACGCGTGTAATCAATACTGCAATCCCGTAATGCTTCACTCACCGACCAAATCATCCAGCCTTTTCACGTTTCGCATCCTCTCGTATCATTACCACATTCTTCGCCTGCGATTATCTTCGTCATCCTCAACCCTCCCCTCATCCGCACAGGCCTTATCGCCGTACGTGACTCTTCTATGTCCAATATGTCCACTCCTTCGCGAACGATCACATATGTATATGCTCGAACAACCGGTCCAAAGCTCTCCTTCCTTCTTGCGGCACCCCAACATTCGCCTACTCTTTATCCTCTTGATTAGGGACCCGGGCTATCTGTCTCTGTAACAGTATAACGTAGCACATGGTGCAACATAGATCAAGACCACGACCAAGACCAAGAAGCCGGAACTACGTCGCGAAGGCGTACTCATCATGTACAGGACAACCGCCTGACGGATATTGGCGCCAAATTGGCATCGTACCCCCCTGCTCGGTCGGCACGAGGCTCTCCTCAATACAGACCCAGCCGTCGGGTATGTAGCTATCGCGGAACTGCTCTGTGGCTGTCACTAGCAATGGGGCAACGCTCCCGCATTGGCGTGGGGCTCGTGATGGCGCAAAAGTAATCGCGGCGATCGCCGCGAACAACGGTCCAGGTGCGAAGGGGCCCCGGGTCTCCCATGACATGCATGACAAGCCGACTGCCTTCACACAGCGTAAGTTTAGATACGTCCGCCAAGTCTGATCTCACAATCCCCCCACACCCCGCTGCGGCCATGTTATGAATACTGCCACGTCCCCCCGGATCCACGAACGGCGCCTTGCCGTCCCAACGACCCAAAAGCAGGAACGGCCCCTCTCCTCTGCCCAAAATGATGCACCTCCGCGCTTCCGGGGAGGCCTCGGCGATTCAATGCTTGACTTGGAGGTGCTTCGTGACGAACGCGGCGGCCTGGTCGAGCGCGCCGTCGAACGCCTTGCGTGTCTCGGGGTCGCGCAGGTCCGGCCGGATCGCGAAGCCGTGCACGGTGCCCGGGTACACGACGAGCTGCGCCTCAAAGCCCTTGCTGAGCGCCACCGGTGGTCGCGGTCCCTGCGGCGCCATGCTCGAAACCATCGCGTTGAAATTGTCTCGGGTGTATCCGCCGGCGTTGTTCATCTGCTGGTCGATGACAAGGAACTGGTTCACACTCTCCCTGAGTGCAAAAGCTGTCGTCAGCGCCGGGGGGGAGGGGCACTATCTATCTGTCAAGGCAAGAAAGTACGTACCGGGCGGTCTTGTCGAATACGTGATCGTGCTCGGCCCAGACGAATGAAACTGCCTCCGTAATCTGCGTGATGTCGTCGAACGAGACGTGCGAGGGGTGGCATACGACCGCCGCTTTGAACTGCACAGTTTGGCTGCTGATAAAGTGGACGGCGTGCTTCGCGCCACAGCCATATCTGTATCGACACGAACACGTAATATTTGGTGTCGGTCTGGGTGAGTGCAGTGCAGCGTATCCGATACGTACCCGACCGCGGCAAGTTGGCTGTGCTCGCGTTTGAGGGCTGTCAGGAACTCCAGTATCTGGGCGGTATGTGCCTTCGGATGATGCTCAAGGCTTTCTACGGCAATAATATCAGCTGCGCTGGATGTTGACGCGGCAGGGATGCTGGACCGACCTGACAACTTCTTGATAATGTTACGTTGGTCCTTGATTGCGATGACGCTGTGGTCCTCCGGGGAGACGCCGTCGCCTGCGAAGATGTCAGGGCAATATACGGTCAAGCCGGTCTTCTCGGCGAGCAGATCGGATATGAGCTTCGCGTTCGGAATCTGCGGGAAAACGGGCTGTCAGTACCTGGACGCGCTACAAATGAGCGGGCTGCTCGGGCGCACCTTGAAGCCGAACTCGTCGTAGAAAACGACGACTGCAGAAGAATTATCCTTCTGAACAGGTGGCTGAGCAACGTAGGTGTCCAGGGGGCCAACTTTCGTCTGGCTGCCTCTGGGTGTACCTTCAAGGCTACCTGCAGCAGGGTATGAGGGAATGATTTCGGACGCCATAGGATAATTCGATAGACGCTAGGGACCACTGAAGAAAGACCATGGGGTTATATAGCCATGAAGATAAGCAAAGTTACTCTGCATTCCAGGAATTGCACGTCTGGATCGCGCAGTATCCTTGACATGAGAAATCTTAAGGAATTTTGCCATCAGGAAGCGGAGGCAACCACCCGAGAGGTATCATGAAACAAGATCATCCTGGGATTGGAACGTAGAACAGACGCGGTGGCACTGCGGAACAAACTGAAATGTAGACCAAACCAGGTAGAGCGTTTTATGAGATCCGGAAAGCCAATGATGCCATATGGGCGCGTCCCTTATCTTCGACCAGGGCACCCAATCCAGCGAGTCGTTGTATGTTTCTGACAGGCTTCGGGAGTACAGCATCAGTCGAGTTACATGTACCGAATTGTCCATGAAAGACGAGCAGGTCGCCGGTCAACAGAATGAAAAGGATACACAGTGCACGTGACGGGATATTGCGTTCACGATCCCTTCCCCGCACGATCATCATGACGCGCATCGACGCTGCACAGTTGGCGCGGGTGACCGTCCCAGTGGCACTTGAATCGGTCGCAACGAATTCGCAGGTTGTCTACCGCCCACAACAATCATGGCCGTCCTCTCCCGCCTCCTCCCCGTTGTCGCGAGTGCCTACGGTCTGCAGTCTGTACTCGCTGCCATCTTTGTACCGCAGGCCAATGAAAAGTTCTACGATCTGGGCGGCGCGCTAGGGTTCATGTCGACCACGTTTATCTCGCTCTATTACCCCGCACTGAAATCCAAGTTCTACGAGGGAAAGATAATCTCGTTGCCGCCGTTGAGCAGCTTCGCGCCCAGACAGCTTCTCATCACCGCTTGCTTGGGCGTCTGGAGCGCCCGACTGGGCAGTTTCCTGTTCAATGTGAATCGCCAGTAGTATGCGGAGAATCATGTAGTTGAACTGAACTTAGCGCGCCATGAAAGCCGGCGGAGACTCGAGATTCGACGAGGTCAAACACCAGCCGGGCACGTTCACCGTCTTCTGGATGGCTCAAGGTGTGTATACGGACGTTGTTGTCACGCGCGCGAGGACCGGCTGCTTGTTTCTGATCTTTATATTGTAGCTACCTGGGTTCTCCTGGTCGGGTTACCTGTTTACCTAGTGAACGTCCTACCTGGCCACCTGCATCCGGCGCTGTCCATCAGGGACTACGCCGCCGCCGCACTTTTCGCTTCGTCGTTCCTCTTTGAGGTGACGGCCGACCACCAGAAGTCGGTATGGCGCAAGGCCAGGGATCGCAAGCAGCATGACGAGAAGTTTCTCACGTCCGGTTTGTGGGGCATCTCCCGCCATCCTAAGTGCATGAAGTGCCTTGTTAGCCTCCCCTATATGCGCTAATGCGATTACATGTATGCAGCTACGTCGGAGAGGTTGGGATTTGGACCGGTATCTGGGCGCTCTCGACCGCGAGTTTGCAGACGGCGTACTTCCCTCGTGGAACGGTCGCTCTCGCTGCAGCCAGTCCTCTCTTCACCTACTTCCTCCTTCGCAAGGTGCGTGTGTCCTTAAGCTACTATGTACTCGTCTTACTGGTGGGTTTACTGTAGGTTTCCGGCGTCCCGCCCCTGGAGGTGAGTAAACAATCATGATCGTTCTCGGTTCCGCTGAACATATGCGCCTTCTTCCAGCGTGCTGGGAACAAGAAATTCGCGGGTGATCCAAAATGGGCCGAATATAAAACGTATGCAGCACTTGTTCCGATATCTCCGTCTGCTCCACTCACGGTATGGCAACCCTTCAGTAATGTTCCAATCTTCTGGCCATTCACGGGAGGCGACCGATCGTGAATGGTCATCGTAGTCATTCTTCTTGTGTCTTTAGGGGGTCAAGCTATACGCTATCATCTGCAGGGTGGCAAGGCTGGGCATGATAGACGCTCCTGGCAGATGGCAAGGTTTCGCTGATGTTCTGTACATTCATATGTCCGTGGCATGTTCTGTGCGCTGTAATGGCTAGGAAATGGAGTGCCATCGGAACTATAATGCGCGTCTCAACCCGGAGTAGGAATTAGTTCACCCTGAGCCTGTAGCCTAGGATATGTCTGTCCGGCGATCGACCCAGGTTGATGCTGCCCGATTCCAAGGATGTCGAGCGGTACATCTTCCGGAAACTGGATGGTCTTCGCTGACGATGGACCGTAACCCCCGATAGAAGCTCGCAGATTCAGGAGCAGGCGACAAGCCTGAAGTGTCACGCATCAGCAGCAAACCAGTACGAGGAGGACGCGGAGAGCCGGCATAAACACATACAGAGATGGCGTGTGCTGTTATGACGAAGCTACAGGCAGGGGTTTCAGGGTTTGTCGCTGGATGTGTACAAAGCTTTTTGCGTACGGATTGTATAGTGCAATCAGCTTGCGGTTCGTGAATGCGAGTGCGTCAAAGATGCTCAGAGCTTGTACGCCTGCCAACGAGTGAGCATATATCCCAGGACCTCGATGAAACGGGTCTTAACATGTCGTCCTTCGTAAATATAATCAGTCACGCAATTATCTTATTGACTGGTCCTGTACACACATGAAGAACCAAACGGTGCCATCGCGCGTCATGATATACAAAATAGGCATCAGTTTCCGCTGGTCACGGAGACATAGGTTCGAAGCCTTGCTTTTCAATGACTGGCGGACCATCATGGCAAGGTATAGCACTGAAAATGATGATGGTAAGCAAGTCCATCGACCGGGTTCGATTTCGGTGGAATGTCTTACCGTTGACGAGCGTATTCCATATGCTAGTGGTGCATCAGACACGGGATCAACGTGACATACGTGATTATCCTACCCAACTGCTAGGGAGATCGTGACAAATCTGGGTGGCGACGTGTTGCAGCCGTTGAAGGGCGGAGGCAGCGTGGATGCAGATGGTCGCAGAGACACGGCATTCGCTGACCAACCGACTAGTATACCCTACACAATAGTTTTGAACCTATCTGGACGTGGCGTATTCAGCCTTGCATGCTCACGATCAGAGATCCTGCGTCAGGGCATGCGGTTAGTGAATATCTGCTACTGACGGAGGACTGCACGAACCGGCGTATAGTATCCTGACGAGTAGCCTTGCTTTAAGAGCGTATGATCAGATGGAATATGACACTCTGGCGAAGAAGATAGGGAACTTACCTCTCGGGCTATCATGGTAAAGCGCACATAGCCTCATGGCCTGCATCATTTCCCCCGTCCCCAACGGAAACACGGAAGTATGGAAGCCCTCGAACCAGAACCAGAACCGGCAGCTAACGAGAGATGGATCAACTTCTTCCAGCTCAAGCTGAAATGCCGTGACGCACAATTCATCCTGGCGTTGTTTCAGCTATGAATTCGATAATGTCGTGATGGTCGATTCGATGACTTACAGTGAGTTCAACGTCCGGAACTGATATGTCTAAGCTAACAATCAGCGTGGTCGTTTGCCGAGTGCCATTGGTATGCCGTACATTTGAAGCAGAATCTGGACCTTCATGTTAATGAATTATGCACTTGCATCGCGAGGCAGACGTACATTATTACGAATGTTGAGTAATACCTCATGACAATATACAGTGCTTTATGCAGCGTGAAATTTCGCCTGTAGAATAACCCAAAACTGTCAGGATCGCCTAGCTTTTCAACGAGCTGTCGCCTGACCGCCATATAAGCGTAAACTGACTGGAAAGGTTAGCGGTCGATCTCACTGTCGCAGACAATCAACGCACCTCCTGGGGCAATGTTAACATAACATCGTACAAGAGCCATGTGATGCCCGCTACGTATGCACTTGCTACCACTCTCGAGTCCCGAGCTTCCTGAAGCAACAACTTCGTCGTTGTTGGGTCCATTATAACATTGATGGTGGCATTGGGTAGCGTTGCTCCGAGGATGTCTGGTAGAGTTGATAGCATCCGCCTATCCGAGCAAGCTCAAGATCCATAGAGCCCGGACGAGGCTCCACTATGCCGGTCTGGAACCAAAGTGTAGGCGGTCAGGATGCCCAGGGGATGCGAGGCACACAGCGTGGGGTGTTCTGAATGTGGGCTATGGAAAGCGGGAGAGAAAGGTCAGGGGAGGGGGGAATGCCCGAGAGGAGGCGGCTAGAGTTGCCAGTGAGTAACGTGGCGTCGACGAGTTGTGGAGCGATCCACGGAGGTCCACACGGACTGTTGCACGACAGCTTGCAAATATGCCAGGCGCTCTTTGGTGGAGAAGAAGTAGCACCGCTTCAGTTCATCAGACAACGGACACCGCACTAAAGCAGACGCAAGCGAGTCTAACGAGATCGGTCCCGCACATCCCGGTCCGGGGAAAACCGTAGAACCAGGAGCGCTGGATTCATTCTGTCAACGGCGTTCTGCCATGACTTCCGACCTCTTGCTTGACCGCATAGGTCTGAGTACTCGGATATCTCTCAGTACCGACAGACCCCGTTGAAGGTTGGCCTGAGCGGGTTGCATATCGCTGACCCTTTGACGTTGTTCGTCACTGACGAAACGGTCCCGGCTTCTGGATGGTTTTAACGGCGTGCGATACGCCGTCACCTGTACGTTATTGTCACTGGAACCATCAGAAACGCGGGAAGAGGCGAAGCCTAGAGTGCAGGTGTAACAGCGCCGAGTTCTCGTCATTGCTTCTCGCGGTTCCGGGAGGAATGACGAGACAAAGTCGCGCCAATGAGTCGGCGGTCCTGTCATGTATGTCCTTGTCAGCGGTTGTGTAGCCCAAAATGGAACCGTTGTCATACGGGCCTGTAACTCAGTGGTAGAGTGCCTGCTTTGCAATCTGTCTCCTACGGAGGGCACGGATAAGACTGCATGAAGTCCTGGGTTCAATCCCCAGCTGGTCCACGCTTTTTGGGGTTGTTCACTTGCATTACGCTCCGTCGGGCATTCCCCGATGCAACCGATACATATTCTCGTGTGCCTGAAGGGCCTGTAACTCAGTGGTAGAGTGCCTGCTTTGCAATCCTGTGGATGATACGACTGCATGAAGTCCTGGGTTCAATCCCCAGCTGGTCCACGGTTTTGCCGAAGTCGTTTGCGAAACGAGTTGGGAAATCTAGCATCCCTACGATTACAGTCGTGTCAAGCATCGAGTATATTAGCTTCTAAATTAGCTCCTTTTCGCCCTTAAGCAGACGACGCGCAACACTGAAAGTGCTGTGCGCCCGCCCTATTTAAATACCATTCAGACCACCAGGACATGTACAAGCACGCTCCCTCCGTCTCGATAGAACGCCGCCTATTGAGACTTCCCAAGCTTTTCCTTTTCTTGCTCTTGTCGTTGCGCGTCCATTCGCTTGATCTCGAGCATCGGGTCGAGGTGCGATTGCGGTTGGCGGTAGGAGCCGTAAAACTTGTCCGCCCACGTGAAGTACTGCGAGAAGAAGAGAGAGCGACGTCAGCGTAGTTCGGAGCTGAGATCGTCGGATGAATGGGGAAGGTGGGGCGTCGGGGCCAGGATTGAACCTTATGACCCGATGCGTGCGGCTGCTTGCCCTTTCGGGCAAGAAGTGCCCACCCTTGCACGAGGAGAAAGAGAAAGAGGATGCTCACTTGGCCATAGTTGACGGTGAAGTAGAGGTGGTGGAGGGTATGATGCGCAGGACCGTTTATGATCGTCTCTAACGGGTGTCCAGTGATCATGTCCGAGTCGTGGATCTGGAGGTTAATATTAAGCTCCGGAAGATCTTCGGTGAGCGCATATGGCAAACGTACGAATATACTCCAAAAGTTCACGACGACAAAGAGGCCGAGGTAAAGGTAGCGATGGAAAGGCAGCAGGAAAACGATGAGGTGGTACGGGACGGATTGGAGGTAACCGTCGACAGGATGGAAGGCGTGGGACGCGAATGGGGTGGGGACTATGGAGTGCCGTTCAGTGAACCAGAGCGGCAGAGCTGGGAGACAGCAACGTACTGATCCATTTGTGATGCGGCTTGTGGATATACTTGTAGATGAGCGGATGGTGCAATAACCGATGGACCCAGTAAATGCCGTAGTCCGTGAAGAGCAGGAATCTGAAGCGAGTGTCGGCCAGGTTAGCAATCACCGCTATGAGCCAAAGACCGGCAGGAACTTACATAGGTACTGAGGCGACCAACCATAGCCAACCGTATTCCTCTACGTTGTCGTACATGTTCGAATACCCCTGAACTTCCGCAAAGAACCATGGTAGAGTGAGGAGGGTCATCATAGGGAATGCCCGCAAGCTGCACTCAATCTCCTGTCGTACTTGGTTCTTGAGGAACCGGGGATGGCGCATCATGTTATGGTCGAATATGAACTGGTACGAGAGACTAGCGAAGATAAAATAGAGGAGGTGGATGCCGACGAGGGTGAGCACGGATATCGAAAGCAGTTGTCGCGGAATATAGTCTCGTGGCCACGCGGAGACTACGTCTGGTGATGTCAGAAGGGATGCAGACATGTTGAGGCCCGGGGTCGCATAAGAGAGAGGCGGATGCGGGAGGTAGGAAACAACTTGCGACCACGTTGATGGTGCGCATCCGCTCGAGAGGATGGGGGCGAGTGTAGAGCCGTTCACCGACTTGAGAACGGTAGGCACCGCGTCGGCAAACGCAGAGATAGGGAGGAGGCGCGAGTATAACGCGTCGAGGAAGAGGTCGTCGCAGAGGGTAAGCACGAGATCCATGATTAGACGGGGTCGCGTAGGGATATGAATGTAAACCTGCAGGGAAAGCCAACCGTCGTCGAGGCCCACGGCGGGGTGCGTGTGTGAGCCGGGGAATGTCGCCCATGGTTTTAATATTCCGAACGGACCAGGTCAGACCACTCGAGAAATTTAGCCACGTGGATATCTTATCCGATATGTCATGCCTTCGGCGTCTCCGGCGATCACTTTCTTGGTCATCGATCCTCACGGTGACACCGATGTTTGGCGTGACTCTTTGCGGCCGTGCCTCGGCTTCAACCCAGGTTGCATCGCACTCCAGGCAGACCATACAGGGGCTCTAGGTCACATACAGATGGTAGCCAGAACATCACCGCTTGACACTCGTACGCTTCTTGACCTCGTCATCTTTGACAACGTGCAACATCACCTTGTTCGGCATGCCCGGCTTCATACCGATATACCCTTTGTGCCAGTCGTATGAGACTGCGTATGCAAATATCGTCCCACTGCGGTTAAAACAGGAGGTAGAGATGGGGCCCGGCGCGGGATCGAAGCCTGGAATAAGGGAATATATTGGCACCGCACGGAACCTGCAGCAAGAAGATTCACGCACTTTTGAGCCGCGTCCGCGCGTCCCGATCCCAGAAATGCACCGTGCCGTCCGACCCTTGAGGCTGTTCTCAGTCCCGCGGCGTGGAGCAGCAATAAAATTCATACTCACCGATGGTGGAGAATACGGTGCTGTGCACGGGATGGAACTTAACGTCGTTGACTGCGTACACCAGAACCTGGTCTTTCTTGTTCGGTACTGCGTCTTGACGGTGACATCTGAACGAATAGTTGCTCCTGCAAACACATTATACGCCTATCACAGCATGTGGCATGAGTCAGCCACGCACGATGCATCTTTGTCTTCGATCCATTGCATCGCAACTCGGCCTTCGATACTGCCAACGGCGAAACCATTTGCAGAGTTGAAGCAGCAAACGGTACGCGTTTGCCACTTCAACGGCGATAGAACGGTCTGCATTGCGGTCAAGCTTCGGTCGATTTGGATGAACACAACGAACAGGAATACCTTGTGTATCGTAGTCGGGTTTGTGAGATTCACTATGTGAATCTGTCGTTCCGCGCATCCGACTACTAACAAAGGGTACACCACGTCGAGCGCGTAGCAACGCTCCGGAAGGTTCAAGATGGCTATCGGCTGAGCCTGTTGCAAGTTCCAGTACTGCGAATCAAGCAAGCGCGTCATTGATGCGGTTCGTTGCGGCGTCAACAGACCACGGAAGTGGCAACGTACTTTGACAGTCTTGTCCCAGCTCGCTGTGACGAGGATACCGCCTTGCGGCGAATCAAAGAACCTGAGCCCCTTGATCGCTCCGTCGTGGTGCGCAACTTGCTGCGATGCGCCTGTTTGCAAGTCGAGCATGCGCGCCGTGTTGTCTGCGCTACCGGAGAAGACCTTCGTCCCATCCTGTTTTCGTGCCATGTCACTCTCATAGTCTCCGCATATGCGGGCCGCAAATCTGTCGACGAACCGAGCTCCAACACACGCTAAGGACCGGTCCTTGATGGCTAGTCATTGCTAGCCCTCTCGTCCTTCCTTCCGGGGAAACTTCGTACACTCGAACCTAGGCCCATCTCTCTCAAACGATGCAACCAAGCTTGAGCATGCGAGGAGAAGCGTACGCTGTTATCCCAGCTTCCGACGGCCAGGTAGTCACCCTGAGGGGAGAATGCCATGGAGGACACGGAGTCCGTAGGAGGATCTGCAACCTCGACGTCCGCCACTGCCGCGGCGGTAGTGTTCGAGTTCCCAAAGAACGACATCACAGAGGGACGAGTTGAGCGTGCGGTAGATGTCAATGAACGCTGCGCTAGTCTGGCACGCTGTATTAGACTCACGTTCGGTCCCGGATCCCGTTCTTGATGCCGATCCGAGGTCACATGGGCGCGTCTTGATAGCGAATACGCCTTGGCGACCAACGCGTTCAACGCGTTCATCGCATTCAAGGGTCATGAGCTTTGGCTCGAACTACGACCACCATCCCCATCATGTACGACCAACGCTCGGCCTCGCGTTGCGCGATAGACCGGCTACCCACCGAACTGCTTGCACGCATTATCAAGCTCGCCGCCGCATATGTTCTGCGAAATTCCGCAGATCCCTTTCTTCTACAGGAGCGGGCTGAGTCTACCTTGAAGACGACGAGGCTTAGTCTGACTCGAGTCAATAAACAATGGAATGTTAGTTGACGTCTCTATATCGCGAGTCGGTGCCTCATCGAGTCTTCTGATTCACCCAGGCGATCGCAATTCCTTACCTCTTGGAAGAGATACGCATCGGCTGCAAGCTCTCTCCAGAAACCAAACATCTGGGATACGCGCACACCGCCCGTCTCGAAAACCTCATTCGCACCTCGGAGCTTTGCCCGTCCTTGCTGAAACGCACGCGCACCATGGTGATGCTGCTCGGCTGCCGCACCGTCGCAGATCAGTGTCATGCAGGCGTCCAAATTTGTCATTTACTCTCCCGCGTCTCGCTGAGGCACTTCTCAACGGACCTGAGCTGTGAAGCACCCTGGCTATCGTTCCTCGTGTCGGGCAGTGCACAGTCCCTAACACATCTCGACATCCACATCAGCGCGCGCGCCATATCGTGCACAACCATTCCCTCCCTCAACGCTCTGACGAACCTCACGTTTCTGCGTGTGACTGAAGACAACAACCGTAACTCCTACGCAGCCTCGCTGGAGCATCCCTATCCCGAATCATTGAGCAGTCTTGCGCAACTTTGCCTCCCGCGATTAGAAGAACTGCAACTCATAATCACGAAAAGTCCCGAAGACGTGCACCCTGACGGCCACATCCCACTCCACATCGGCTTAGCGGCTAATCTGCCGTCCCTCCGCCGTCTTCATCTCTCCGAGGAACAATGGTTCGAAGAGGGGATGCTCCTGCGTTTCTTAAACGCGTTCGGAGCGAAGCTGGAGGCGCTTCACATCCAGAATGCCTTCATGCCCGACGAGCTCGAACGCATCCACGAGCTCGCTCCCCACTTAACCGAGATCGGCTGCTACGTGCCGTTCTCGTACGAAATCGACGTCGAATTCGGCGAACGCTGCATACAACATCCGCGCGTCCAGCATCTATGCTTCTCGGGAGACGCCTGGTTCTCGGAGACCATACGGCTCATCGATCGAGCGAAACTTCCGAGTTTGATTGATGTTCGCCTCGTGGACGTTGCGTGGGCTCGCGCACGCGATCCATCGGTGTGTAAGGATAGGAGCTTTGGTTGGAAGTTGATGGAGGATATGCAGGCGGCCTCGGAACTTTCTGTCAAAGGAATACCGTGTTTCGATATGAACGGCAAAGTGTTTGGCGGCCTGGTGTCGTCAGCATAGCAGTTATTTGTTTATTATATCTATTGCATCCATACTGTATAGTCATTTGTACGGTGCTCGTAGGTACTATAAGATGTTTGCTGTCATCCTCTTGGTATGTCCTGGCTATGCCACCCCTGTCCCCCCTCTGACCCAGCCGAACTTATGGTCGAAAAACTACAGTATATGCAGTATCCTGGCATGAATGAGCCCCCCGCTATAGACCTAAGTCTCACCGATACTCGCGCAGATCATCAAGTTCGCTGCCACGTTTACATGAAGATCGACCCCCATATTCAGCATTTGCTATTCTCCGGGAACGGCTGTTTTTAGCAAGACCATTCAACGCATCGATCGAGACAATCTGCCGAGTTCGGTGGACGTGCGGTTCAAAGCCGTATCGTGGACGAGCATTAACGACCCGTCTGATTTCAGATGTTATAAGGGCCAGGCGCGTTGAATCGCGCGCACGTGAGCGCGACAACGTCAAGTAACTCCGCTCCCCTCACGCGTACGTCCTTGGCTGCGATCTACGCGCTTCTACGCGTCCGACAAATCAACCCACTGCAGCATCGTCCGGCCAGTATGTCGACCAAATATTTTTCCTTGGATCATCGGTTCGAAAAAACTGATCATACAGGCTATATCAGGATTCCGGCTCTGCAACGATGGCACTGGAACGAGGCTCCTGCGCGATTGGTCGGCTTCCGAATGAGTTGCTCGCCCAAGTTATCGAGCTCGCTGCTGCATACGATCTTTTGCGAGATGGAGATCCCTTCGTGCTCGCTTCGCCGACCTCCGTCCAAGTCGCAGACAAAACGAGGCGGAGCATCATGCTCGTCAACAAACGTTGGAATGCGAGTCCGATTTCTCACTGTTTGACGCATCCCAAAGCAGCTGCTAACCTCGTATTTCACAGGCGCTGGCGATGGCTCGAATCACACCTGAGATCAGGACCGGCTGGAAGACTTCGTCCAGCGACTTCCCCATGCCGTACTTCACGGGATCATTCAATGGTCCCGTCCGTGTTTCAGAGCACTCACCCCACCTGATCAAAAAGACGCGCACCATAGTTGCATTGCTGGGCTGGAACTCTGGATCCCCAGAGGAGTGCCGAGCAGGCGTCCAGCTCTGTCATCTTCTCTCGCACCTCGCGTTGAAGCATTTTTCCACCGATCTGAGCTTTTCAGTACCTTGGCTCTCTTTCCTCGGAATGCGTAGTTCGCAGTCCTTGACACATTTGGATATTCACATCCCCCCTACCTTCATCTCCGACACCACCATCAGGCAGTTAAACTGCTTCGAGTACCTCGTGTTCCTACGCATGGTGGACGTTGGCGATTTGGAGAGCGACGAGACGGCTCCCTCACCGGAAAACCTGAAGGATTTGCCCCGGCTTTCTCTCCCTAATCTCGTGGAGATGCAGCTCGTGGTTAAAAACTTCGTTAGCGAGGGACATCCCGATGGCCCCATACCCTTCCGCATCGGTGAAATGGCTGATCTACCGTCTCTCACTCGTTTACGACTCCACGAAGATTATACGGGAGACGACACACTTCAGAACCTCCTCAAAGCCCACGGAGAAAAACTCGAAGTCCTGCATTATACCTCCGGCGCGATACCCACCGTATACGACTTCATGTCGTTCTCCCAACTCGCGCCAAACCTGACTGAATTTGGTTGCCACGTCTCGGCTTACGCTGAAGTCATCAACGGCCACGCCCCACTCATACAGCATCCCCGTATTCAACACTTGTCGATATCTGGGCTCGGCTGGTTCACCGAGACCTTGCGCCTCATCGATCGCAAGACCCTTCCGTCTCTACTCAATATTCGTCTTTCCAACGTCGTATGGGCCGACATCCGCGAGCGAGACGAGTTCGGAACGGATCGCATGCAACGTAAGGTGTTGGAGGAAATCGAAATCGCTGCGCGCCTCGCAATGCAGGGTATACTTGTACTTGACAGGGTCGGCAAGCCGTTCGGTGATCTGGAGTCGGTGGTAGAACGGCGTCGAAAGCAGAAAGTAGAGTTGACCGACGGTGTAGTAACCCAACAATAGCCCGTCGTGACATTAGTCCTCTCAGAGCCTCAGTTTCGCGTTGTTGTTGGGGATGGGCAACGCCCAGCCAAAAGTTCGACTCCGACATAACTTCCCACGCATACAAAGCACTGCCATGACAATGAAGGGTACCGGACAAAGTGTCTTGTCCGACCAGGTTATGCAGTCAACCAAGCCAGCTGACGTCTAGAATGGTAGAGAGACTACCGCTTAAATTTGATTCTTGAGAGAATGTTGAGAATAGAATTTCTTTCTTTGTCCTCGGAGGAGTATAAACTAACATCAGCACCGATTAAATGGGCCAAAATGGACCAAAAATAAAATTCTATCCTCAACATATTCTCTATTGGCATCCCAAAGAATATTCTAGAAGGGTTGTGCAATTCTAGAACCTTTGTGGAAGGTACGGCACTTGATGCAAGAAGAACTCTTTTTGCGGGAGTTTGAGCCAGCCATCAGATTCAGCACAGCCACTTCACGGTGCTCTGTAGGAGGGAGCATGTAGTTTGCAGGAACCAATGAAGTTCAAAATTGATAAGATAGTAAGATATGTCATTTTTTTAATTTTGTAGAGCTTTGCCGAATTTATGACTTGGGAGAAAGGTCGAGGAATGGGGATGGACACCCAACAACGTGTACATCAAGTAGATGTGTGGCAGTGTAACCGTGGGATTGGTTACGCCTACTTCGTAGGCGTTGCCCAACCCCATTGTTGTATAGTCAGCAGTATAGAGCGTCACTGACGTCACTACCGATCCCCGCACTCTGTACGCGCGCTCACGCCGACTGCGATCTCGTTCACGTTCATATCCTTTCAACTTCGACCACGACCACGACCACGATGCCTCTACTACATCCGCTACCTCATTCAAGCTCCCTGGACCCCGCTTTTGCATGGCCTGTAAGCTCGACCGTACCACGCTTTTGCGTACTGACTGAGACAATTCGTGATGCAGGTCAAGTTCTGCACGTACACGACAGCGACATGCTACGTGTTGTCCATCCTGACGGGAAACGTGTCCCAAGTAGACCGACTATGGACGTGAGCAAGCATTCGCCCTTGCACCACACAGCTCAGCGTTTGAACATGTCGCCATTGACCTTAGATTTCTCCCGACTATATACACAGCGTATTATGCCCTCCTGCCGTTATGGCCGCATGAAGCCCCCGCGCCACTCTACCCATACGCGCCCGAGAACGTCGCGTCGCACATGACGCAAGACTTTAGCCCGCGCGCCGTCATGATGCTCGTCCTCCAGGTTCGTCGCCGCATCACCGTGCTCGTGCCAGTGCTCATCTAAGCGCTCGCACACCGCAGGTGATCTGGATGTGCCGACTGTCGTACAACACCTGGCGGCGTGGGCTGTTCAATCTGCACGACGAAGACTACCGCTGGGAGATCCTCCGGCGCAAGCTGCATCCGGTCCTCTTCCACCTCACCAACCTCGTCTTCATCGCCGCCATCCAGAACATGCTGCTCTTCCTCCTGGCGCTGCCGACGTACATCGCTGCCGCGCAGCCACACGTCCCGCTCGGCACCTCGGACTACGTCCTCGGCGGCCTAGCGCTCCTCACGGTGCTCACCGAGTTCGTGGCAGACAACCAGCAGTATTCGTTCCAGACGTTCAAGCACAGCGCGGAGCGGAAGCTGAACGAGAACGACTGGCCCGGCGCGCGCATACGATGGACGACGGAAGACTGCGAGCGCGGATTCGTGACGAAGGGTCTCTGGGCTTGGAGCCGCCATCCGAACTTCCTCTGCGAGCAGACGTTCTGGGTACGACGCGCGCATTTTCTAACATGTCCCTTTGGCTGACGTTGTAGTTCTGGCGGCAGATCATCATGAACCTCGTCCCGCTCTTGTCGCCCCAATCGCCGTCCTTGCCCAAGGTCGTCGACGCGCACCACCCCGTCGCCTCGCTCTCCGTGCTGCTGCACGAGCCGACGCCGCTCTGGACGCTCGTGCCCGCGCTCTCGCTGTGCGCGCTCTTCTTCAGCAGCACGCTCTTCACGGAGAGCATATCGATGAGCAAGTACCCGGAGGCGTACGGCGCGTATCGCCGGCGGGTGGCGATGTTCGTCCCGTTCTTGACGCCCGTGTGGGGGCTGCTGTTGAGCGTCTTCGGGGGCAGGGAGGAACGGGAGCGCGTGGACCGGCTGGTATACGGGTCTGGTGCCGGTGCGGCAAAGGTGAAGGACCAGTGAAGACCCTCAGAGTTTTGGCATCACGGTTCTCTGGGAGGGTATCCTGCGCCCGCGCCCGGTTAACACCGTTGTTCGTGTGCCCCCTCGGAACCGAAATATGCGGCAATCATTTGTTCTACGACACAAGCGGAGAGCAGTTCCAGACCGTTGGAGTCCGTCAATTCAACAGGGTGGTTCACCGATACGTTACCCGGCGGCGACGCGGCGCAATATTTCCAAAGCTGACGCCACGCGACGCCGCGTGGCGTCTGCAGGTCCCAGGGACAGGGCGAAACTGAAAGTGGCCTACGAATGTTTACGTTTTCGAAGCCTGCTTTCATGTGAAATTTCCTCTTCGGGTTTTTTCAGGGAGGCGCCACGAGCGGTGCGACCCTGCGCGAGTCATACGCGATGGGATTCTGTGGGTAAGTCAATGCGTTGGCCCGGCGGTAGGTCGACGGCGAACACGAAATGCTCGGTGCTCGAGTTGAAATCAGAACGTGCCCCCGTTTTTTTCGCGATATATCGCCTGAGGCGGCGGTCCGGCTCGTGAGAATCATGCGCCTTTCGCGTCTACAAGAAGCCGCTGCGGGTCGACCGTCGTGGTGGGCGAAAGCCAAAGATCCACCCGCCGATCCCGCAGAACGTTCGCTGGGCGATCACTTCCCCTGTACATTTGTACATAATCTGCACATTACGCGCTACTATTATGCTGGGTTATCTATCTAGACGGTCCCTCTTCTCTGCGGCAAGCCGAGTTGATCGTGGATCTATAACGGTCAGCAGCAGCGGCAGCAGCAGGGTTCGTTTCGGTTTATGTCACTACTTGAATGGGCGGGACGTGGGCTGATTCTATACTTCGATCGTGTAGGCATCGGTGCGAAATGAAGCACTCGCGCTTCGGCGCAGTTATGGGCGGCAACTTACCGCCCACGTCCTCGGGCCACATCTTGATCATGCGTCAGCCCGGCGGTCGGCGCGCTCCCACAGCGCTTTGGCGGCGGCATCGGCGACGAAGGGGGATAAAGTGGTCGTTGTGCAATGGCCGGATGGCACCTCGTCGAAATTGTGAGTGGACCTGGATCTTGTCGACCCTGATGATGAGGCGCGATCTAACTTGGGGGGATGAGCAGTCACCACATTTGGCTCCGCGACCACTGCCGCTGCCCGGAATGCTTCCATCCAGTCACGAAACAGCGGTTGCACAGCACGTTCGAGGTGAGTAAATTGGCTTTCCGTATGCCGTCATCGCCCTTCTGTCCTGATCTCGACGCGATCATAGATTCCGGCGGACGTAAAACCTGAGGGTGTGCAAGCGACGCCCGGGGGCTTGAGAGCAACATGTGAGGATCCAGTTCGTCTTGCTCGATGTCGGACACGTAGTGAATGCTCCAGCGTGAGGGCCGTCCCAGCATGTTTCGGTCTATCCCTGGTCTTGGCTGTGGACGAATGCGTATGATCGACCCCGGACGGCTGACGACCGTCGGTACCTGTACGTGTTGATTTTCGTGTCGATGAAGCAGCATCTGCTGAAACTGGCGACGATTGCCAAAGGTCGGTATCGCCGGCGTTATGGGGAGCTGAAATCAGCGAACATCCCCCGACGGTTCCCTACGACGGTGTCATGGACCCCAGCGACCGCGGCTTGCTTGATTGGCTGTCCAAGATCGTGGGTCGCCGATCCCACCTTCACAAGCATCTTCATCGACTCACTGACATCACCGTTCACACAGGAACGATGGGGATTTTGCTTCGTCTCCGGTGTGCCGGTGAGCACCGACGCGACGGAGGAGTTGTGCAAGCGCATCGGGTTCATCCGCGAGACGCAGTGTACGTTCGCCCCTTTCGATACGCTTCGCCCATATCTGATACTTTTTGGACGCCGCCATAGACGGCAAGTTCTGGGACTTCACCTCCGACCTCGCGAAGGGCGACACCGCGTACACCACCCTCGCCCTCGGCGCGCACACCGACAACACTTACTTCGTGCGTCCCACACCTCATCGTCGCTCCTTCATACACTCAACACCCCACCGACACATAGACCGACCCCTGCGGCATCCAACTCTTCCACCTCCTCTCGCATACCGACGGCTCGGGCGGCGCCACCCTCCTCGTCGACGGCTTCGCGGCCGCCGCACGCCTCAAGGCGGACCGCCCGGACGCGTACCGCCTGCTCGCGGAGGTGCCCGTGCCCGCGCACGCCGCGGGCGACCCCGGCGAGCTCTACAGGCCGTACCCGCCCGCAGGGTACCCCGTGCTCGGGCACGACGCCGCAGGCGCGCTGGTGCAGGTGCGGTGGAACAACGACGACCGGAGCGTGATGCGCTCGGTGGCGCCCGAGCGGGTCGAGGCGTGGTAAGCGGGGGGGCGACTCTCTTTCTCTTGCACAGTGGAGCTGACGTGAGCGTGCTGGTTTTCCGTAAGGTACGACGCGATCAGGACGTGGAACGAGTACATCACCGCTCCGGAGGCGGAGTACTGGGTCCAGCTGCAGCCCGGTACGGTCGTAGGTACGCATCACACCCCGGTTCGTTGCCTTGACATTCCGCTGATCCTTGGTATATTCCGTGGTCAGCCATCGACAACCATAGGGTCATGCACGGCCGGTCTGCGTTCAACGGCAAGCGCCGCATGTGCGGCGCCTACATCGGTGTGGACGAGTACCGATCCAAGCTCGCCGTGCTCAAGGAAAAGTTCTCGCCCCCGGATTCACCCGAGGCGCTCATGCCAGAGGGACGCAGCATCTGGCACCCGTACCTGTGAACGACACAAGCACCATCTGGCGTGGATGGATATGGCCACAATCTGAAGGAGCCTATTGGCCCGCGATTCGGTTGAATGCACTGTGGAAAAAACCCGCTTGTTATCGTTATTGCTAACGCGTCGCTGTTATGATTGGATACGGGACGTCTAAAAGAGCGCTGTCACCCCTGGTACATATTGGCAGTGATATTCTATCCTAGCGATACATCGGTGGTATAGAGCGATTTCCGACAGCAAGATGATGAGAATGACATTAGTATGAATACTTTTGAGTGTGGCGGGCGTCGTTATACCTCTTAAGACTGGGCCTTGATCTCCTTCAGCACGAACCCTTCTAGCCCGCCGCAGAGCCACAGCTCCTGCACACTCGCGCCCACGCTCCGTACCCTGTACCGCCTCGTCCGCTCGCCCTCCGTCCACCCGCTCACCACGAGCTCGCCCGTGCGCATGTCCATCTCGACATGCAGACCTTCGTCCACCGTCAGCTCTCCCTGGCGCCCGCCCGCGCCGCGCTTGCCATCCTTGGCGTACGCGGCGGTGAGTTCCGCGACGAGCGCGGGCGCCTCGACGCACACGAGCCCGTTGTTGATCGCGTTCCGCTTGAATATGTCGCCGAACGAGCCCGCGAGCACGAGCGGCACGCCCGCCGCCTTCAGCGCCGTCGCGGCCTGCTCGCGCGACGAGCCCGTGCCAAAGTTGTAGCCGGAGACGAGCACCACCCCGCGCTTCGTCCCGTCCGCGTCGACGACGCGCGACGTGTCGATCCCGGCGCCGGCGACGAGGTCGCGGACGCGCGCGGCGAAGGCCGGGTCGTAGTTCTCCATCACGACCTCCGCCTGCTTCTCGAGCGTGATATCGTCCTGGTACGTGTACTTGCCCGGGTAGAGCGCGTCCGTGTTCAGGTTGTCCTGCGGCGCGAAGAGGAGACGGCCCGCGAACTTGACCGGGAATCCCTCCACGAGCGGCTCCTCCCGCGCCTGCGCGTCCGTCGCCACTTCCTCTTCCGTTTGGCGGATCGCGGTCACGGGCGGGCCGGGAGGCGGCAGAGCTGCAGGGTCGAAGGGTTCCGGTCCGCAGATGTAGCCCTTCGCCGCGCTCGCCGCGACGACGGCCGGGCTGGCGAGGTACGCGAGCGCCTTCGGGCTGCCCATCCGGCCCTTGTAGTTCCGGTTGGTGGCGCTGATTCCGACTTCGCCCTCCTCGAGCAGACCCGTGCCGAGGCCGATGCACGGTCCGCATCCGCTGGGCAGCACCTGCGCGCCGGCGCGGACGAGCGCGTCCCAGTCCCCGCTCTTCTCGCACTCGGCCTGCACGCGCGACGAGGCGGCGGCGACGTAGAAGTGCACGCCAGGCGCGACCTTGCGCCCGCGGAGCACGGCGGCGGCGGCGGCGAGGTCGGACGCGCGCGCGTTGGTGCAGGAGACGAGGTAGGCCTTGTTGATCCGGATCTGCTGCGCCTCGAGCGCTGGCAGCGGCGTGGCGACCTTGACGCTGTTCGGGCCCGAGACGTGCGGGACGAGCGAGGCGAGGTCGAACACGAGGTGCGAGGCGTAGCGCGCCTGCGGGTCCGATGCGAGCGGCGCGCGACGGAGGGCGTCAAGCCGCGCGTGGTTTATACGCGGGTGCTCCGGCGGCGGGGCCGTGGTGGAGAAAGTGCGCAGCTCGAGCGCGGTGAGCAGGCGGTCGTACCAGGCCAGCGTGACGTCGTCGACGGGGAAGACGCCCGCGAGCGCGCCCCACTCCGTGGTCATGTTCGCGATCGTCAGCCGCTCGTCGACGGAGAGCGTCCGGACGCCGTCACCCGCGAACTCGATCGCGGCGTTGAGCACCTCATCCCGGTTGAACGCGCCGCAGAGCGCGACGATCACGTCCTTGCCCGTCACGCCCGGGGATAGGCGACCCTTCAGCTCGACCTTGACCATGCGCGGGACCTGCCACCACGTCTTGCCCGTCGCCCAAAGCGCGGCCGCATCTGTGCGCACGATCGGCGTTCCGACGCAGCCTACGCCGCCATACATGTTGGAGTGACTGTCCGATGCGACGGTGAGCGTGTACGGGAATGCGTAGCCCTCCTCGACGAGGATCTGGTGTCCGATGCCGCGTCCCGCAGGGTAGAAGTCGATGTCATGCTGCCGGGCAAAGGCCTCGATGGTCGCGTACTTGTGTAGGTTCTTGTCCGACTTGTTTTGGACGTCGTGATCGAGAGTGAAGACGGTCTGACGAGGGTTGTGGATGCGGGTCGCGCCGATAGACTTGAATCTACATGCAGCTTTAGCATCTGACGGTTAGGGCGATCCCTGCGAGCTACTCACTTGGAGATGACGGGTCCGGTATTGTCGTGTGTCATAACGTGCTCCGGTCGGATCATCACGTAGTCCCCCGCCTGGACGTACTTGCCCTCGGGTAGACCGACCGCATATTTCTGCACGACCTTTTCGATGATTGTCTGCGGCGGCTTGCGCACGTCGGCGACGGTCGCGAACGTCCTCCGGCGTACCGCCGATCCCCATAGCGCAGGGGAGAAGAACCGATGCACCATGTCGCCGTCGTCTTCGTCGTCGAGCGCAACAACGAGCAAAGCCCGGCTAGTATTGAGATTCAGCCAGTGAGCGCCGTCGGATTACCCCGCCGTCCCCCAGTCATTCTTTCGGGCCAACGTCGTCGGCCGATGGCGCCGCTCGCTGTGCATCACGTGAGGTCGATAAAAAGTCCCCGCTCTCTGCTGCCCGAGTCAACGCCCTCCCGCATACCATGTCCTTCGCACCTCGGTCCACCCAACGCGCCCTCCGCGCCGCCCGTGCGCTCTTCAAAGCCGCCCCCAATCCGGCCCAAACCGCGGCGTACTCGCTGCTCGCCCGCCAGAGCCAGCAGGTCGCCGCCCAGACCGCCCGCCGGGCGACCGTCGAGGTAAGGAATCAACCGTCGGGATCAGGTCGGGCCAGCCCATCTGACGCGCACCATGAACGTAACAGGCGACCCGTGGCGTGAAGACGCTCAACTTCGCCGGCACCGAGGAGGTCGTGTACGAGCGCTCGGACTGGCCGCTCGCCAAGCTGCAGGACTACTTCAAGAACGACACGCTCGCGCTTATCGGCTACGGCTCGCAGGGGCACGGCCAGGGCCTCAACGCGCGCGACAACGGGCTGAACGTCATCGTCGGCGTCCGCCCCGAGGGCGAGTCGTGGAAACAGGCGATCGAGGACGGCTGGGTCCCCGGCGAGACGCTCTTCTCGATCGAGGACGCCATCAACCGCGGGACGATCATCATGAACCTCCTCTCCGACGCCGCGCAGAGCCAGACCTGGCCGACCGTCGCGCCGCTGATCACGAAGGGCAAGACGCTCTACTTCTCGCACGGCTTCTCGGTCGTGTACAAGGAGGACACGAAGGTCGTTCCCCCTGCTGACGTGGACGTCATCCTCGTCGCGCCCAAGGGCTCGGGCAGGACCGTCCGGACGCTCTTCAAGGAGGGCCGCGGCATCAACTCGTCGATCGCGGTGTGGCAGGACGTCACCGGCAAGGCGAAGGAGAAGGCCGTTGCGCTCGCTGTCGGTATCGGCTCGGGCTACATGTACGAGACCACCTTCGAGAAGGAGGTTTACTCGGACCTTTACGGCGAGCGTGGTGTCGTGAGTACCCCCTTTCCGTTGCATATATCCGTTCTCCATATATATGCATGGTGCTGATCCCCCTTCCAGTTGATGGGCGGCATCCAGGGCATGTTCCTCGCGCAGTACAAGGTCCTCCGCAAGAACGGTCACTCGCCATCGGAGGCGTTCAACGAGACCGTCGAGGAGGCGACTCAGTCGCTCTTCCCGCTCATCGGCGCCAAGGGCATGGACTACATGTACAACGCCTGCTCGACGACCGCGCGTCGCGGCGCGCTCGACTGGGCGCCCATCTTCGAGGCCGCGAACACGCCCGTGTTCGAGAAGCTGTACGAGAGCGTGCGGAACGGTACCGAGACTCGGAAGAGTCTCGAGTTCAACGGCCGGAAGACGTATCGCGAGGACCTTGCGCGCGAGCTGAAGGAGATCGACGAGCAGGAGATCTGGAGGGCCGGTGAGTCGTATCCGTGTATCTTGCCCCGAGGAGACGCTGATGACCCCGCTCATAGGCAAGGTTGTGCGCTCTCTCCGTCCCGACTACAAGCCTTGAGCGGGGAGCACCGTAGCGTTTTGCATTTCTTCGTCTATGACCTTTCGCACTATTGCGCTTCTTCTGCGGAATGTACTTTATTTGATCTGCTCTGCAATCACGATCAAAAGCGCCGAGGCGCATCCCACCGACCTGTTCGTTGTCTATCTGACTCGTGTGAGAGATCATGCTTGATGCTATGGTACAAATATGATACAAAGCACAATCGTTCGGCGTGATGTGAAGATGCAAGTGAAACTGAGAGAGAACAGAATAGACGAGTATGCCGGTCACGACTCGCGAAGCTTGCGCTTCGTCCCCGCCTGCGCGTTCGAGCTATCCAACAGCACCACAGCGCCAACCCTCGCGCGCCCGGCCTTGACCACCTGCGCCTCGTCGAGGCCCATGCCCAGCCTCTGCCTTTCGCCCGCGCTCAGCTCGACGCCCTCCGCCTCTCTCCGCGCCAGCTTTCCCGTCACCCTCCTCGGCACAGGCGCGAGCGACGGCGCGGCGAACGACGGAAGAGGAGGAGGAGGAGGTGAAGGCTGGTCGGAAGAGCGCGCTTGAGGCAGCCGCTTGCCGAGGAGCGCGATGCGGTACGCCCGGCCCATGTTCATCCCGCCGTCCCACACGAACTGGACGAACGGCCGGCCGGCGTCGTCCCGCGCCGCGCACACGTCGAAGAAGTGGCGCGCCTCCCTGGCGTCGTCGTCGTCGTCGTCGTCGTCGTCGTGCCAGCGGATGCGGACGCTCCACCGGCTCGGGATGGGCTCCCCCGTGCTCGAGCGCGCGCGCCGGACGTCGCCTGGGGAGAAGGTACCGCGTAGGCCGAGGTGGCCGAGCGAGAAGGAGCCGGAGAGGCGCGGCTCGACGTCGCCGTCGATGGACAGCCCTGCGTGGGCGGACGAGGGCGCGAGGGAGAGCGTCAGATGGCCCGCGCCGTCCGTCGCCGAGGAGGCGGAGGAGGGGCCAGGCGAGACGAGGCGTGCGCCGTAGTGCGAGTCGTGGAGGTAGAGCCAGGTGTAGGTGCCCAGGAGGTGGACGACGGGGACGTGTTCCGGCGTGAGCTCCTGTAGTTTCCGTGATCGGCGACTTTGTTAGGGTTGTAGGTTCATGGCTCGGCGTGGGTGGGGTGCGTGCTGTAAGTACTGACCAGTCCGTACGCGACCTCGTCGCGCTGTGCGTTCCAGTATTTGGGAAAGGTCGCGGTGGACAGTGTCATGGGTATCGAGTTGGCTCCTGAGAGTCGAGAATGGGAGCTGAGCGAGGCTGGTCAGCTGTGGGTATGAGCCTGGCCTGAGGGCGCCATGGGCGTTCAGATGACCCTGACCCGGTGCGTGCGACTCTGCGAAAGCCCCGGAGAGGGGATTCATGCACGTGAGGGCGTTCTTACAGAGTGACCTATCAAAGACCCGCTATTTGAACTGGAATATACTCAAGTGTAAGAACGCGTGTAACGCGTGAACCATCGTCTCTAACTCACCATCTGCGTTTTTCCAAGATCTTCTCTTGCGCTCCCGCTACACGAGCTATGTCGTGCCGGCAGCGCCACTGCGACGATCCAAACACGGATGACTTGCCACTAACACATCGAATAAGGATCTGCCCATGCGTTTCATGCTCCACTCATTCGTATATGCCGTAAATGCTGTTCATCTCGGGCATGCGGCGGGCACGTGTAGTATCAAATGCAAGTACCCAAGCTCAACCTCTGCGAGACTTGGCGGTTGGCGCTTCCTACCATACACAACGCTCAGCCAATGAGTTCCTCTTCTTCGAAGGGTAGGATTAGTCCGACTCTCTCTGACATCTCTATCATCACCGCTTCATCTGGGACCATGGACGCTATCGGGGCAGCTCTCTCTCCTGGGTTTGGATCCGCAGCAGCACAATCCCAAGATGTGCCGCGCCCTCTCTCGCACCCGAGGTGGTACATACAGGACGAAAACGTCGAGATTGTGGTATGTGATATTATAACTTATGATACGAGCTTATCGTATGCTCAAATGCGATCCCAGGCAGGCGGCTATATGTTCAGAGTACCACAATATTCCCTCCAGAGAGGCTCGGAGCGTTTCGCGGAAATGTCAGCTGCACGAGAACTGAACCCGGACGGCACTCGTGCGCCTATCGTTCTTCCGGATCCCATCACAGACGAAGATTTCGAACGATTCCTAGATCTCCTCTACCCAATGTGAGCCGGCAACGCTGCATGAATATCCCTGGCCGTCCGCATTGACGTTTGCCATGATAATATTCAGTGTTTTCGGGACGTACGCGTTGCATACATCGGAGGAATGGACGTCGGCGCTGCGCGTCGCGCATTATCTGCGATTCGACTCTATCAGAGCCCTCGCTATGAACGAACTGTGCTCTCTCGCGACACCCGTCGAAAAGATAGTCTGTGCGCGGGAGTTTGGTATCCCCCAGTGGTTGCAGGGAGCGTACACGGACCTCTGCCTCCGTTCCGCTCCCCTGTGCGAGAGGGAAGGCACACTCCTCGGTCTCTCTACGTGTCTCAAGATCGCAGCCGCGCGCGAAGCCATGCGCATCCCCGCCGCTCCGATCGATCAGACTCTCGCCACGTCGATCGTTAAGGAGATATTTGGTCTTGGGGTGGATGGAAATACTTCCACGGCGATCCGTGACCAGTATCAACGCATCACGAGCAAGCCGCGCAGTCCTGATGCTACGAAGCAAGTGTTCCCGTTGTTCATTCGTGTCACAATCCAACCGTGTCATCAGGATATCTAGTGTTAATTCTCCTCCCCTTCTTCCTCAAGTGACACGCAAATCAGACAAGCCCCCCGTATATGAAAAGGAGCGAGCGAGCGACGACCTGAGTACCCAATCGCAGACGAACAGCCAGCCCCAGGGAACGGCAGCGCGCGTAAAGCACCGTGCAGAGCCCCAAATGCCAGGATCGCCTCTTCCCGGCCCTCCTGTACGTTCTTCCATTAATTTATCCGAGGACTGTTTGCCCACAGTGCGAACGCTTCTGGTGGAGGGGGCTGGAGCCGCATTTGACCCGGCAAGCGAGGGGAACATTGGCGAGCGTCAGGATCCACCCGCATCAGCGCGGAAGGACATTTGGACGGCTTCCTTCGGGCTCTGGGCGGCCTCGATTTCGGCCATAACAGATAAGGCCCTCACTACAACATACGAGTCGGCGTCAGGACTTGGTGACACGGAGTCCGCCAACGAGTCGTTTCAAAACGACAAGGAGTGGGCGATTTTTCTGTTTCTTGAGGGATATCGTGATTTACGACGCCCAATTTCACACAGTGATTCGATCGTTGATCTTTTCACGACGGGTCCAGTCGTAGACAAGGCAACGAGGAAAGCACTGCGCAGAGCCAAGAAGACAGGAAGAACAGAGACAGAATCGTGCAGAGCGGAGGGAGAAGCGCGGGACCATGGAAGCCACAAACTCCACTCCTGATGATGGCACTTAAACTAGGAAACATACGATGTGAGGAACGGATGAAGAGCTGGCCGTGCCAAGCTTTAAACTGGGAGGCGTCTTGCTCGTTTCGTACGGGAGATATGATGCACATGTAGAGATTCAAGGTACCATGTGCGGGTTCAAGCATTCACGACAAGACCCTCTGAAGGACGGCCTGGGCGATGTTCAACCTACCGAAGACGTAGATTCTGGGAATCGTGTAGGTGTACGGCGATAGTTAAGCAATGGTGCGGATATTTAACTGGAACTCTGTTTGTTCCGCACTGGAGACTCGTGATTTCAACCATGATACCCACGTCGTCGCTTCCAAAGGGCCCGCGGCAATGTACCCTATTCGGCAGGCTTACGAGCCTGGTTTGCGAAGCGTCTTCTCATGTGTAATCACCTTCTACCGGCATTGTTGACGAGGGGGTTCGATTTGGACCAAGCATCAAGTGCCTGTTTGTCACTTTTTATGCCTGAATAAGACGAGGAAAACGCAGAGAAATATCAACGCTTCCCAGATGAGAGCCATCTCGCAGCAAACCGGGTCGCCGGTGGGTTCCAACTCATAAGCGATAACGTCGTGAACGTCAACTTGGTCCAGCCAAACTTGCCCGAGTTCGATCTGCTGACTCAGCCAGGCCACATACCCACGGCACCACTGCACAGCATCTCCCTCTCCTCTGTACCGTCAGTCAGTTGGCTCTATCTGCAACAATGTCGACCTCGATCTTCGTCTCGGCCTTTGCCCCCTTCCCAACGCTCACCCTCTCTGTTCCTTCTGATGCCTTCCTCTTCGATGTGCCAGACCTCCTCGCAGAGCGCTACCCCTCGCTTCCTCGCCATCTTCGCCTATCGACCCTTCGTGGCGATGTTGCCCCCGACACCCCCCTCTCTGCGCTTTCCGCTCCCGGAGAGTTGCTCTCTCTGCGTATTGCGCCGCGTATTCTTGGTGGAAAGGGTGGTTTTGGAAGCCAACTGCGCGCGGCCGGCGGTCGGATGAGCAGCCAGAAGACCAGCAACAACGACTCGTGCCGGGACCTCAGCGGGCGGCGTCTGAGCACCATCAAGGAGGCCAAGAAGTATGGCGTCCTGTCTTTGTGTTTGATAGTCCTCATGTTTGTTGACACTCGTGAACCATCTCAGGCTGGCGGAGTACCTCGAGTCTGAACCCGAGCGGAAGAAGGCTGCTGCAGAGGCCCAGCGCGCCAAGCTCGAGGCTCTCGAGAAGAAGCTCGGGCTCACGCCAGGTGCTGGTCCGTCGTCGTCGTCTTCGCCTGGAGACGCGCCGGAGCCGCTCGCCGGGAAGAAGCACAGGTTCGACGACCAGGAGTACATCGAGCAGAGCCGGGACATCGTCGACAATGTCCGGAGCGCCGTCTCTGTTGGTACGTCCTCATTTTTCAACCTCCATAATACCAATTCCATCCTCACTGACACGATACGATCCACAGCGATGCTCAAGAAGAAGAAGAAAGCGAAGACATCGCATACATCTGCAAACGCGGAGGCGGCGGCGGCTGTCGCCGCGAAGGATGTGCGAGAAACCATGTCGGCAACGGTGAAGGACGCTGCAGCGGATACGGCAGTGGGTGCCACCACGGTCACGGAGAAGGTTGTCGCGTCTTCTGCGACCGCGCCTATAGCCGTTGCTGCGTCGCTCGCTGTTGGCATTACCGCATAGGTATTGCTCGGGCCCTGTGTCCCCCTCTCGTCGAGGGAATTGCGTGTTTTTCCTGTTGTCAGTTGTGTATGAGAGTATAATACAGATCAATTGCTTGAATTCCATGCAGAGCACGCGGCAGCTGGCAGAATACAAGCCTACTTCGCTGGCGCAATATATTAATGCAGCACAGCATACCTCACGCGATGGCGCGAGGAACTACGCTAGGCTCTGCTGTGGCAATAATGACTTCAGATTACCAAACGGCTTGCCGTCTTCGTCGACGCAAAGGATACCCCGCAATGTCAAGAGTCCGGCCATCTCGATATCTTCCATCTCCTTGGCCAGCCAGTCGGGAGTACAGTTGGGATCCCATACGACGCCGGCGAAACGAACATCGACGAGCGCCGGGAGCTTCGCTTTGTCGAGGAGTCGTAAGGTGTCGGTGAAATGACCGCGACCGGTGACAGCAAGATGTTGGAGGCGAGGATGCTGTATGCACTCGATAACATCGCCGTGATAGTCACCTTTGTCCGTGACAAACACGCCTAGCTCGGTCAGGTTGGGTGCCCGTTCAGCAAGATCCTCAAGGTCAGATGGAATGAAAACGTCGGTGAAGTGGAACACCTCGAGTGTCCTTCCGAAAGCTCGGAGAAATCGGGGGAATAACTCCCAGATGTCGTCTGGCGCGTCTTCCTGGTAGACGTAGAGACGAGTGAGCGACGGAAGATCAGCGGTTGCACCGACGTGAAAAGGTATGTGACCGTTGGGGTGAACGTTGTTGATATAGCTTCTAGCCACGACGTGCATCTCGCGGAGTTTCGGAAGGGAAAGTCGCGGTAAGGACACCAAAGATTGCGGATGGGGTGTTATCCGGGCAATGTCGTATAGCTCATGATCCGCCATGCGTAGGAACACGAGATTCGGGAAGGAATTCAAGGATTGAATCATGGAGTCGGGGACGATGAGGGGGTTGAAGAAGGAGTCAAGGTGTGTGAGGGTATGAGCACTGCGCATGCTGAGGAACAGCAGCCAGGGTACCTCGAAGTCGAGATTGGTGGAGAAATGGTGCAGTGTAGTGTATGAGAGCAAATGGCAGACCTGGGCGCCAACGCGATAGTCCTCCACGTGTTCGGGTCCAAGCAGGATGACCATGGTACGCGTGTTTTTGAGCAGATGAGGCGCGCTCTGTGAAACACGTACGAGGCTCTGGAGGCCTTTTTTCACGAGATGATCCTGCGCGGTGAAATCCTCTGAGCGGGGTCTCCAGCCCATTCGTATCTCGCATCGCACTCGTATCTGCGCGACTGCCTGTGCGTACGTAGTTGGATCCACCAAATGTATGCGCAGAACAAGTCCTGACTCACGTTCCACCGCTTGTTGACGAGCATAATTGTGAGCCTTGTTTCGTCTACCGCATCGGGCGGTTCAGCAAGTACGAAAGGATCGTCTTCTCGTTCCGGGACATATTCCATAGTGAGCTGGAGCACACGAGAGAGCAATTCGTTCGGCAGCCAATTTATCATGCAAGTGTCTTGTTGGAAAGCCATAGGAATTGGCGATGAGACAGGCAAGTACGGTGCTATCGTGCGGTGCCATAATACCGTGGGATAAAAAAGGTCCCGGTCGCGGTCACATGATCGCGAACCAGGTCGTGTTTCATCCTGTTTCATCTGTTCACTGTTTCCATTTCACGCTCTCGTCTCCACGCCAGCGTACGGAAAGGTCCTGCGGACGAGCTCCACGACTTGCTTGTCTTGCTCATCCCAATCATGGCCGGATTGCAGCCCTCGTGCACAATAGAACGGCTACCAAACGAACTGCTCTCGCGGATCATTCAACACGCAACAGCTTATGATGTGGAAGCACCGGGAGACCCGTTTGTTCTGGTCCAGTCGCCACAAACGGCTGATACAACGAGACATAGCACCTTACTTGTCAATAGAAGGTGGAATGTGAGCCGATTCATGGTCTCTTACTTGCACCCGCGGTGAATAACATCTCGCAGGCTATTGCGGAAGCCTGTGCCGCAGTCGAAATCCGAATCGGTTGGAGGGCGTCTAATCCTGAAGGCGGTCCTCACATGCGGAAAGATCGTGCTACCTTCCTGAACAAAGTGGCACGTCTCTCTGAACGCTGTCCGTACTTGCTGAAACGCACACGCACTGTGGTTATGCTGTTCAACGCCTATGCGCAAGATGCAGAAGAGGAGGTTGCGGGAACTCAAGTGTGTCGCTTGCTCTCGCACGCGAGATTGAAACACTTCTCTACGGATTTGAGCGTCCGCGTGCCATGGCTATCGTTTCTTAGGGCGGGAAGCTCGCAAACGTTGACACACCTCGACATCTGTATCCATCGGAAAATCATGGAATGTTCAACAATTCACTCTCTTAACGCCTTCGCGAACCTCGTGTTCCTTCGTATCACTGATGACGACTTCTACAAGTCGTATGAAGACCCCCCTTTCCCGGATTCCTTGTATACCTTGCCGCGACTATCACTTCCGCGGCTGGAGGACATGCGCATAGTGTGTACAGCTATCAACTCTGATGACATACACCCGGACGGCTATCTACCTTTTTTCGTCGGCGCAAAGGCCGAGTTACCGGCTCTTCGCCGCCTTCACCTATATGAGGCGTGCATCAGCGATTATTCAGACGGGATAATGGGGCAATTTTTAGAAGCACATGGGAGGGGTCTCCGGGAGTTGCATCTCACCACATTCTTCATGGAGGAACTCGACCGCATCCATGAACTGGCTCCGAACTTGACGACGCTCGTTTGCAATCACTCACCGCACGAATTCGCTGACGTATACCAAGGAGGCCTCGAACATCCGCTCATAGAATACCTGTCGTTCTCTGGGCTCTGCGATTTCACCGAAACTATTCAACACATCGATCCAGCGAAACTACCCAAGCTGAGGGAAGTGCGATACATGGACGCTCGCTGGGATATCGATTACACCAGCCACCGAGAAAACCATGTGAACGAGGCGGGGAAGATATTGGAGGACATCGAGATGGCCCTCTCGCTCGCAGAGAAGGGTATACCATGTTCGGATGCAAACGGAAAGCCGTTTGGCGGACTGCTTTCGATGGCACGACAACGTCGAGGAAAGGAAGACATCAGCAACAATGACATAGCAGCAATTCAAGGATAAAACATCGCACGTCTGTGCTTCACTCTGTACCTGTCGCTATCACTTCGATCGCACCGAAGTAATTCGTGTTCAGGAGGATCGAATAGACGTACCGCGACCATGCGCGCGGCTACTCGGAATGCCGGCTTTAGAGGATGACCGCTTACATGAATTTCCTGGTCAATCATCGGCTGTCGAAAATGAAGATGGTGCATGGACTTAACAAACACGGCACCCAGGTTCTCGCTCCCCTGCTGTGCCGATTCGTCCGTTCGCGCTGACGACTGTTCTGGCTATCACCTGATCCGCTTGCAGCATTGTCATTCCACCATTGTTCCATCCTCATCGCGCCATCTGATTATGCTCGCTCGATTTCAGATCCCGAGCTCGATGGGGTCCTCGTCGCGCAACTCCCTGATTATCTGCCCTCAGGATGAACATTACTTCCTACTGCACCCGCGATGCATCCGTCGGATGCATCTGCATATGAGCACCTGTGATATCGGGCCCACCTGGCGCACCTTGATTGAGGGTCGAGACCGAACGAAGCGTTGATGCGATGGCACCGCGTAGATCTCGCTCATATCGGCATTTCCGACGGCCGCACCGTTCCGATAGGCTTGCATCTGTGATCCGCCGACGCCGGGCGGACGACGTCGAAATTTCCGATCCACTGCTGAATAAGGTGGGTCGGGTTCGTGAACGCCAAATGCGTTGCTACCGCAGCTACATCTAGCTACAACTACTGGATATATGCGACATGAAGTAAAACGTTATATAAGATGCGTTGGGGGTCGTGATACGCTACATTGTGAATGCCATAGTATGGATATAACAACAATATTTATATAGATATGTGCCCAACAAGATCGTGTCCGGAACTAGAACGAAACAACCAAAGGCTCCTGAAAAGCAAATGAATGAACGTAAGCCAATGGATCAATCATCCGATGACTGGTCGTCATCGGGGGTGTCGTCGTTTTCGTTTTCGTCATCGTCGTCGTCGTCGTCGGCCTCTTCCTCCTCTTCACTGTTTTCCTCGTCATCCTCCTCCTCCTGCTCATCGTCGGACGCGTCGAAGTATTCAATGTTCACCCCGCGGTTCGTCCTGAGACGCTCCACGTCATCGTCCCTGCTCTTCGAATCGAGCATCCACTTCTGGACCTCGCACCCGCCCTTCATCCGATAGTAACTGAGCCGCTCGAGCGACTTCCCGGTGATGCCCTTCACCCTGACGTACTTGAGCACGGGCATGAGCATGCTCGGGAGCGGTTGCTTCGGGACCTCCTTGAGCGCGAGAATTTCGGTCTTGCACGCCCCGGTCATGATCTCGTCCATGAGACGACTATCCATCCGGCGGAGGTCGAGCTCGAGCGTGATCAGATTCGCGACGGACTTGAGAAGCCGGCGCCACGCGGGAGCGGAGCACGAAAGGGACGTGATCGCAAGAGTCTCGAGGGAAGCGAACATCGGCGCGTCCGGGTCCGTCGCGAGCTCGACGACCGGCGTGACGTCCTGCTCCGGGAAGTCGAGCCGAAGGACGCGCAGATTCGGCATGCGCATGTGGCGGAGCATGTAGCACAGATGATCGCTATCGAGGTCGATGAGCACAAGCTCGCGCAGGGAGGAGAGCTGGATGGTCTGGAACGGATAAAGGTCGCTATTCGCTCGCTTCGGGCCGGACCAGTGGAGTGTGAGCTTCTCGAGGCCGGGGGACGCCAGTAGAATTTCTTCCCACTGTGCATAGGACGGGCGAAAGGCCTCGAAGTGTAGCCGGAGCTCGAGCGTTCTGAGGCCTCGACAGTAGGCCGGGGTTGAGGACGGGAGGCTGACTCCGACCAAGGACAAATGCTGGCAGCTTGGCAGTCCGCCTCCAAACGAAAGCGGCGCCTGCTGCAACGCCTGATACATGGCCTCCGCGTCTGGCCAATTCTCTTGGTGATACAACTTGAGGTACTCAAGCCTCGGTGCGGGCCCACATGCAGCGAGGTGTCCTCGACAACGATCTCTGGCGACCGAGTCTCGAACCTTCAAGGTGAACGATCGCCAACGGTCTAGAGCGGGTAGGATAGCCTGGAAGACGTCGTCCACCTCGTCACGGCAAAGCGTCAGTCCAGGTACGTGGGTATCTGTTGAGGGGCTGTCGACGACGATCTCAAGGGGTAACTTCTGGGATCGTGCGATGTATGCCTGCATATATGCAGTCAGCAACGGAGTGGCGTGCACGAAGGGCGATCTCAAGGTCTCACCATAGCGCGATCAACGTGCCGAACTTTACGTATGACGAGCGCGCACCATAGCCCGGGCAGACCCAGCGCGACCTGCCTCCAGTGCCGGCAGACCTTGGAGACGAGCACCTCGAAATCGGGCTGCGCATCTTCTGGCTCGCTTGGATCAATCTCGCGATCGAGCTGTCGCCCCTCCACGCCGATGGCGAACACGCGAGCGAGGAGCTCGACTGGGAGTCGGTGTATGGGCGAAATGGTTGGCGGAAAGGGCACGGGACGGTGCTGGTGCTTTTCGGTGTGGTGCCGTTGGCCGTTGTGGTAATGAGCGGCTGCGTATAGCTTGAGGGCACGCTGGTGCTGGTGGAGGGGACGTGGCTTGTCGACGTTGGGCACAGCGACGGAGTAGGGAGTGCAGACGCCACCGACACAGTTCTCGAGCGCCTTTACATTCATGTCGAGGAGAAGGGCGAAGGGCCTTCCGTCGGGGCCGTGGACGCCCAGACCACACTTCAAGATATTCGAGTTCGGACGGGCACGTGCCCCCAGACACCGTCACGTAAGCTGCGCACTCTATCAGCAATATCACAGCTGCGCAAGATCGCCCCTGGATCGCCTCTCCCCCGCCGGAATGGAAGGTCCAGGTAAAACACAATATCCAATTGTCGTCTCCGTTCTACGCGAGACAAAAGCCACGGCCACAGCTCAGACCACCTATCGATTTAGGAGCTGCTCGTCGGGGCGGGGCCTGGCGGGGCACGCGCCCGGCGGCTTCTCCTTCCCATCCGTACGTGCCATCGAAGTCCATATGCGGTGCACCCCCTCACGGCCTTCTCCGCGGCACGCGTATAATTATTACTGGCTTCACCCCGCGCGACCCCGCGCCCGCACTGCCCCTGCGCCGCGTGACAGGTGCGTCGTCGGCGCGCGCAGAGGCGCGAGCTTGATCTTGAGCGCAAATCGAGTTCCAACGGGGATTCCGAACATACAGAACCCCCTACCCTCCGCCGGCGAATCAACAAATCGTCAACGCCGCGGTCGATGGGGATACGGTGGCATGCACGCCGAAAGGCGCATGACACGATCAAAATCTTGGTCCAGATTCTAATTTAGGGGCGGAGCGAGCTTCTTCCTCATCACGCATTGTCGTCCCTTGAATGGAAAACGTTAGCATCGAACTCATCGCCCCATATGCGGACAAGCACAGATCTGAGGATCCGGCATGTCTCGATCCAAAGTTCCGACCCGTGCTTACCTTTAGGGGTTCCGAGGTCGAGCTGCGTTTGTCATCGTTCGTCATGATCTTCAGGTCATGACTGGGGTGCGTCGCAGCATGCTGCCCAAAGACCTGCGCCACTCGGTCTGCTGCTCGGCGAGTTGGGTTTCCTCCGCCGTGGGGTATCGCGCCAGCAGGAAAAAGACGTATTCGTCCATGCTGTCCAGCGGCAGAATTCTGATGGTGTTTGAACCGTACCGTAGATACGCAGTGATATCCAACGGTCCCTCCTAATGAAAAGCGTAGTCAGCGATGGAGTTTCCGAGAGGCAATCAGGTTTAGAGTAAGATTAGACGGAACGTCGATTTCATCTTCGCTTTCCGATGCCGTCGTCCTGCGGCGGACCACAGCCGAAGCCACCATCTCTGATGTCCGACTCAATCGGGCATAGCATGCTCTGGCGCATGATCCTCGAGTCAAATGACGGACGATCGGGCCTCCGTTACCAGCGGAGCAGAAGCCACCACAAGAAGCCAAGGCCGTTAGCACTCACAATGTGTTCATAGACCCAAACTCTCTTCTTCTCCGGGAGTAGCTCTGCGTCATGGTTGACTTCGACGATAACCTTGCCCCTCGCGGGCCATACCGTCTCATACGACGCAACGGTGGCAGCAACAACGTCCGGGCCTGAACCTGGAGGGATACTGTCGAGGAGTGTCGCGACAACCGGCGCCGGGAGAGAAACAAGGTTCACGACGATATGTCTTTCCCTTGGGCTGTGGATGTAGAATAATGAGCACATGACATCAACGTCGACCGCAACTGCTCACTCAAACCACACTTCGCCGGCCTCCAATTCTTGATCCAAAGGAACAGTATCTTGCGCAGACCACCTGTCCGCAGCTTCCGCGTTGTTGGCATCGAGCTCGATGGACAAGTCCAACATCTGTATCTTCTTGCTTCCTGGTCTTGCGCCCCAGACGCCAGGCACAGGCAAGATCGGAATCTCGCGAAAGTAGGTGGGCATCGCGCCGGTCGGACCCTCATGACGTTCTGGTGAGCGTGGTGGTGAGGGTATCCGATGGGCTTGATGTTCGACCACTGTGTCTGTGGATTGTTCGGCCACCTCGCCATCCTCCGCCGAACGTGATTCGCTAAGGGGCTCCGGGCTTGCAAACGCGACATCCTGCGGTGTAATGAACCCATTCGCGGGAGGAGCGGTCGTGAGCTCGAGTGCGAACGCGTGCTCGTGACCTTGTTTCGTGTGCGTCCATCGCGAGCGGGGGCGAAGACGAGGGGACGGCGGAGGCGTCCAGCAATACGTTTGGGCCATTGCAAGTCGATGAGGAGGTGCGTGGGGGAGGTTGCAACGTCAGCTGAAGGATCCGGCCAAGACGAAGGTAGGTCAAACACACGGACCTTTATAGCCATCTGTTCCTTGATTGTCGGCTTCATTGCCATCGGGGAGAACGGGCTCCTCCACAGCTTCTGGCTGTGCATCGGGGGTGTCCGTATGGACGATGAAACGCTCTTTGGCAGGCAGTGGGGTGTGTAAGGTCGGAGCATCCGCATTGCCGATGGGCGCTAACTCTGATGTTGCGAGAGTGGCTAATCTCTGCGACATTAAGCCATGTGAGCCATCGATAACCTCAAGGTTAGGCGCCGAAGAATCTTCATTCATACGGAATCGTTTTGTGACCGGCCACTCCACGACATCTTCGTCTGTGGGTGCGGACGAAGGCGGGGATGAACGGGAACAAGACGTATCTTTGGCATCCGCGTCTGATGGGCGTGGCCGCTTTAAGGTTTGAGTCTCAGGGTTTCGCGAGGATCTGAACGTTGGCGTCTCTGGCGTCTCCGGCAATGGCTGCTTTCGCGCAGATGAAGCAGCATCTGCACACTCTTCTGAACGTGCTTGCACGTTCTTGACTTCCTCGTCTCTTTCACTCCCAAGCTTATCCCGTTGATCTTCATTCAACGCCTCAACCATCTGCAATGCCGCGAGTTGCTTCTGCGCCTCCAAAATCTGCCGCGCGAAAGCATCGACACCACTTCGTACGATTTGCGCAACTCTGTCGGACGGCAAGGGTTCAACGGGAACTTCAGCATCTGGACCCTGCTCCTTCCTCAACCGACGAGCCGCATTCTTCTGGATCTGCTCCACGAGGAAAGCAACCACGTCCCGTTGTGGTCCGGCGTATCCCCGTTTGAGTGCTGATACTGGAGATAACGGCCGTTCCGAGCGTGTGTCATTAAGGGTAGACATGAGGGGAGAGGTAGATGGTAAGATGCGCGGGCGACCAGGAGTTGTGTCAGTCTCCTTCGCATGGCTTTGCGGAGCTGCGACGGCGTTCGATAACGGTGAATTCGGGGTGACGTCGGCCGCGTGCGTTTCCTGAGAACAACGCGGGTATTGTAAATGGATATCGATGGAGTCATCTCTCTGCGTCCCATCTTCCCCCACTGGAGGGGTCGGTTGCAATGGAGAAGATGCCGGAGTAACGATGGTGCGTTTTGATGTGGCTCCCAATGTGGAAGGTTCGTGGAGGGCTTGGCCCTGTTCCGGGGGCCCTGGCATTGTATTCTTAGGCATCTCTGTCATAGCAATCTCCTGCGGGAGGGATGATTGCCTGGCAGGAACTTTCGCGGTGATCCTATCGTTCGCGCGTGCTTCCGCAGCATGCTTATACTGTACAGTCTTATCGCTCTCTTCGTCTCCCAGTACCATCTCCTCTTGACTCTACGCAGATTTATGAGAACGACAGGAACCAAATCCGAACAACGTGTAGACGGGGTGGAAGAAACGCGACGAAACACGTACATTATCATGCATGGCGGTAGCCACGGGCGCTCGATTTTCCCCCGCCTCTGTTCCTTCTGCGGGTGTGGCAGGTTCGGACGATGGGCCAGCATCGGGTTCGATAGTCATTGAAATCCTCGCACTGAGCGGCAGAGCGACACCCAGAGCCTCTTCTTCGCCGTCCGCTGTTGAATGCATGGTCGTGTCCTCATCGACGTCGTGGTAAAACGAAGCTGAGACACGCCTCAAGAGTGGCAGGGACGGGCTTCTACTTGAGCTTATGCGGTCAATGAGCGAACCACTCGAGGTGCGCCGTTGTATACCGGGATGCTCCACCTGCAGGCGATCTAAGAGCGAGACAGGCTGAGGTCCTATTCGTTCGAGCAAGCTACCGTTTTCGTGGGCCATTACATGCATACATTCCGGTCGGTGGTGGTCAGCAAAAGAAACGAGGCTAGATATCGCTCGTCACGTTACACATGGCCTTTCATTTCGGCGCTTGCCGTCTTCGTTGCAGACACCGTACTTCCGCCTCCTCCTCGGGTGCACCCATTCTCGTGGTGATACTGTAAGGACTCTCATAGCAATGCTAACAGCCCCATTCAGTCCTGAAAGCGTTCAAAAGACCATTGCAACAATCGAATACTGTATGCATATTCTAGTCATGATTCAAGTACACGTTGAGTAGAACACCCGAAGTAGTCCATGAACAGCCCAGACGATCTGATCCTACCCACTACTTCTCGAGGGGAATGTCGTAGGAGCGAGTGATCCCCGCTCCGAACAGAAGACGATCGCCGCGGAGCACGTCGTCGATGGACTGGGCGTGGTCCAATCGTCAGCAACGATGGATCACCCGAGAAAAGCCTCGGTGAAGGTACTCACCACATCATAGCCAACGAACGGCCCGAAAACGTCGTCACGCAGGGTGACGTTCACGGCGTGGCCCTCGACCTCGGTGAAGTTGCTGCCGTTCGCATCCAGCGGGAGCGGGACTTGTATGGCGGGATCGCAAGGTCCGTTAGGCTGGACGGCCGCCTGTTCGGCGGTGAGCAGACAGTAGACGCCTCCGAGGAAGCGGAAGACGTCGCTGGTGTTGGCGTCCTGGCGAGAGACGAATGGGGTGGCGAGGGCGGCGGAGGCGCCGAGGACGACAGAGAGAATGGCGAAGGAGCGCATTGCCTTATTGATTATAAGTCGTGAATTAGAGTGTGATAGTTGATTGATGATGGAAGACTGAGTGAGTCTGAGGTCTGTGTGCACAACCGGCCATTCTTATATATATGCCTTGCAACAAGCTGGGGCAGTGAAGTGCGTGCGACGCCACGACGAGCCAAGGCTCGGCAAAAGGGCCAGTCTGAATACAACGGAGCTGAGTACGGTTATGATCGCCCGTGTGTGTCCTCGCGGTAGAGAAACGATTCCGTGCGCCAGTCGTGTTCTGCCCTGCCAACTGATGGGACAACCCTCGTCAGCCGACGGTGAGAAGCATCCGAGTGCACGTCAAGCATTGCTTAGCACTGCCGCCAGAGCATTGCCGACCGCAGCGCTGGCTGGGTCAGCTACAGAAGTTCCATGCAAGTACGCTGAGCCCGAGCCCCGAGCGTCGTCGTCGGAATCAAGCCTTGTATTCACACGTGACAACGTTCCCTGCTAACGTACGTTGTAAGTTACTGAGTGGACGCATATCCTAATCATCATGGCAGGATACCAAGTACGCCTGTGTGAGGGTGGATCAAGATGGGTTGAGGCTTTAACATGGGGCTCCGAGCCCTGAGAAAACCCTGAGGTACAAGACGCAGATTATGCCGCTGCAGTATGGCTCTCATCGCGGAAACTGAATTACGTTCATAGACGAGTCGGAACGTTGCTGGGGTCGAGGATCGTCAAATGATTTAGAGATCGCATTGAGATATATCGTGGTCTATATGTAGAGGAGTGATACATTGTTCTTGTAGCCAGGGCTGCATGTCTTGCTAGCACTGGCGTTGTCTAGTAATATCCCGCACGCGAGGGATAGGTTACGTAGGGCGCGCGCCGACCGCACAAGGTGCCGCATCCGGCGCTAACCGTGATTCCAAGCAGGACAATTGTAGCCGCCAGTGACATCCATGGCTACAGAGTATATCCCATGTAAGTCATGCACATGCTAGTAAATGACGACAACCGAACCCACCAATGGGCCCCAGGTTGTCTTGATGCCGTCATCGTGGAAACGAGATTTCGCGACTGCCCAGAGAACAATCATGACGATGAACGCAAGCAGCGACCAGAAGAACGATAGCAGGGATAACAGAGAGAATGCTGGGAACGGATACATCTGTAAGCTTTTGCTGAGCAGTACTGGCAGTAGTGACAGCAGAGCGAGGAAGGTAAAGCCGGTAGCTTTTGAGTCATGTCAGTTATTAGGGTTCAGATCATATACTTACTCGGAAACACCCACCTATAGGATAGAATACCAGCGTGAACGTGAGGCTGTGGATGATTTGAGTATCCCAGCGGTATCCCAGTCTGCGGGCATCATCGACGTTAAATCGGCCCCAGCATCATCTGGTCAGCACTCGTACCTGTCTGAGAGGCATGTCCCATGGTCGATACACCAGCCCCATATCCCGAATCGTACACCACCCCCCGTATCAGCATGGACGAAGTAGAAGGCATGAACTACGGGGGTTGAGATCGTCACTAGCAGTCTAAATATTACAACATCGTTATAACCTCTACTCGTCACATACAGATAAGGTTCAATTACTCACAAGAGGACGAATGCCGCGAGTGTAAATATGAACGGCAATATAGCTGGATGCATTATATCGGTGGTCGCAGGTCGTTCGTAGAAAGGTCGTCACAGTCGTACAAGTCGGGTTAGGTGGCGGCGGCGACCCATGTCGTCCCTTATGACCACGTAGAAACTCGGATATATTGAGGAACGAAAGAACGTCACTGAACGGACACGAGGCAAGAAAGATGATGATGACCTCATGGCACAGCCATCGAAGTAGTACGAAGAAGTTCGAGATCGACTTGAGCCCGGACGTTCAAAGCCCTTCCCGAATCCTCCAAGAGATTTCTGTACGCCTTCCGCGTATTCCGATACACTGAGTCTCACGATGCCTACGCCAGGATCCGGAGCTCAAATGTCTGTGCAGAACAAACTAGCTCCCAGCGGGGTCTATCATGACGCCGAGGGTTATCGTGCTCCAAAGGTTGATGGTGAGAACTAGTGCATGCATTGCGTAGCTGTAGCATTCATATACAGCAGGAACAACTGACTCTGCTGTATCACTATACAGCTTTGCGGTAGTCAAACCTAGTAAAGCACGCAGGACTCGTCGAGTTCTTGCCGTCTCCTGTGGCGTACATGCCAATAATAGTCTGCGAAGCATTAACTCAAGGTTTCACCGGAGATATCAAATGCAGTCGCACTCACCCCCGTGAACCCGCCACTGACCTCGCTGGCGTCGCCAAAGCCAATGGTCTTGAACTCTCCGCTGGACCGTGTCGCGTAAGAGAACTCGTATTTGGTCTCGTTCACGGCCTGAATTCGCAGCGTTAAGCTGCTCTGCGAGTGTGGCAGGCGCTGCATCCCGGGCGAAGATAGCGGATCGGACATGCCGTCATTCGTCACCAACAGCGTCTGCGCCTTCAAGCGAACGTAAAACCCCGGCTCTGCACTGAGACCGTTTGTGGAGGTCGAGTTTGCGTCCAAGCGGACTACTCCAAGGTCGAAATGCTGGAGCTGCTGCAGGAACACGGTGACTCCTGCCTCTTGATCGATGTCCCACTGCGACGCATCGAGATCAAGGTCGGCCTCCGCCATGAACTCCACGTGCTCCTGTCGTCTGCCGACGAAGGTCGAGGTGCCTGAGATCCCGTCCGGCCCGGTGAGGTTGGCGGATGACCCGTACAGACAAAGACCCTCTTTCGACAGCACAAATTTGCTCATGTCGGGGTAGCGCAGGTACACCAGCTGCCGAGGCAGCGCGGTGGTCCTGGTGAGGTCGATAGACTGGTCTTGACCGACGAAGACGCCACCATCTGGCGGAGTTAACGGCTATGAATTCGTCAGTTTGGTTGCCCGCCCGCGCTTGACGGACAAACTCACGGCTTTTGCGGGCGGCAGCGGACCTTCCATATGAATCATCGCCCGGCGGGGGTTGGCAGGATCGAAAACGGGGAATTGTCCTACACGATTCCCAGTCAAAGGAACGACACAGCAAATCACCGAGTAGCCCCACCTTCTTCCCAAACCACCGGAACAAGCACCGTTTCCCTTCCCATCGGGAAATCGACCGAACCGTTCCTCGTAGCCAGCGCGACCGCCCAGAAGTGGCCATCGATGTCGTCGAATATGTCCGCATGACCGAGTGTTTGCACTGTCCGACGTAAGCTATTGACCATCACCAACGAGGGGCCCATTCACAGTATTCAGATGTGTTTGCGTTGGTGAGAACCGGATTGTTCACGTAAGGCACGTATGGGCCGTGGATGCTCCCGTTCGACCGCGCCATTGTCTCCATATGGCCTAAACCAGTCCCACCTGAACGAGCGACACTCGATGTGAATACTATCTCGCATGACGATGGAAGTGCTGGGTTGACCTTCTGCGATCATCAAGTAGTAGAAACCGTCCTTTTTGTAGATATGCGGCCCTTCTGGAGCCTGATACAGACGAGTAAACGACGACTAAACATGATCGATAGACTCTGGCGTGGAACGCACCAGCCCACCCGTCCCGGTCCATAAGACTTCCTCATTCGATATCGTTCCTGTGTCAAGGTCAATCTCATACTGCCAAATTCCCGGCTGGACGTGATAGGCGTGGGATCCTTGTATGTACGTCTTCCCGTCGTCATCCCAAAAGAGGGACATGTCGTATCCTTCGAAACTGGGGTTGATGTGAACCGCGTTGCTCCACCCGTTTCCGTCGCTGGCAAAGATATCGTCGGTTTTGAAGAGCAGCTAGATCAAGCCGTGAGCGGATGTACAACAAGAAAGATGTATCATTGACGTTGTCCCAGCGAGTCGGATCGGTTTGGGAGAGCTTGTCCCAAACGAGCGTGGTCGTCACATAGAAAGTACCGTTATGATGGCGTATGGCTGTATGAAGGTATCAGTACGCTGAAAGAAGTGTGGCGTGTATGGAAGTCTGACTATTCGCCCAGATACCACTGGTGAAACCAAACTCTTGGCCAAGCTCGGGAAGTTGCTCTTCTCTCGCCAGCACGTTCCCTGCATAGCACGCAATAAACACAGTAGTATAACTCGCAACGAGAACTTGAACCTACCTATCTGCTCCCATTGCACAAGATCTCTGGATGTATACACGGGGATGCCGGGAAACGCATTGAAGGAGCTGTTGACGCAGAAGAATCTATCGCCGACGCGGATGCATGACGGATCAGGACTGAAGCCGCGAATGATGGGATTTTCGTAGGGTTTTTGCGGAGACGTTCCGCCAGCAATGCTCGCACACAAAGCATAGATTGCAAACGCCGTTAGCATTGTCATCGCTCAAGGATCAATGCTAGCCCTCGCTTTTTGAGCGCAAAGCAGGGCGGAGCAGCTTCGGCGAGAGAGCATGAGACTCGGTCATGAGATTGCATCTTCGTCTTTTTTGGCAACGATTTGTATGCACGAAGCACCGTCCATGATAAGTGACTGCTTCGAGGAAGATGGATTGAATCAGACGCTCCCGATCGACGACGTTGCGACGACAAGTTCGACTTGTCGTCGAGTCGCAAACCGGAACGGTCACCCGGGTCAAGATCACGTGACATAAGCTTACAGGGGCGGCGGGCCGGACGGGCCCGGCGGTCGTCGTCGCCATCATTTTCGCGGGGGCCCTTTGTGGAGGTCGTGGGTGCAGCTGGCTGCACCATCGGAAGCGCGAGGAAGAAGCCAGAGGGTGGTTGCGGCCTCTTTACCTCCACAATATTGAAGCATATATCTGGCCTGTAGTCATGCTCTCGTACCTGGTCTCGGACTACCCTCCTTCGCCCTGAGCCGACGCTCTTCACGCTCGGACCAACGCAGGGGCGATCGGCGCCGATCTCACCTCCAGCGTGGCGGACAGCCGGCCCGAAGCTAGCCGACATGGCTTAGCGTCCCCTATTACGCATAGGCAAAAAGTTTCAAGCTGATAAGTAGCGGGGGGTGCGGGGTCGAGCTTCCCCGCCCCCGCGGTCTGCTGCTTTCTTAGACCTGCGAACGAACACGCGTCCTTGAGCAGCTTTTTCTCATCCTCTTTTGCCAAACGCCAAACATGACATTCCAGAAAGAGGTCGAGGAGTTCAAGCGCTACCGACATGCGTATGCACTGGCGTTCTCCGCGGCGATGGGCTCCATTTTCTATGGGTAAGTCGTCTCGTGTCCGCCGCCCGGTCGTTGCTCATTCGCGGTGCCAGGTGGGACATCGGCCTCATCGGAGGAGTCATCGCCATGAAGTCATTCAAGGAATACTTCGGGGTCGACAAGATGAGCAAATCGGCCCAGGACGATCTGTCCGGCAATATCGTCTCCGTGCTCCAAGCCGGTTGCTTGTGAGTCTCCCCTTCCATTCAATTTACGCACGAATGTCGCTCACGAGCTGGTCTCACCAGCTTTGGTGCCCTCTTCACTGGCTACTTTTCCGGAAAGTTTGGTCGCAAGCCCTCCCTGATCGCAGCAGGCGTCATCTACATCATCGGCAGCCTAATCCAGTCCGTGGTCGGACTGGGAAGCAGCGAGAAGGTCGGCTTGAGGGTGCTGTACTTCAGTCGCTTCCTTGGCGGCATCGGAGTGGGCATGGTCTCCGCTCTCGTTCCTTCGTATGTGTCGGAGTCCGTTCCGAAGGCCATCAGAGGCCGTTGTACAGGAATGATCCAACTTTGCAACAATATGGGTATCATGCTGGCTTGTAAGTCGATGCCCGCCTTATCCATGGCCCGTCACTCATCTTTAAATCCAGTTTGGGTTAACTACAGTGCCAGCAAGAATGTGGGTTTGCGCTCCGGAACTACGCGAAATAAGTTGGCACTAACTCGGTTTCTCAGATTGCGTTCGGCGACATGCAATGGCGCATTCCGTTCATTGTGCAGATGGTGCCTGGCGCCATCTTCCTGTTGGTATGTCGCATTTCGCTCAGTCTTGCCCTCCCTACATGCAAACCTGATTCACCAATTCAGTTGATTGTTTTCCAACCGGAATCTCCCCGATGGCTCGTCGAGCATGAGAAGTACGACAGGGCCGCGAAAGCGCTCGCATTTGCCGCCGGCACTTCACCAGACGACCCCTCGGTGCAAGAGACATTGCGAGAGGTATGTTTCCTCGCAATTCAGAGTGACATCTCGGTCGACATTAACTCTCCTCAAAGATTCAGGAGGAGTTTGCTGGCAAGGCGAAGACGTCTATTTGGACCCAAATCGCGATGATGGGCGAATCTCGTACGACCGTTCTTCGTTCGTTCGTCCCAAGCTTGGTCATGTTCTTGTCAGTGTCTCTCATTCGGGTTCCTCCATAACATTGCTCTGAACCCCCCTCGTCCTTCACAGCCAACAATGGACCGGGACGAACACCATCAACTACTTCTCCCCGACCATCTTCGCCAACCTCGGCGTTACCGGCCAGAACTCGGGACTGTTCGCCACGGGCATCTATGGCGTTGTCAAAGTGGTCTCCGTCGCCATCGTCCTCGCCTTTGCTGTCGAGAGCATGGGCCGCAAGAAATGCCTGATCATCGGTGGCATCGGACAAGGCGTCATGATGCTTTGGATCGCAGGATACAGCGCGATACACACCGGCTCTGGCGTAGACGGCGCGAGCTACGTCTCTATCGTCGCAGTATACTTCTACGCTATCTTCTACTGCGTGGGGTGAGCAAGACCCGCCTGCTATCGTGATTCTGGTCGCTGATTCCGCTGCCTCTTCACAGCTGGGGACCTGTGCCCTGGGTCGTCGCCGGTGAAGTCGCCCCCAACCATGTCAGGACGGCTGCGATGGCAGTTGCCATCGGCGTCAACTGGCTGTTCTCCTTCATCATCTCCAAGATCACGCCGATAATGCTGTCGAACATCACCTACGGTCCGTTTGCCGCCTCTCGCGTCCATATATGCGTGTATGTGCTGACCATATCGCTCGCTCTTCGTAGGCACGTTCTTGATCTTCGGCCTCATGTGCATGATCATGGCCGCGTGGGCGTGGCTGTGCCTGCCTGAGACGTCGGGGTACGCACTCGAGGATATCAAGTTCTTGTTCGAGCACGACATGCTCGTCCGTGCCCTCGAAGATGCACCGGGCGGCCGGTTCTTCCTCGGATCCAAGCGCTCAGTTCCCGTTGCGGACCTCAGGCGGGCGGAGGACGAAGCGAACCGGAACTCGTACGATCCGGAGTCGAAGGACGAGCAGCCGGAGCACTTGGAGAGGAGTCGGGACGCGGCAGAAGCTGTATAAATCACGATCATGACGATCGCCCGTCGTGATCACGGCGGCACACGGGCTCAACGACTTGCGGGAATCTGTACTTCTATTCTGCGTCTTTGTTTTTTTGTAGATAATACCCTGAACGAAGGTTACTGTACCTGTAATCACCGCCTAATTGCCAAGCACGTGCCATCCTATCTGAGGGTAAGCTCTGTCGAGTTACCGCAGTCCATGGCGACCTTCCTCCGGTTCCCTCGCTCGGAAACGCGTCGTTGTATAATCTACGCGCGCGGTCGTGTTGTACGTCTAGATGACCGAATATTCGCCGAATGAACGTTCATCGCTTTGCCACATAGACTTGAAAGGCCTACATGACCTCGGCTTTCCGGAATTGGCTGTATGGCAGCTCCCTACCTGCAGCATCGTCCACACCGGCTACCTCCACACCATCCAACCAATCAGAGGCGATACCGACTGTACTAGAGGTGTCTCCTCCACCATCAGACGATGAGGGCGAGGAAACCGAGACCGAAGACCGCGAGGACGATGCTCCCCCGGCCTTTCCGAGCCTGAATAGTGCACAGCGCGCTTCAGGATCTGCCACCAAACCGGCCGAGCCTGTACCGAGTATACTGAGCGACCGGCGAAAACTTCCGTCGCTCCCGGATCCCCGACTAGCTTCGCGCACGTTGGGTGTACCTTCGACTTTGGCTCCTCCTGGAAACTCGCTCGCTTTGCCTCCGACCACCACGAAGCCTCCTCCCAAGCCAGCGAAGAACCGCAAGGTCGCGCTCGGTCCGGGATGCGGCCCCCTAGATTGGGCGAACTTGAAAGCTTCAGGGCAAGATCTGCGTGTTCGTGATCAAGGTCCTTGTCGCCTCTGTTGACCAACTGACCACCCTCTTAGGGCGTTGATACCCTAATACGCGTCACACCGTCTATGTTGAAGGAGCACAACAAGAAGGACGACGCTTGGTCCGCATTTAATGGCAAAGTATACAACATTACGGATTACCTCCGCTTCCATCCAGGAGGCGAGAAGGAGCTGATGCGCGTCGCGGGACGGGATGGGACCAAACTGTTCGGTAAGGTTCCTTTGTTGGAAGGCCTTCCAACCAGCATATTGACGGTCGTCTTCAGCCCTCACACATGCATGGGTCAACGTAGACTATATGCTCGACGCTTGCATGGTCGGATTTCTCGTTCCTGGGAATTAGTTGATCAAGTGGGACTACACACATCTAGACGTGCATCACGATCTACACGGTCGCGGAACTCGCGAAGCAAGTCTTATGGCAGAGATTTATTAAACAGATAGTAGCAGAGAGGTTATATTTCTTCTCTGCCAACATCCCCATATATAATGTAATAGACGGAACATTGCCTTGGGGACAGACAACCTACGCCGTGAGGGGCGTCTTGGCCATTAGAGCGAGCAGATCCCAGCCGATGTTTGCGGCCGCGATCTGGGTGAGTTCGCTTTGCGTATCGTAGTCTGCGAGCGAACAAAGATATCAACGGCTTGGCGCGCAAAAGGAAGCTGTGGTCGTACCTGGAGCAACCTCTACGATATCAGCGCCGACGATTTTGAGTCCATCGAGACCCTTCAGGATTTTCTTGATTTCCTATGGACGTCAAGGGATTGATCAGATTCACATCCTATATGCATCATGTCAAGACGCACCCTTGTCGAGAATCCACCAATCTCGGGCGTTCCCGTTCTGCAAGAAAAAATCAGAGGTTCGAGCATTCTGTTAATCACATTTCACGGCTTACGCAGGAGCCGAACCAGGGTCAACCACGTCGATGTCCAGGGAGACTGGCGATCAGGCATGAAATATAGTCGTAAGACGGAGAAAAAGAATCGTACTGTAAACTGGGTTATCCCCAACAACGTCCCGAATCTTCTTGACAATGCCCTGGTAGCCAACCTCCTCTATATCCTCAGCATGCGATATATGGAAGCCGACATCCCAATCATTATCATAGTTGTCCCAGTCGCTCAGGCCTGATCGGATTCCTACGTGCTGTAAGGGTATATCATTAGTCAGCACGGGCTTGGGCCAGCATGACGATGACACACAATGTTGGAGTGATTGGCGGCCAGAAGCCCCTCCTGGGAAGCGTACCAGAAGTAGCTACCGTGCGTGATAGGCACTTCCTGCATTGTAGATCAATTTGGGAGCTGTGTTGCGTGATGAATATAACCATACCTCGTCCGGAAGCCAAGGGCCACCAGGCTAGCAATGCTGGGTTGAGATGCTTCGATGAGCAATGTTTCCTTCAAGCACTCACAAGCTTCGTCGGCTTTCGCGTGTCTGCAGCGAATTGTAAATTAATCAGACATGGGACCCGTTGATATCATAGAGTCCTTGAACATACCGAGATGGCTGTCGAAATGGATGACGCTGACCGCCCCATAGATTTCGGCAACACCGCGGAGAAGAGGGAGCGTGATCGTGTGGTCACCACCCTGGATGGCACACATGAGTCAACGGAAACTAAGCTGCCTTGGGAACATACTCACAAGTGTCAAGACGCGCGGGTGGAACTTGCCATCGAGCGCCAAACTCCGGTTCGAAAAGGAGCGTGCCGCTTCATGAGCAAGGAGCTCCTTGTTGGCAATTTCAAGTTGGCGCAGCGCGACTTTGTTGTCGAAGAGGACCATGGCTACCGCATGCCCATCTGAGCGACGTCGCTAAAAGCAATGGAATGCATAATCACTCACGGACATCCCCGCAGTCGACCACATCGAGGTGGTCGCTGACGCGCGTCTTCAACGGCACATTAATAGCTTCGACCCTGATACGTCTGCTCCCCTGACGGATGCCGTTCGGCCCGAATCGCGCTCCAGGTCGGAAGCTAGTCGCAGTGTCAAAGGGCGCCCCTACGGACAACCACGCTCGTCATCGGGGCAAAGAGCAGTATCTGTGGCACCATCGCGTACCAATTACAGCAACGTCGTGGGGAACGCCGGCGTCTGCGCCCCAGCACCTCGACGGCTTCGAGCCGGCGAATGAGAGCAAGCCGAAGGATTCCTCCGACCAAGCATTACTCTGCAGCGGGAACATCAGCGGGTCCCGGGGATCCGAGACTGGCCGTCCAGTGTCTTCGGAGTGCCCAGCGCCATGTTTAGATGCGAAGGCGCGTTGGGCGAACAGCAGCAACGAAACGGCGCCGAACATAGCGATCATGGCGACCCCGGCGAGACGGCAACGAAGATGTCTTGTGTATCTGGTGTAAGGCTCGCGTTCTTATACGAAACTAGGGTCATGATAGGCAAAACGTCGAGAGGTTCTCCGCAGCTCTGCAAAGTCAAAGATAAGTTCAGGGACAAGCTTAGTAGCCACGCACATGCACGCGTCGGAGAGCTCCTAGCCCGATCATGGCCCGACGCCTCTTCGTCCTCCAGACACTTATCAGAGAACTTATACTGTCGGCAGTCGATCCATTCATTCTATCTGACATCATCACAGCACACTAGGTACGCTGACTTTGAAATGTCTGCATTCCCTAGCTACGACAAACTGCTCTACCGTATAATCCAAGTATACTGCTCAAGCCTCAGACAGTGAGCGGTGTCTTGGCCATGAGGGCCAAGATGTCCCATCCTATGTTCGCCGCGGCGATTTGCGTGAGCTCGGCCTGCGTGTCGTAATCTGCGTCGCAAGAGTTCAATTACTGCCGCGTAAAGGGGATAAACACCGGGGACCGTACCAGGAGCAACCTCTACAATGTCCGCGCCAACGATCTTGAGGCCGTCGAGACCTTTGAGGATTTTCTTGATCTCTCGCGTCGTGAATCCACCGATCTCGGGCGTTCCGGTACTGAATCCGGTAAATGAGCTTTATGACGCGAAGAATCCAAGTAATGCGGCACTCACGCAGGAGCCATTCCCGGGTCGATGACATCGATGTCAAGAGTGACTGGGGAGAGAGAACTGCTCGCATGTGGTCTGAGAGCGAAGCGAGGAGCGGCTTACTGTAGACTGGGTTGTCACCAACGACGTCCCGGATCTTCTGGACGATGCCTTTGTAGCCGACCTCCTCTATGTCCTCGGCATGAGAGATGTGGAAACCGACTTCCCAGTCGTTCTCGTAGTCGTCCCAGCTGCCGAGGGCGCCACGAATACCGACGTGCTGGTAGTGTCATTCCGTGAGCTTTGTTCCGAGTAAGGACTTCAAAGACATAGCATACAATGTTTGAGTTGTTCGGGGCCAGGAGACCCTCCTGAGCAGCATACCAGAAGTAGCTGCCGTGCGTCACCGGTACCTCCTGTAGTATGAGTTAGAATCATAGGCTAGCTGCAGTATAGCCTTGGCGCCGACCTCATCCGGAAGCCAGGGACCGCCGGTCTGAATCCAATCTTCCTTTAGCAACCTCGATAAAATGTGACCTTAAGATCCTCGGGGTACTTACAACGTTGCGGGGCTTCCAAGTATCTTCGATTACGGGTCAGGCCAGATTTCAGGATGCGGACGTCGATGATGGAACATACCCAAGTGACTGTCGAAGTGGATGACGCTGACAGGCCCATAGATCTCGGCAACGCCGCGGAGAAGCGGAAGCGTAATGGTGTGATCACCACCCTACGGGTTCACAACAGATGAGAGATCGGATCCCCGTCCTCCCTGGAAGATGGACAGTACTGACCAGCGTCAAAACACGTGGGTGGAACTTGCCATCAAGCGCTAAGCTCTGTCCAGCAAATGATCGCGCCGCCTCATGTCCAAGGAGGTCCTTGTTGGCAAGCTCAAGTTGGCGCAGAGCGACCTTGTTGTCAACGAAGACCATAGCTATCGCACTTGGTGAGCCGAGTCCGGACGAGGCATATCGTACAGGTTAAGTACTCACGGACGTCTCCGCAATCGACCACGTCAAGGAAGTCGCTGACGCGAGTCTTGTGAGGTACATTGATCCTTTCTATCCCAATGCGACGGGCTCCTTGGCGAATGCCATTGGGACCGAAGCGCGCTCCCGGACGAAAAGAAGTCGCGGTGTCGAATGGAGCGCCTTAGGAGACGTTCAGCGATACCGGGCCAGCTTAAGACGCACTGCACATACCTATGACGGCGACATCGTACGGCACGTTTGCATCTGCACCCCAACACCTCGACGGCGTCGAGCGCGCAAAAGTGAGCAAGCCCCACGAGTCCTGCGACCACGCCTGGCTCATCGACTGCCTGGGGTCGCCATTCGAGAACACGTTCGCGAAGTTCGTCCCGTGGCTAGAGCCACCGTGGCGGCTCTCTGCGCGAACTGGAACCTGCCCGCTGGTCGCAGCCACCGCTTGCTGCGTCGAGAGGAGCAGAGAGACGGCGCTCAGGATGCACAACATGACGACGAAAGACCAAGCTGTTGTTGAACTCCATGTTTCCGCGAGCGTGTTTATAACTTCAGATAGAATGCTGATCGGGTCGTGCGCAGCTTTGCCGCCTTGGCCTGGCCGTAGCCGTAGCCGTCGCAGATAACGGCCATGTGCAGCCAGGGGAAGATAAGCACCGCGAAGGAAATACGAAAGAGCTCACGTGAAGCATTCAGTGCTCGGGGCCCCGCCTGCCCGAACTCTCCTTCTCGGTCTCACCGTGCCGATGATTATTGCAGTTGTAAACGAGAAGGATACTCCTCGAAATCCCACATCATTTGTATCTGGTGACTTGATAATCATACACGGCATGGAGGCCAAACCAGATGAAACGTTAGAGTCCTTATCAGATAATTTCAAGTTTCAGAAAACTACTATCATCGCCAACACTATCATCTGCTACGCTTTGCCGTCCCGCATTGTGAGCGCTCTATCATGCCGAAGACCGAAAGGCCGAAAGGCATCAGCCGCCTCCACTTGTCAGCCTGTGCTCCATGCATAGCGATTCGAACTCGGAAGGCACGACAATTGCCACTGGTTCCTCTCTTCACTCCATATCAGCGCAGTAATGGTTCTTCCTGCTCTGACCTTGCGCGAAGTCGAGAAAGGCTAGTTTGACGACGGACCGCTCTGCATCCTGCGCAGGCATAAGTGACATATCCTCGTCGCGAATGCATCGACACCCTTGTTTAGGGGTCTTCGCTATTCGCCGGTTCATGTCTACGAACGAGCGCGTTAGAAACTTCTGTCGCATTCGCAGCTGCTGAACGTACCACTCGAGCAGCCGTTTACTGGCTTCAAGTTTGTTTAAACCCCCGAATGCCTGTCCCTCTCGGTCGAGGACCAAGATGCCCTTGAGCGCGAGCTCAGCCGCGCAGTCGATGTCGTAAAAGTACCCCATCCCGTCATGTTCCTCTTCCATATCCCAATCCACCATCGGCAGATCCCTCCACTTGATGTCGACGAAGCGCACGCACGCGAGGTTCGGCACCCGCTCCGGGGCGATGTTCTTCAACATGGGTCTGTAGTACCCCCGCCCAGAGACGTCGAGCTGCCGCAGCAGGGCATGGTTCAAGTTGCGGTCGATTTCTGCCGAGGCCTCCCTCGCGTGCTCCTCGGAGACGATGCACGTCAGATGGACGAGGTTGGGAGCGAGCGCCTGAAGATTGTCGAGCGCGCAGTCGCAGTAGGCCTCCAGGTGTAGCTCACGGATCGACGAGCCGAGCCTCTCGAGCACCCAGGTCGCGACGTCGTCGCGCCATAGGAAGCCGGCCTCGATGGAGAGCTTGTCGAGCGACGGGAGGATGGCGTACCGGCCGATGTGGAACGGGATCCCACCGTCTGGGTGGACGTCGTCCGTGAGCATCGCACACCGGAGCTGCAGGTCCTGCAGGCGCGGCAGCGAGAGCACGGGGAGGTCGTCGAGCGCTTCGGCGACGTCGCCGCCGTTGCGCGCCTGGTCCGCGACGTCGCTAATGCGCAGCCAGACGAGGTTCACGAACCGATTGAGCTGCCGGACGAATGTCGGCGACACGCCGCCCGGAGGGATGGCCACGTCCAGGTGAGTCAGCGAGTAGGCGCTTTTGCAGGAGAGGATTGATAGCCACGGTATGATCGGGTCGAGGTTGGTGGCGAACCGCGACAGCGTGACGTGCGACAGAATGAAGCAGAGGTCCGTCCCTGCGCGGGCCAGCGCGGGCCAGTCGAGGACCTGGTTCTCCAGCTGCAAACTCGTGTCGTGATAGAAGGTGAAGGTGCGTGTCCGCTGCGATGGCAGCAAGCCAGAAAGTGTACTCTCTAGCAGCCGAGAGGCGAACCGCCGCAATTGCACGCTAGAACTGTCCTGGCTCTTGGGGTAGGAACGCCAATGAATCTGCACGTCGCGATAGAGATGGGAGGACACTATCCTCTAGTTGAATGACTACCATGAATCGTGTCCCGGTTTCAGGAAGTGTGAGAAGCACTTACGTTCCACTTGCGGCTCACGAGAGAGAGGTTGGTTTTGGTTTTGTTGGCGACGCTGGCCAGGTGCTTGCTGACCCAAAACGGGTGAAGATCGTAATCCTCCTCGGTGTACGCGGTTGCGTGTATGAATATGAGCTCAAGAACTTCGTCTGGAAGACGGTTGATTGTGCTTCGTGCGTGAGCCATATCTACCCCAGTGTCATCAGCTTCCGTTAAACTATGGTTGTAGAGTGAACAGACATACTGATGGGATCCTCTTGTGCTTTGGTCATCGAATGGATACGACTGTTGAATTGTTCTGATGTCAATCAAGCAGCAGCGCGTTGTTCGCGGAAGAGGGATCCTGCAAGGACAGAATATTCACTGCAGAACAGCTTCATATATGCTCAAACCGTCTTCGATGTCGAGGCTCGGTGATGTCCAGACAACACGCACAAAAATGGTTGCGGTCGCGGCAAATTACGTCGCATGACGCAGATCAAGGTTGCCGGTGATGAAGAAACGAACGAAAGATTCCAAAGAAGCACCGAGTCACCGCCGCCGCCGTCTCCGTTCTCCTCCGTGCTCCTGTCGAAGGCGATCCCGGAGGTGCCGATCCGCTGCCGACCCCGCTTCTCAAGTCCTCGACGTACGCAGCGCCTGCACAGGACGAGTTTGCTGCTGCGCTACGTCTCAATGAAGCGCCTTCGGGAAGAGCTCGAATCAGCCGTGTTATTCTGCCAGCTCGATGTCCTTATACGGTGCGGCCGTGCTTTGACTTATCCGGTCGTGCGTGTCAGAACGGGATGGTAATCGCCGCCGTACGCGTCCTCTTCATCTTCGTCGGAGATCACGACCTGTAGAACCGCATAACACCCGCAGCACCGTACCTCTGGGTCAACAGTCATAATTTCTTGCAAGTAGTGCCGAAGACGTGCAAATGGTACAGGACGTATAGGTGATGAAGAACTGGCGCGCTCTGATGAATCCCATGAAATCCACATGTTCCTGGTCATGAGAACTTGATCCCGAGGGCCAAACTATTGTGAAAGCGCAAGACGTACGTCCAACGGCCTCAATGTTTCGCTAAATCCGCCACCCGGCAAGCTCTGGTTTGCCCGCGGCATGACCCAAGGCCTCTGACGATGTCGCCGGGGACCGTAGTCGTTCCCGATCCAGCAAATCATTTTCCAGTAGTGTCGACCGCGGCGGGCGCCCGTGGACCTTCTTCTGTACTTCCTTCTCCCAGAACCACTTCGGCAGGAAACCGACTCTATCCACTGCGTGCACCCCGCCGGGTTCGTCGCCTCCCTGAACCTCTGCGACACCGTCGTCGTCGAGGAGCCGCATCGAGGCGCCATCCTTGGGGTTGAACGTAACGCGATACACTCGGACTTGCGAGTCCGGCGGTACTGCGTCGATGCTTCTCTTCGTTCCTTTTTCTTCTTCCTGCTGGAGCGTCTCCTCATTCGCTTTCCCCGATGGGTCTGCGGCCTCCTGAGGTTCGCTTGATGTAACGGACTCGTCTTCGACTATATTGCGTTTCACCCAGCCGAGGAACTTGTCCGCCCATTCCAAGCATACTGCGGGATCCCACGCTTTCGGCTTTCCCCGAACGAGCCGCGGCAGGTTGAGTGTGCGAAAGGACTGCGTCGTGGTCAAATGGCCCGACGGCGTGCGAAAGCCCACAACGATTTCCTGGCCGCGATGAATCCCTTTGTGAAGAAAGATGCATGTGCTTGCTTACAGGAACGCCGAGAAGGAAAGATTGAAAGTAAAATTTGAGAAGTTTCCTGTGGATGAGTGGGGTCAGCTGGCGGAAAACGTTGCGCAACGGGGAAGGTGGGGTGATGACTCACTGCTCAAAACGGGCCTCATCTTGTGCATTGCGGATGTTCATCGATGTTTTGAGCTCGACGAGCGATTCGTTCGTATCCTGGTATGTCCCTGAGGTCAAGAATAATATGTCAGCTCGAAGGACGAAATGCTCTCGTGAATCCCTCCCGTATGGACTGACCTCGTACGCAATCCACCTCACCGCCGATGACCAGTCTCGTGTTGCCCAGCTTGGTTTTGACAACGCTGCACCACTGAACGTTGGTGTCCACATCCCCGCCCCACCGACCTTGCGTATCAGGGGTTGGTGGATCCGGTGAAGTGCACCACGATTCGAACGCGTATCCGTAATATGTGAACATGCGCTGCCGAGGTGCCATGTTGTTGCTAGCGCAGACCACAACGATGTCAGTTTCAGGATGCCTGGCATGCCGATGAATAGAGTAGAAGGTATCTGGGACGCACTTGTCCTCGAGCTTGGCTTGTGTGAGGTGTTCTTCGAAGTATAGTGTCCCGTTCACGCTCATGACATTCAGCGCCCAGCTGTCGCGCTCCTCATACGGCGCTGTCAATATTCTCCCTGCCAATCTCAGCGCTCTCGTCTCCGCCTCCGGGGAATGTCACAACGCTCACTTGGTCATGACGCCTCTCCAGCTTATAACGCCGATATCCCCTACAGGGCGACCTTCGCTCCGTACTTTGTCCCAAGCCTTCAACAACGCGTCAATCCTCCCTTTCTCGGCCGGTCTCCGTATCCATCTGTCGTATCCATAGTTTAGGTTCGCGTTCCGGGGAGGCTCAATATAGTACTTGAGTGCAGAGTTGGTGAACTCGAGCGAGCGAGAGGGAGTGTATGAAAACGTCGTCAAGGGGAGAGGCTGTTGAAAGGGGACGTTCTTCGGAGGAGTTGTCCTTTCCGAAGAGGTGAACGGAAGATGGCTTGCGTCGAGGGTCGGGAGCCGCACGGGTTTGTTCTCCGGTTTGCCGGAGGGCGATCGAGGTCTCTTCGACATAACGCGAGGTTGGGGTTAGTCTCCCCAGTCAGACTCTCGATACGCAATGAAGACAGTCGTTCTAGGTTGGGGTCGACGGAGAGGGGTGGGCCAAAATCGCAGGCAGCTGAGTTTACTCGCGGCCGATTAGCAGAGCGAGGAAGAGGGAGAAGGCAAGCTGGCTTCTTCTTGCTTTCACTTTCTCTCGTCCACACCATGGCCGTTCGTCTCGAAGACTTCTATAACCAACTTCAGCGTTCATGACATGATTCTCTATTCGTGTTGAATCAGCCAAGACGAGACTTACACATGGAAAGCGCAATGTCGACACTCTCTACTACACTCTTGAACTCCCTGGACGACCGGTACCGCTGTAGTCCCGGGTGAGGCGTGCGGTCAATCTCAACCTTGCCTGTACAATCGCACTTCAACTGATCTATCCTTCAGAGTTCAGTCGGATGCCATGCTTTACAGAACGCCCTACATTCCTTGGCATCCCGCTCTTATGGCGCACGCTCGGAGTGTTCCCATCATGGCCGTCATGTGGTGCATCCACGGTAATAGCCTCGACAGCGCACACACCTTTGCGCAGCAGCTCCTCCGTCTACACACTCTATCCTACTCCTCTACCCAGTAGGAGGGGCACCAAGGGCCGTCCTCGTCGCTGCAATGGCCGACCCTGACTCAACAGCCGACCATGCCCTACCTGGATATCACGACGCGACATCTTCCTCCGCCCCGCCGCCTCGTCCGCCTCCGCCATCCCAGTCCGTACCGAGCAAGAGTGGGTCAGCACTCGAGACGGTGCACAAGTACTCCTTGGAGACGGGCAAAGGCAAAGCGTGGGTGACCCTCGAGGTCAAGAGCCGTGCGGCCAACGAGAAGAATCTGCCGCTGTTCGTGAGCGGAGACGAAATCGCAGGTGTGGTGTCGTTCAACCTGGACAAGTCGGAGAGCTTGAAGGGCATCGTGTTATCCGTGAGTCCATCCTTTGCGATCCCAGGAAGATCGGTACGCTGACAACTTGTCATTGGCAGGTTACGGGTGGCACCACGGCTGTTGGACAAGAGGAAGAACGTTTTCTTGAACTCAGCCAAGAGCTGTCCCCGGCCGCGAAGCTCAAAGGAGCTCATTCCTTCCCGTTTAAACTCGCGTTGCCGACGGAATGCACGCCAAAGGGAGAGAAGCAAACCTGGCCGTTGCCTCCGACCATGTCGGAGCGTGCCAGCCCGGCGTACATCGACTACAAACTCACCGTCGTCATCAAGCGTGGGGCGCTGAGGGTCAACCAGACGTGCGTTCTCATCTTCTCCCGATCCAACTCGTGATCGAGGAAGCTGAAAGCACCAAATCAGGCTCGGCACGTCGTTCTCGTACCTTCCTCGCTCTCGACCTGATCCGCCCTCCTTGCTGCGTGAGGCGGCATACCGCGAAGGCGTCCCGCTCATCGGTCCCGATGGCGACGCAGAAGGGTGGAAAGTTCTGAAACCTCTCAAGATCCAAGGGACCATATTTGACACGAGAGAAGTCGAAGTAGAGTGCACGGTATGTACTGAATCGGACATAGTCCTGGACATCCCTACTAATGTCTCCTTTCATGAAGCTCGCCATCGCAACTCCGGTTCGTCATCTACTTCGTACACATTGACGGCTATCCGCTCAACTGTCCCTCAGTTGGCATATGCGATCGGCACCCCGATACCCCTGCACCTAACGTTCACCTCCTCTGACACACAGGCCCTGGATTTGCTTGCCAACCCTCGTGCTCCTCAGTGCTTCCTCGTCCGCACCCACGCTGTCGGGTCCGGTGCCACCGACGTGACCGCTCCGCGCCGCTCGAACAACACGTTCCTGGAAGAATGCGGGAAAGCAGTGTGGTGGCCCGTGGAGGAGGAGACGCCGGCGCAGGTCGCAGCGAGAGGCGAGAAGAACCTCGGATGGGAGAAAGAAGGCAGCGATGGAGGAAAGGGATCTAAGAGGGTGCTGATGGGCGAGCTGGAAGTGAGGAAGGGGTTGAAGGCAAGCTTCTCGTTTCCGAAGCATTGCGTTTGGGTGCGTCTCTCTCTCGTTCGTATTTTCCGCGTTGATCTAATCTGGTATTCTTGTGTTTAGTACTCGATCGCTTTGAGGTCCTTTACCGCTCCCGGCTTCACATACACGCCACCCGCCGTCGGGTCGTCTTCCAGCGCAGGCTCAGAGGAGTTCCTTCTTACGGAACGCGTTACTATAACCACTGTCCCGGCAGCGGGGCCATCACCGCGCGCATATGCGCCTCCCGGTTATAGGGACGAGAACAATCAAGGTGATTACAACACGGCCATAGGGTTTTTGGAGAATGGAAACCAGAGGTTCTATCATCACCATGGTGGAACTGGATGGGCACCGTGAGCGAATTTGTCTGAAGGAACGGAGTTTTACGAGGACTGTTCATGGGAAGTTTGTGTTGTTCCGTATGGTGTATTGTTGTATAAATACACGTCTGTGTGCTGCCAGCAATGAAGTATGCGCGAAACCCGTCATAGCACAGGTCGTAGCTTGAAAGGGCTAATTTCTACGCGACTTACGCGCATATATTCGCCAATAATAACCCCTCGAACGTATCGTCGCCCTTCGCATTATCAGTGCCTCGGGCTCCGTACCCTCTAAGCAGCTCCTCATCATGGCATGGAATGCACCAACTATGGCTATCTGGCCGTCGATGCGCGATGAAAATGAACGTCTGATCGGCAGAGGTGAATGAGGTACTCCAGTCCGCCTCTTCCTCTTCATCCTCGCTATTTTGTATGACTGCATCGGTGTGCATAAAATTTGTCGATCCATTGCAATCGTGGGGGCTCGTATCATCGGCGACGGAGCGGGAATGCCTCACAAGCACTGGGTAGAACTGGAACCATAGCCCGAAGGCTTGCCAGAATGGCATCTCCTTCGCAAGGCTGCGAACCTTGTACGCAACGATCACAAGAGGTGTCGCGTCGGCCCAACTTGAGGATGCGAACGACTTCGAGACCGAAATTTGCGTCAGATGCAGTAGTGTCCGCAACAGAGGTGCTAAGAGTTCAGGGAAGTACACCTGTAGTCAACGAAGGCCGCAGGCGATTCTCAGGTCTGGCAGTTTGACGTGATTGACTGTTGATTGAAACGTACGAGGTCACTGCAGACAACGTGAGTCAACGTCGTGGATTGCGAAACCGGAAGGTCTTGTACTTCTTGGAGAATATCCGATGCATGCTTTGCATTTCCCCAGGCAAGTTGACGAACGAGAACGGTACCGCCCTCCGGCGAGGTTCTTGATTCGGGACCATGCAGGTTGGCTTCGAGTAATTCACAGACTTCGGGTAGATCGGTGGCGATCACGATATCTTGGGCAGGCCGAGAACATTCTCGTGCAAGAGCATCAGCTATGACACCAGTGCCAGATCCAAGTTCAAGGATCGTCCTAGGAGCCAATACATCTGGTTCGGAGCTCTTGAAACCAATCGTCGACGGCGGGGGATCAAACTCCCATCCAGGTGGGCTTTCCAGGTAGAGAAAAAGAGCATGCGCTGCCTCCCTATCGAGTCGTCGAAGTACATGACGAGGTGTTGAGAGCAGTGATCAGGGTATTGCTGGTATCGATCGAGGCGAATGGGTACCAAACTCTGCCCGCGATCCCATATTTTCGTATCGCGTCGGCCTGCGCGTCAACATTAAATTGGCGCTCGAACGATGATGCCCCCTCAAGAGAGCTCGTCGGGTGGATGTCAAGGCCAGGCGGAAAATTCGAGGGAGACATTGACGAGGCCGAGCATGATGCCGGTCGCAAATAATCACAGACCACGATGACCGAAGGCGGTGACGGTGATTGGCCAAGCGCGTGATAATCCCCTCCGCACATATTCTGCCCATGGCTCCGGCGCGGGCGTACCCCATACCGGTTACATACGTCGGAGCTCAGACAACCAGGAGATTACCGCATCCTTCTTGAACAACGACTATGGCGACCTCGGCAAAGCCTCAGCAGTTGACGCCGTTCGGCGCCGCGCTTGCTGGTGCGCTTGGAGGGTGTTTCAGCAATGCGTGAGTTTCATCACATGCAGGCAGGTGGCTACATATGTCTGAACTGGGGATCACAGGATTGTCTATCCGCTAGATGTGTATGTGTCTCGAACTCGTGCTATAGTGCTTATGTGAGGCTAAAGAGCAAATCAGTGCGAAGACTCGGATACAAGCCGCCAACGAGGAAGACTCGAAAGACCAAGCTAAGCTATCCATGAAGGCCGTATTGCTCCGTATCTGGCAGGAGGAGGGGCTGGCAGGCTACTTCAGGGGTTTCGGAGCCACGATGTTGAACACGTTCTCCATGCGTACGTGGATGAGATCATCCGCATGCAGCCTGACCTGACTATTCTCGTTTAGAATATGCATACTTCTTCTTCTACTCCATCGTTCGAACATCTTACCTCAAAAGACTCGCCGCGCGCTCCAAGTCCGGGAAGGCACCGGTCTTATCTACAGCAGCGGAACTCGCCCTCGGCGCCATCGCAGGCGCACTCGCCCAGGTATTCACGATACCCGTGGCTGTCATCGCAACTCGACAGCAAATCGGGCACTCGCTCGACAAACAGATGAAGCGCAAGCGCGCAGAAGCTGGAGCGGCAGAGAAAGCGCTGGCCGGCGAGGGCAAAGCCTATGCTCAGGCCGTTGACCCAGACGTTCCGCCCGTCGAGGTTCCGGGTCTTGCTGAGGGCGAGGGCGAGGACGAAGACTATAGCGACTCCTTCCTTGATGTTGCTCGCGAAATTGTTCGCGAAGAAGGCGTTACCGGTCTTTGGCTTGGCCTGAAACCAGGTCTGGTCCTGACTGTTAACCCTGCCATCACCTATGGCATGTTCGAGCGCTTGAAAAACGTGGTGTTGACAGCGAAAGGGCAGGGCGAGAACGCTAAACTCGGGCCGTCGTTATCGTTCGTCGTAGGCGCACTAAGCAAGACGATGGCCACTGTCGTGAGCATCTTCGCCCTGTACCTCTGAACGAAGACCCGTCCTGACTGTCTCTCGCTCTCTTAAGGTCACATATCCCTACATCATGGCGAAAGTGCGGATTCAAGCCCGCAGTGCCGATGCAGAGGCTGCCCAGGAAGAGCACGCGTCCCTGCCGCATCACAATCGCCCGCATCACCCGCACACTCCTGGCCAACATGGCCACGTCGGCGCCCTCGACATCTTGGTCCGCGTATGGAGGCACCAGGGAATCAAGGGTTGGTATCAGGTATGTTCTCTGACATACGCTCGCCCATGTCTTTGGTGATTGATACCGGTCTTGCAGGGTATGAGCGCGCAGATTACGAAGGCAGTGCTCTCTCAGGCTCTGCTGTTCATGTCGAAAGACTTGTTCGAGCAGTACGCGCTCGCTATCATGCTTGTGCTCTACAAACTCAGGCGATAGGCATGTATGCGTTGCGTGTCCGTGAAAGGCAATCTTAGATCCGTTTTGATTCGATGACCGTACGCGATGACGAGTCCGCCGATTCTTCGTTGAGCCGGAGGGCACCACACATCTGGTACGAGCTCTGTATGGCATCTCTTACACCAAACTAGGTCGCTTCCGGAATCTAGCTTTCTAGCGTTTTCGCATATAAGCAGCCGCGAATCGATACGGGAGAAGACAATGAATTCCTCGTCCTTCGTCGCGCTCCCTAACGATCTCATATGCCTCATATTCTTCCACCTCGGAGTTCCACAGCTCACGACGGTTTTATGCCTTTCAAAGCGCCTCCATCGCATTGCGTATCTAGTGTTGGTCGAGCATTTCCAGCGCTGGGACATCAATCCACCGCGGAAGCGACCGTTTGATAATTCATGCTGGGTTGTCTTCTTTGAAGTAAGCATTCCACATTATGCGACTTGGTTAAATCATTCATGTTACGTTCAGCTTCGCTTTAGTATTGATCCGACGCTATTTTCCGGTGCACCACGATCGCGTAGTGACAACTACGTCTTCGCATTCGGTGGCATGCAGACGTATTTGTCTAACTATTTTCTGGACGGCTATACCAACATGGAGATCTCGAATCAAATTTATGACCTCTATGATACGCTTCGAGACCGCCGATCCAAGGACATGCCGCTCCCTACCAAGTCGCTATCGTTCATACTCTTCGATTCGGCTCCTATGACGGCGGCCGAACGCAAGATGGGATATCCAAGCTTACCTGCGTCTGCGTTCTTGCTCTCTTCTATGCGCGCGTCAGTGAGTGTCAGCTATCCGTCCAGGATCGTTCCAAGTCTCGGCGCTAATCGTGACCCAGCTGTACATGGAGAATATTCACGACGACAAAACGCGCACTCAGTATCATCTGGCCGACTTCGACGTCGGACTGGATCGGCAGCTCAAGCAGCGGCTCTCCATTGCGACGCCCGGTCGTCGTGAAAAGGTTCTCTTCGAACGCACGTTCCGTCCCCTCAATGGCAAGGGACAGCAAGTGGGAAGGTGCGCACGCGTGCATTCTGTTAAAGCTTATGATTGATTGTCCGTAGTGAGAACATGCGATTCAAGTTGGAAGGAGAGTAAGTGGTCCTACTACGGTATCTTGAGTTCGTTTGATGATGAACATGCTCACAGATTTTGGCGTGAGGGACCTCGCGTCCTTATGAGGGTCTATAATACAGCTCTGGATTGGCGATTGTCAACGCTAATCCGATGAACAACGAGCCGGCTGGTCGTAGTAATTCTGTATATTTATAATTATCGTGATCTTCTGCTCATTGCGACCATTCGCTACTTGACATGGACAACGTGGTACTATGAATGCATGATCAATATACTTACGTCGCAGCCTTAGGTCTCGAGGTCTCGTCGATTCGGCGCGGACGATAATTGCTACGGAAGGTTTCCTTTATTATGTGCGTTATTGTCCGTGTGCTGTCCGATACATAAGCCGCACGGACCTGCTTCGATTCCTATCTTAGCGTGCATATGTAAATCCTAATAGTACGTCTGGGCTGCGTTCACGCTCATGACTTCAGCGTCCCTGTCCATCCTCCCGAACGAACTCATCTTCAGCATCTTCTGTCACCTCTCAGTACCACAGCTAGCAAGAGTATTACGCCTTTCCAAGGATCTCAACGAAATCGCGTTCAGGGTTATAGAATTTCTATGAATCGTATTGGACCGTCTCCTTCGACGTGAGCGTCTCTCCATTAACCGTCGAAGAGCCCACAAATTCAATGTCGCAAACAGCTGCGCTTCGAGCGCGAGCAGTTTCCGGGCATAGCAGTCTTTGGGGTGGAGGATGTTTATGCATCAAAGCCGGTGCATATATTCAGAGATATGAAGCCATGCCTACACGAGCACTTGTTTGAAGGTTACACGGACGAAACAATTCCTGAAGGAGGACGTGAACGTGTCGATGGTAGTGAACACAAGATGCCCCTTCCTACCAGGTCGTTATCCTTCAATCGAGGTCCCGGGCCATCTGTCACCGTGCACGACGAGAAGACCCTGAGTCGACTTGAACTGTCCGTCTCCGAGTTCCTCTCAAGCTCCATGCGTACAAACGTGCGTATGAACCACTTTGCCTTTGCATCACTTCTGGGAGAAGATTGCGCTTATAAACAGGGCAGATGTTCCTTGAAGAAGTCGCCGCCGACGGCACACGCACGCGATTTCAAATAGGAACGTGTCCTTGGACGATGCGTTATAATCTGAAGCGCGTGGTCGCCGAAACTCCAGGTCGCGCAAAGAGCGAAAAGGAGCTGCATTTCTGGTGCAGATTCTGGCCGTTCAACGCGGTCGGAAGGCCCAAAGGAAGGTCAGCCCGATTTCCGGTATCTGTGTGCTGGCAACGTATTGACGTTGTCCCAGAGACAATATGTGATTAAGTTCTGGATAGAGTGAGTTCCTCAGTCTTAGAAGGTCGCGTACATGACGGTTGGTGACGTGATCGTAGGGCCTGGCGAGAAAACGACAAGATCTTCCTCGAGGTGGAGAAGGAACGTCTACACTGGACTCTCTACTCCGATTTCCTGAAGAGGCTACGGGTCGACGAGCACGGGGTAACACGCGGATGTTCAAGAGTAGAGTCCTCGATCCGTAATCTGCAGGGTAGTACATCACGGAGCGCCAACCTGGCCCGCCTCTCGAAGGACGTACTCTTCCACCTCTTCTGCACTGTTGAATTCCGTCGGCCACGTGTACTCGTAAGAAAAGTCGGCACACGTGAGGAGCACCCCGCCCGCCACCGCTTTGCTCGTCGCATTGGTAACAAAGTAGTCGATAGTTTCTTCCGCTACGGCCGAGATGTTCACGACCGCGCCGTTCACTGTGGAGTCTATGATGGGATCGGAGAAGGCGTCCCCGGGCAGCCGAACGCACAGGTGTGCAGGCAGGTTAGGACTGGTGTCCTCGCTGAGCGTGAAAATGCGAGAGGTATCGCTCGCGAACGACCCAGATTGGATCCAGACGTTATCTGCGACCTGTACGCTGGACTGGTTGTACACCCCTATGTTGTACTCGAAGACGGCGTCCGCGGGGAGGTTTCCGTCTTCAGTCGAGGTGTTTGTTCCGCCGACCTCCGACGAGCTGAACACCGGTGACGCACTCATGATTTGTTCGAATACGTTGGCGAAGATGTCGGCGGTGCCGAAGCGGAGGAGCGGGCTGCGCGAGGCCGAGTTAACGAAGTGATTACCGAACATCGTAAAGTGCATCAAGCCCAGGTCTCGATCAGCCTCCTTGGTGCCGCCTCCCAAGAGCATGGACTTGTGATGGTTGCGGACAATGTTGTGAGAGAAAGTGACGTTGTCTGTTCCATCTTCGCAATCGAAGAGGCCGTCAAAGCGGTCGACCTGCAGCGCGTGATGAGTTATGTTCAAGAACGACATCACGAAGTCGCCATACCTGCCACCCAGGGTCGACCGTGTCCGGGATCACATACGACCCGTTGATTTGGTCTTGCAGTTCGCACTGGTCCACCCAAATGTTGGTAGACGTCACCAGGGAAAATGCATCGTAGCTGAGCTAGGATGAGCATGATCGGATAAAGCCTAGGATAGCGGGCGGCTTACTCCGCGTTCCAAGTACTTGGGTAGGTCTCCGGCGCAGGGAAGCAGTCCGCGGGGGACACGACCTTGAGGTTTCTGACCCAGACGTTATCGACGGACGAGAGTTTTAAGTTTATCCCGTTGAGCGCGGCGTCGTCGCTGAGCCCGATAAGCGATGTGTTGCTGAGAACATTGAAGGCTACGGATGCTTTCTGAGTCTGCGATACGACCGGTCGCCACCCGTTCATATGCCCAAGTAACGTCCGGTACTCTGTCGCGTTCAGGCCATCGAACGTTTCGTTGGCAGCAGCGGCCGCTTCAACCTCCGCCAGGTAGGTGCTGTTGAGGCTCCATAGGTACAGAGTAAAGTTGTAGGATCGAATGGCAGCACCATCCGAGCCGGTGTGATCGATGTAATATTGGCAGTCGGCAAGGGTACCTGGAGTGCCATATTTCGTTCATCATCTGTACGACGCGGAGACAGAGAAACTCTCTCACCATCATGTTGTTCATTGCCATTGATGACACCCTGAACATAGACGGTTTTCGCGTATGGCAGTGCCAATGCCTCTCTCAGCTCGCTCGCGTTGGTGGCTACGTAAACGGCAGATGCGTTCAATGATCCGCCGTTCGCCAAACCTCCGTAGCCGAACGGGATGTGGGTGAGATTGGGTCTGGGACCTGCGCAATAGGTAGATCGGTGTATGCCACCAAAAAAGGAAGAAAGCGAGAGTACCGTCGTACGGTGTCAGAGCATTTGCTACGATGCCAAGGGTAGCGAGAACGACGAGGGTGAGCATTGCGGCGATCGGAAGCAATGGGCAACGAACCGGTATTATACCGATCGCGGTCCGCCAGCAGCGCAAGCGGACCGCGCAGGGTGCGTCACAAGAGTCGAATCATCATCCGAAAGAACGTCCGTCGTGCAGGTGGTAGCCGGAAACTATAGAGGAGATGCGCCGCTACGGGTCACAGGGATGAACTTCTTCGAACTCGTGGGGCACGATAGAGCTGACGGAGGCTTGAAAGGCGTTAGCGCCCCTTCGTTGCCTGCATCAATGCGGTCGAGAATGTGGGAGGAAGAAATCCTGTCGCTCTTCGTCGAGTCCATCGACGAGGACGAATGGGGCGATGTCATCACGTCTTGCTCGCGCGCCCGCTCCACGCTCTACACAACCTTACACCGTCACATCAACTCAAGACTCATGCATACACCCCCGCTACACGCGACTACCGCGCCGACTCCGCCTGGTCTGCGTGCCCGTCTATCAGTGCTATATACGTACAGGGTGAACTCGTCTGCACAACTCCAAGCCATCGCCATTCAGCTCCGGTAAATCAATGGCCGTGCCTCTTCGACAAAACGCAAGTTTTGGCCGCATTCTGGTGTCCCGTCATGATATATTGACTGTTGCCCTGTAGGAGGAAGATTGGGAAGACATCGATGAGCCACAGCGCGCATATAGTCCCAGCAACTCGAGTCGCGCAGGCAGCGTAGGTACACCACGCAGACGACAACCGGGGTCTAGGACTATATACGTGGCATTGTCCCCGCACAAGCAGCTGTCCCCGAGCAAGCGCGACGCGACCGGTCGAGAGGGAAGGAGCACACCCACCCGATCGCGACCTCCGCGTGCCAACCCCAAGCAAGAGGAATCACCGGTGGGCACCGTCATCGACTGGAAACAGCACCAGGATGCGGTTCACGCGGAGACCATCGGCGCACTCGTCTACTTCCGCGACGTACTTCATACGGCGTGGAATCTCTTACGCGCCTTCTTCCGCGTCCTGCAAACCCCCCTCGCCATCCTGCTGACCCTGACCGCTATCGCTGCGGCGATTCCCTACGCTCTCCGACCCGTCGCGCAAGTCGTGGCCCCACTATGCTGGATTCCCGGCATCTCATCCAGCTTTATTTGTTCGATGCGCGCGCACACACCTGGAGAAGATGCCTGGTCGGTGCAGTATGCCGACTACCCGCGCATGATAGAGATGCAGAGCCGGACGTTGGAGCAGCTGTTGGATGAAAAGGCCGGCGGCTCGAGCCTGGCGCTGGAGATCAAGAAGGCGGAGATGGCGACGACGGACCTGATCACGCTCGTCAAGTTCAGCGAGCTGCAGAGTAAGGAGCTGATCGCGGAGACGTTGACCTCTTTCGTGGAGGACGCAAGAAAGACGGGGGACGATTTGCAGAGGTTGGGTGCCAAGGTTGGCGGCACGGTGGACAAGTAAGCTTTCGTCGACCCTGTCGGAAGCGGTGCGATACAGGACTGACTTCTTGCCGCGACAGCATTATGGCCGTCAACGATCACGCGCTCCACACCATCGAGAGCGCTCAAAGCAAGTCTGCATCGTCGCTGGTAGCGCGCGTCTTATGGCCGCTGGGCGGTGGCGATAGCGGGACCAAGGCAGTCGTACGCACGACCTTCGACCACGCCATGTCCGTCATGGACGACGCCCTCCAGCGAGTCGTCGTCGAAGCGCAGGTTTCGCAGGGCGATCTGCTCGTCCTCGAGGAGCGCCTGAACACGCTGCATGAGATCGTCCATCGCGAGAATGGGTCGATCGCCGGTGATCGCGAGGAGCTGCTCGCGCAGCTGTGGACGTGGCTCGGCGGGAACAAGGACAAGCTGAGGAAGTACGAGCGGCACTTAAGGTTGCTCAGGGGCGTGGGCGCGTATAGGAAGCGGGCACTGGCGCATGTGGTCGCGACGCTGCAGACGCTGCACGGCATGAAAGCCGATATGGAGGAGCTGCGGGCCCGCGTTGCGGCCGTGCCGATCGGCGGCGACAAGATTCCGGTCGAGGTCCATATCAAGAGCATTCAGTACGGGCTCGAGAGGCTCAAGGAGGGCCGAGCGAGGGCTAGGCAGGTGGAGGAAGACGCGATCAGAAAGGTGCTTGCGATCCAGGACTGACAGGGCTTGTTGGGCGGTGATGCGCGCGGCGTAAAGATCGTTGGAACTTGGTGGGAACGGGCGGCAGGTCTGTCTTGATGTGCTGGATTGAGTTTCTTCTGTATTTGTATTACTTCTTCGTTCTGCGTCGAACCTGGTCCAGGTATGTATCACGGTAAGGTGCCGTAACAGTGCCGTAATGTGTATGTTATACTTGCATGTTCGCAGATTTCCGAACGGGGATGACATTCGTCATCTGATATCATGACCAACATTCGGGGATCTCCCGACCCGCGCCTTGTCTTCGCGTTGACATTCCCTGAGCATGAATATGTCGAGCATATGATCATTGATCCCCTCATCCATCCTCTTGACTTAATCTCAGGGACTTTTCCCGCACATATTCCGAGAGATGCTGCGGCGCATTTTCAACATTTTCTACCGGTACCGAAAAACCTCCTGAACCCGGATCGTTCATCGTGCCCAGCGCATACGCCACCGAGAGTACACGATATGGGCGTCCATACCCACAGTGCTCATTGGGGAAATAGAGTCGCGAAGCGCCCCTGAGAATGACACCTGGAGAAAAGAACATATCATCTCCCGCAGCGTCACCGCCTCAGCCCGTCAGGGGCCCACGCAAAATTGAAGCCAAAGCTTCCCCTGTTGCTTGCCCGGGCACCGGGCCATTATTTGATATTACCTATCGGCCGCCCCAGACTGCGTATCGCGCTGGCCGGTTTGGTCGTTTTCGCCGACGAACAAGCAGTCCATCCGCCTGGAGAATTTGGCGGAGGGCACAGTTTGAGGACGATGCGCTCAAGTATAAGCAGTCTGGCGCGTTCACATGTGCTGGCGCCGGAGTTTCAGCAGAGCGGGTGTGCCGGATTCCTTCCGGAGTTTGCGTGCGTAGCCAGATCCCATCTCTTGGGATCTTGATGCTCACCTCTGGTCGCGTCGGCCCTAGCAATCGATCAGCCGCTCCCGAAAAATCGCGCGCCGCGGCTTATCGGAGGCTTTGCTGGGCACCGCAATGAACGCTATCAGCACCCCCTGCGGTTCTTATTCACGTTCCGGTTCCTCTAATCTCTTGGACGACTGGACGAACCCCCACGAGTATCTTCCGTTCTGCCAACGTTGACGATCCGCCACCCTCCCCTGCGACGCAGAGAGCTCCGGTCGCTGGCCCACGCGCGCTGTCACGCTAGAATCAGGGAATTGCGTGATACGGTAGCTACGGAAGACGCAAGGTCGCGTGTCGTGGAGGCTTCGGCAGCAGGTGTTGGGGATTAGTAGTAGCGAACAGCCATGTCGATATCAGGGGACTTCATGGTGCGTCTTATCTCAGGCTGCGCCTAACGCTGGCATCGACCTTACCCAGCATCGATGCAGGCAGCGCCGGGGACTGCAGGTGGGCCCCCACGGACGGATGTGAGTGAGTTCCCGAACATAATGGAGTGCGATATTGAGCAGGGGACCCAGGCTTACAAACGCGCGGTGTATCGCTCCGCCCCTCGCAATTTCCATGTCAACATCCTCTCGCCGATGAAATATGGTGAGCGGCGGCCGGGTCCAGGGCGTCTTGATCGGACTGACGGCGACTGTAGGGGCAAACTACAGCTATGGGATGAGAATAACCCCCATCATTAGCGAGCAGCTCTCGACGAAAACCGGAGCGACGACGGAATACGAGGTGTGGCGGAAATGGGAGGATTGCATGTGGTTCCAGGACGTACTGGAGCTGGAGTACGCCATTATGTCCCGGGAGAAGCGGCAGGCGCTCGCGGACGGGAAAGGGGTGAAGAAGACAGACGCGGTCACGGGCCAAAGCATTTACATTCGCTCGGACCGAGCAGCGTCCTTCGAGTCGCTCCCGCCTGGACCGGACCCCAGCACGATCGCCACCGACATCCACCAGTACCTCCCTCGTCTGTCCAAGAAGGGCACCTTCTTCCGCGCCAGCCAGGCCACGGTCAGCCAGCGCCACTGCGAATTCAAGGCGCTCATAGAGGCCCTCTTTTCCGACGATCTGCCGAGCCTGGTGAAAGAGTTGCGCGCGAGCCGGATCGTCCGCGACTTCTTCGGGTTCTGGAGAAGGGATCATGACCTGGCCCAGAAGCTGGGGAAGGGGCACAAACCGCGGGGCGACCGAAGTTCGATCGCGAGCAGCGCGTTTTCGATGTATTTCTCGCAATCCATGACGAACCTGCACAATCCGTCCTTCAACACCGACAATGCTCCTCCCGTCCCCGCCCTTCCCTACAGTCCCCTCCGAACCGCGCCTATAAGCCGGCATGCCACGATCCCGATGCCTACCCCTCCAAGACCAACTTCGCCTGGCGCTGCGGCGGTGGCGGACGCCTGGCGATCTCGGCAAGTTCCAGCCTCCGCCCCACCAGGCGGTGCATTCGTTATCTCGACGACAGAATCAGACAGGTCGTCGTCTTCGGAAGCATCCTCGACGAAGTCGTCGGTCATGCCCGCCACTGCGCTGGCGAGCACGCCGCAACTCACTCATTTCCATCCCGCATCCGCGCCCTACTTCAAGGAAGCATTCTCCGACCGCGATGTACATGCAAATGAACCCATCGTGGTCCCGCAGGACATCGCCATCGTGTATCCCAGAGACGACGACCCCGCTCGGCTTCCTGCGTTGCCGGAGGGCAGGCCGCTCGATGCGCACATCACGGACATGTCCCTCATGGAGGCGCAGATACGGGTCAGGGACCTCGAAGGGCTACCGGTCCCGCCACCAAGGCGACGCGGGATTAGTTCGAGCGTTTTGGAGAATCGGGCGAACAGGAACGGCCTGATCTTCCTCGATCCGCCCATGGGCACGAGTCCGACCGGCACGTTCGGGTATACCGGCCCGGATGAGTACATGTACGCCTCCTCGTACCGCAGCGACGCTGGGAGCGCGAGCGGGAGCAGCCGACGCGCGAGTCGGGACAGCAAACACTCCCGCCTATCTGGCCCCACCCTGGTGCTGGAGGCGCCGACGAACTCCGAGCAGAAGCTCGTTCGCCTGTCCGCCTCTTCTATGCACAGACTGTCGAAGTCGTCTTGGGTGGTGGATGATGCGGCGTCGCGGGCATTCGCCATTTCGCCGCGTCCGATGTCGAAAGATTCATCGTTCATCGAGGTTGAGTCGCCAGAGAGCAGGGAATCGTTTGAACTGCCGATTCAGATGCAGCAGCTCACTACCGCCCCCGTTGGCGACGATGCCACTCACGAGCAATTGCGACGAGCATCGTCTCCGCAGCTTGACCAGTATACGCTGAGGCGATCGCTGTCCGTGGGCTCTCGACGGAGGTCACTCAACGTTAACCGGTCCATGTACGCCCACGAGGAAGAACATGTGGATGGGGATCTTGACCCCATGGAGTCGTTGATAGATCACTACTACTTCGGTGAGTTCAGCGAGTACACTATCATACGTTCCGCGACTAATCGCCCCTGATTCCAGACATTCCCCGCCCCCAGAACCCCGAGCCTCCGAGCACGACCACCTCGCCTATACAAGAGAACACCACAATGCGATACCTGCAGCACTTCCCACTACCTCCGAAAACGTACCCCCGTAGACCGCCCGGCACCGCATCATCTCTCGCATCTGTCGCCAGCACGACATCCTCTCTCTCGCCCTCGTCCGCCGCAGACAACATCCTCACCATCAAAGCCGTTCTGGGCGACACCATTGTCGTCCTACGCAGCCCTCGCAACACCCCTTTCAGTGAAATCCGCAACTCTGTCGCCGAGAAACTCACCGCGCAGGAAGGCGTTCGGTTATCCGACACGTTTATCCTCGGTTACTCCCCACATGGCGCAGGCACGCTCGGTCCGAGCGCACACAATGCGACGGCCGAGCTGCGTATGCGACGCGGGGCGAGCCTCCCTGGACGCAAGCGCGCCAGCTCCACGTCCTCCTCCAACGTGGCCGATCCTACCCAACTTCTCTACATCACCTCAGATCACCAGTGGCAGGATGCTATTGCCGACTCTGGTCCCAAGTTAATACTGCGTGTCATCGACCTCGCGACTGTACAGTGATCTTCCCCCTCATCTTATCACGAATTTCCTTATTTTACTCATGTATTTCGGCGTTTCCTCTGTAGCCCCTAGTTGTATAACCCTGTCACGTTATGATACCAATGGATGGAATCAATTCAGGTCAAACTTCCAAGGTATATATAACGCGGGCAAACGCGGTAAAATACAGGTATTGTTGTCACGCGGTCCCGTGATATGAGGTCGAAACGCGTCCGGATGAGGAGGGATGAGGTCCCTTTCGTGTTTGTTTTTGTTACAGCCTTATCATGGCCGATGGGCGACAGCTTGCAAACGGAAGGTAAGGGATTCCCCATTGATCGTACCGGTCATTGACTAACACCATTCCAGTTGACGTTTATGCCCTGCAGACTCCGTCGTTTTGTCCCGTCTGACGGCCGATCGGTTCCACGAGCTCCTCACGGCGTTCACGCACAAATGAGTGTGCCAGCTCGCAGGACTGTAGCAATGTCTCGAGGATGCAGTGGTTCGCACACGGAAGGCCAAGTATCCTCGAGCGCTGCAGCCCTAGTGACTGTTTCAATAGATGTGCGCCAGCACTGGCCGCCAAAATGTATTGCATAAACCGCGGTCTTGGACCTTGGTCATAAACCGCGGCGGAATGCGCACTGTCGACGTAGCCAAAAGGATGCGCGTGACGTCCTACCTGTATTACATACTGCAGTAGTTGAAACGAGCTGGCCAGTGCAAGCTACGTATTTCGGCAAGGGCTGCACTGCCTCCGCTGCTGCACGGCGTCTCCTTTGTCATGTACTCCAGCTGGATCCACGCCGCGTTTACCTCGCTGGTCCGTCGGCTCGAAAACGGGCCCGCATACATTCAACAATCTCTCGCATATACCCTGGTAAGTACCGCGGCCACTGCCAGGACCCGCCGCGGACGCACCGCGTCTCCTTTGTAACGTACTCCAGCTAGATCCACACACCCGCTACCTCGCTGGTCCGTCGTTTCGAAAACGGGCCCACATGCATTCAACGATCTCTCGCATATACCCTGGTAAGTACCGTGGCCACTGCCAGGATCCGCCGCGGACGCACCGCGTCTCCTTTGTAACGTACTCCAGCTAGATCCACACACCCGCTACCTCGCTGGTCCGTCGTTTCGAAAACGGGCCCACATCGTTTCTAAAATGGGCCCACATGCATTCAACGATCTCTTGCACATACCCTGGTAAGTACCGCGGTCATTGCCAGGACCCGCCGCGGACGCACAGCGTCTCCTTTGTAACGTACTCCAGCTAGATCCACACACCTGCTACCTCGCTGGTCCGTCGTTTCGAAAACGGGCCCACATACATTCAACAATCTCTTGCACATACCCTGGTAAGTACCGCGGCCACTTCCAGGATCCGCCGCGGATGCACGGCGTCTCCTTTGTCACGTACTCCAGCTAGATCCACACACCCGCTACCTCGCTGGTCCGTCGTTTCGAAAACGGGCCCACGTGCATTCAACGATCTCTTGCACATACCCTGGTAAGTACCGCGGCCACTGCCAGGACCCGCCGTGGACGCACCGCATCTCCTTTGTAACATACTCCAGCTATATCCACGCCGCGTTTACCTCGCTGGTCCGTCGTTTTGAAAACGGGCCCGCATATTCAACAATCTCTTGCATATACCCTGGCAAGTACCGCAGCCACTGCCAGGACCCGCCGTGGATGCACGGCGTCTCCTTTGTAACGTACTCCAGCTAGATCCACACACCCGCTACCTCGCTGGTCCGTCGTTTCGAAAACGGGCCCACATGCATTCAACGATCTCTTGCACATACCCTGGTAAGTACCGTGGCCACTGCCAGGACCCGCCGTGGACGCACGGCGTCTCCTTTGTAACGTACTCCAGCTAGATTCACGCCGCGTTTACCTCGCTGGTCCGTCGTTTTTAAAACGGGCCCGCATATTCAACGATCTCTTGCATATACCCTGGTAAGTACCGCGGCCACTGCCAGGACCCGCCGTGGACGCACGGCGTCTCCTTTTTAACGTACTCCAGCTAGATTCATGCCGCGTTTACCTCGCTGGTCCGTCGTTTTTAAAACGGGCCCGCATATTCAACGATCTCTTGCATATACCCTGGTAAGTACCGCGGCCACTGCCAGGACCCGCCGTGGACGCACGGCATCTCCTTTTTAACGTACTCCAGCTAGATTCACGCCGCGTTTACCTCGCTGGTCCGTCGTTTTTAAAACGGGCCCGCATATTCAACGATCTCTCGCATATACTCTGGTAAGTACCGCGGCCACTGCCAGGACCCGCCGCGGACGCATGGCGTCTCCTTTGTCACGTACTCCAGCTAGATCCACACACTCGCTACCTCGCTGGATTGTCGTCTCGGAATGGGCCCGCAAACGTCCATCCATCACTTGCATATATCCCGGTGAG